ATAAAGAAGGAAGGATATGTGAGTTTCCAGTGGGACAGAGGGACAGAGCAGACCCTCGAGGAAGGGGATCTCGGCACCCTACATTGGGGGCTACCGGAACCAGCAGTGTGCAGTCCCCCACCAAATGGGTTCACCAACCAAGTCCCTTCTCCATCCTACGTCCCAAAAGGGAGACACAGAGCACAGTCTTCAGGACTGACTGCGGCTGAAGACACCTGTGAGCCCTGGATTCTCTTTCCTTTGATGGCTTTTCTTACACACGAACCCAGGAACGGTCTCTTTCCGTCAGTCAACGAGGAAGCAAGAGGTTCCTGGCCCCTCCTGCACGCCGCCTCTGCCTGTACTAAATACACAGGGCACAGCTCCTAATGGAGCCTGGCCGGGTCCTCAGAGAGGATAATGACCTCCGTGAGCTGGGCGGGGTGATGCGGCTGTTACACTTATGACCCAGTCAACACACTGACTGGGTAACCCGTGCTGGGGGCCGGGCAGGCCTGCTTTGGGGAAGGGGCTTGAGATGGAGGAGGAGGCAGGGTGATGGGAGTCATCCCCTCCCATCTCCCACCTCGAGACCAATGTCCCACGCCCCCACCCCACCCCCACAAGGTCTGCTCCTTCCTGAACCCCATCTCCTCCCTCTATGTATCAAAGACAGGGACAACCGAAAGAGCTAGGAATCCCCAAGTCTGTTCCTAGCTAGAAGCTTTGGGCCTGTTATTCCACCTGTTCACTAGGCCATACTTGACTTTGGTCCTCAGTTTGCTCATCCAGAAATGGGTATAATAAGGGCAACCTCTGAGGTTGGTTTGGTTGTTGAAGACAGAAGTACACAAGTTGAACTGTTTTCTCAAGGGAAATTATTTTCCGGCTGGTGTCAGTGAAGGGATTACCATGGAAAGGATGACTTCACCACACAGGGGAGGAGCTGGATTTTTAGGACCAGGCACATACACAGTCAAGACCAGGCTCAGATCTCCTGCAACTGGACATGGGAGCTTCTGCCTGACAGAAGACGGAACATCTCAACCCGTGCAGCGATCCTAGGCTCACTCTGCTGGGCTCACATCTCAATTCTAGTCTGTCGCAATCTGAGCAGTCTGGTTTTCCACATCTCAAGAGCAGCTGGCTTGGCTTAGTAAAACCATGAAAGGTGTTGGCAAGCCTCTTGAAGCTGCTGCGAGGCTAAACTGTATTCATAGTGGCCTCTAGTGGCAGACTCCCAAAATAGCATGCCAAATGCAAACTTGGCAAGCAGGCAGAATCTTCTCAAATTGACCTACATTCAGACTTGAAGCTCAGAAGGCCTAGTTCGAACCTTAGCCCTGACGAACAAGGAAACCAAATTCCAGATGGCATGCGGTTCCCCAAGGTGGCACAAAGATCTCTCACTCCTGCATCCACACATTTCAAGGCAGAGGTCTTTAAAAAAATGATTATTTTAGCATGTTGAGTATGCTTGCCTGTTTATGTGCATGAGTGCAGGAGCCCATGGAGGCTAGAAGAGGGTATTGGAAGCTCAGGGGTTGGAGTTACAAGCAGTTGTAAACCGCCATGTGGGCATTGAGATCCTCTGCTAGAGAAACAAGCGCTCTTAGCCATGTAGGCCAGGCTAGACCGCCACAGATTCTGTATCACTAGTTTGGAAAAACAAGCAGGAACCCAGTGTCTTGAGACCAAACCAGCCTCACCTCCCTTGCTTTCCCTGTGCGCTTTGTCCAGAGTTGCTGGAACGTCCTCCGTCCTGGCGTTCATCTGAAGCACAGGAGCCCATGCCACGGAGCCCGGCTCTGAGGGCATCAAGGGCTTCTTGGCAGGAGGCTCTGAGCTTGAGCAGATGTGCTCCTCCCCCACAGCCTGCAGCGTGGTGCCACAGGGCTACAGGGAGACTCAGATTGGCTCCAAGATCTGGGGGTAGGAGCCATTTGCCATTTGTGGGAAAAGCTATTTTGACATATTCTGGAGACACAGTCCAAAAATAAACTGAGAACTTCCAGAGGGCTGAGTGGAAAAGGCTTTGCAGCCATGCCAGCCAAAGCCCGGGTCTGTGGCTCCGGGCACAGCTACTTCTGCCGGTGAGCCTCCATCTTTTCCTGGTGGAGAATATTTTATTTGATGCACTCAGCAATAACCTCAAAGCATCTCCCAGGTGCTGGGAAGGCAGCATGGAATAAGAATAAGACCCGGCCTTGCTCTGAGGTCAGAGCAGGGAGGGGAGAGGCTGTGAGGGCCAGCTCCTGGCAGACCAGCATAGAGAAGCTGGGGGTTAGAGGGGTATGGTGCAGGGTAGGGTACTTGCCCAGCAAGCAGGGGGTCCTGGGTTCTACCCCAGCACTGGAGTGGAATGAACGAGCATGCACGTGTGAACGTATAAACACACACACACACACACACACACAAGCATGAACACACACACAGAAGTTGAAGAGGTGTGTAGTGGCTTTAATGTCCACTATTACCAAAAGCCGGCTTTAAGAAGTGTTCCCAGTACCTGATCCTGCTCTTAACACCTGTTCTGCCATGAGCGGTAGGTGATTCCATCATCAAGGACTGCCGTGAGTTCAAGGCCGGCCTCTGACACTGATTTTTGGAAAGTAGCGGTAAGAGGATTTGTAGTTGGACGGTCCTCTCCCACCCACAAGTTCCTGCAGCCACTTATAAAACAATCACTCAAGAGGCTTACTATTAATTGTAACTCTTTGGCGATGGCTCAGGCTTATTATTGTCTAGCTCCTACATTCAAGTTAACCCATTTCTGTTAATCTGTGTATCGACACATGGCTGTGGCTTACTGGTGATGCTCAGACATCTTTCCCCTTTGGAGGCTGGATGGCGTCTCCTCCGACTCCGCCCTTCTTACTGTATCTCTGCTTGGATTTCCCACTTGGGTCTACTCTGCCTGGCTGTTGGCCAAACTAGGTTCTCTATTAACCATATTCACGTGTAAACATATTCACAGCACACAGAAAGACATCCCACATCAAGGATCAGAAGTTCAAGGTCATTCCCAGCCACACAGAGAGTCAAGGGCCGCTTGGGATGCATACGGACATGTCACAAACAACATGGTCCATAAATACGTGTTTCCAGGTCGCTTCACAGGCTGGGGTCCCGGGACCCCTCCTGTCCTGCCTGCCACCTGCTCCACTGCATCAGCCACTGTGGTGTCCCCACAGCAGGACCTGGTACCTGATGCATTTAAGGGGACAAGCAGGGCACTGTCCCCGGTGGATGTTCATCTCAGCAGCCTAAGTGAGAAGTGCTGGACTCAGCTTGGGCTTCCCTTCTCTCCAGTCAGGAGAGACAGAGGAGGCAGACCATGGGGTCAAGGGCCTGCTCGCCCAGCATGGTTGCTAAAGGTGCCTCTTCGGATTCACGTCAGAATGAACATGACCTGAGACCTTGCTACTCAAAAGTGTGGCACCTGGACCAGCAGTCACCATCTCCGGGGACAAAGCCAGCCAGCCACCTTGTGACAGGCCAGGCTGCACACGGTCCAGCACGGACGCCTTGCTTCAGACATTTGGCTTATTTACTCCTGACCTCAAACCTCTCCAACTCTAGACCCTTCCCACAAAGGCTGCCTCTTTTCTGTCCTTTGTCGAGCCCCAGAAGTCCCACAGCCACCTTCATTACTCTAAATCTGTCACTGGTTCTTACCGCGAAGCCCCTCCCCGCCGCTGACAGTGGACCCCACAGTCACACCAATAGTCTGATGGCTCTTACCCTGAGATGGTGACACAACTAACAGGCTAATTCCTCGGGACCCTGTTAAGCAAGCTCCGGGACAGGAGATAGGCATCCGCACCTCAGGCTTCCGCTTTGGAGCCCCTGTGTTGTTTGGAAAAAGCCCCATAGTTAGAGTTCTGGGAGGTAGCCCGTGGGGTCTCATGCTTTGCTTTGCAAAGCGGCTCCAGGCTGGGAGACATAGAGCATGGGACTCTGCATACCAAAGCCATTTTCAGGGCTATCATGGTGGCTTTCCCTTTTGCTTCATTATTGAGAGACAGTTTTCTTAGTTTCTGTACTCAAACCCATGCAGATAAGACCATACACATTTAACACAGTCCATTAACCCTGGACAAATGGAAGACAGTGAACCCTTCCAGGATCTAATGGCTGCTGACTTCTGTACAACGCAAGGCTTTTTCATTGGTGAGAGAAAAAAGAGCTTGCGGGTGAAGGCTTGTGGAACGGAACTTTGGTCACTTCCCAAAGGTAGGCAGTGACACTGGGGCACGCAGTACTTACGAGGCTCCCCAGGAAAGGAAGCAAAGCCACAGCGCACTGCCTCAGGCCCACAGCAACAGGGACGTCTGTCCACTAGCGCACCCAGCCGTGATGGCTTGACACTCGGGAAGAGGAAACTTAACTGCGTCCATCTTGGTTATTAACTGACAGAGGAGGGAACCGCAGGCTGTGGACTGTGGACAGGGCCATCCCTGGGCAGGTGGGCCTGGGTAATTTAAGAGATGTGGTTGAGCAAGTGAGCCAGTGAGCAGCGTCTCTCCATGGTCATCGATGTAGTCTGGTCTCGGTGCCTCCTGTCCTGTCTTCCCTGGATGATGGACTGTAGCCTGGGATTGGAAGATGAAATAACCCCTTCCTACCCCAGGCTGCTTCTGGTCGGTGCCGTAGCACAGCAGAAGAGCAAACTAAAACTCGTCCTGCTCACCTTTAGTTCAGCCTTTCCCAGAACCCTAGCTGACATCACCTAAGGCTTCCTTTGGTTCTGCCTCTTTCAACAGCAGCTGTTCCTGCATGGGGGAAGCCGGAGGAGACTCACAAACCCAGCAGTGTGAGTCCTGAAGACAGGACCCCCACAGCACTTCTCACCACCAAGATTAAAATGGCCAAGAGCATGCCTTTAGTCCCAGCACTTAGGGCTAAAGTATTCTCCAAGTTTGAGGCCAGCCTGGTCTATATAGCAAGCCCAGCAATGCTACACAGTGACACCCTGTGTGTGTGTGGAATCTAGAAGAACACCAAGCTCACAGCACTGATTTCGACCCATGGTACTTTATTGTGGAAACTTCTATGCATTACATAGGTATTAACATCCTCCCTCCCACCCCCACGCCCCTTGCAAATCCAGAAAGATTAAAAAAGCCAAACATCATGTATAAAAACCTCTTACCTACTTTCTCTAAAGCCCTAACAAGTGTCAGTGCGTGCAAGCGAGGCTCCTGAGGGACTGGCCTTCCGCAGACTGCCCGTCCTTCCCAGGGGGCAAAGGTCAACGCTTCTGCTTCCTTTTCAGAGATCCATTTCTCCATCATTACACATTATTATTCCCTACTTGACACCTTCTTAGCAACTTGATTGCTGGATGCGTTTTTCATTTGGCAAAAATTCAATATGGCTTTGCGTGGGATGTTTAGTGTCAGAAGCGGCAGCGTTGATGCTCAGGCTCTGAGGGAAAATAGAGAGAGCTGTGTGTATTCCTGGAAGAGCGCTCGCCGGAGGCTGAAAGGGGCTGTGCAGTTAATGCCTCCACACTGCCTGCTCTTCAAGTCTGTGACTGCTGGCCAGAATACAAATGCCCCCAAAAGGTCCCCTCTGCTTCATTCTGTCCGAGGTATCAGCGTAGGTATGCACGGCACTGACACATGGCACTTTGTCATCCGGAAGATGGCTCATTGTAGAGGACCAGACAGCATCACACCTACCCAGAAGGGTACGCCTTCAGGATCTTCACATCATCCACAGGACGGTCCTGGGAGTTTGTTTCTACCATGCCCACTCGATTCACCATCCCTATGCCCTGACACACTCGGCCAAAAATGGTGTGCTTGCCATCCAGCCATTGGGTGGGAGCGAGGGTCACAAAGAACTGGCTGCCATTGGTGTCTGGTCCTGCATTGGCCATTGCAAGAATGCCAGCCCCTGCGGAGATGAGAAGAACATGAACAAGGGCCCCTCCAGCCAGCAGCGTGCAACACTGCCAGTGCACACAGGGCTGCACGCCTGTCTCCATCACCAGTTTCAGGACCCAGCCTCCTTCTTCCTGCAGCACCCCAACAGCCTCACGGCCTCTACCTCCATCTCTGTCCAGCTGCACCTGTGCTGCTCCTCACTGGCCACTGGCCCACTGCCGCTCCTCACCGGCCGCTGGCCCACTGCCGCTCCTCACCGGCCGCTGGCCCACTGCCGCTCCTCACTGCTGGCCACTGCCCACTGCCGCTCCTCACTGCTGGCCACTGGCCCACTGCCACTCCTCACTGGCCACTGGCCACTGCCGCTCCTCACTGCTGGCCACTGCCCACTGCCGCTCCTCACCGGCCGCTGGCCCACTGCTGCTCCTCACTGCTGGCCACTGCCCACTGCTGCTCCTCACTGCTGGCCACTGGCCACTGCCGCTCCTCACTGGCCACTGGCCACTGCCGCTCCTCACTGCTGGCCACTGGCCCACTGCCACTCCTCACTGCTGGCCACTGCCCACTGCCGCTCCTCACTGGCCACTGCCGCTCCTCACTACTGGCCACTGCCCACTGCCGCTCCTCACTGCTGGCCACTGCCCACTGCCGCTCCTCACTGCTGGCCGCTGGCCCACTGCCGCTCCTCACCGGCCACTGGCCACTGCCGCTCCTCACTGCTGGCCACTGGCCCACTGCCGCTCCTCACCAGCCACTGCCCACTGCCGCTCCTCACTGCTGGCCACTGGCCCACTGCCGCTCCTCACTGGCCGCTAGTCCATGTTACTCATTCCTATTAAGAGCCCACAAGGCCTTGCTTCGCTCTGAGGATGCTTCAGAGCCTTTACTTTTTGGCATTTAACAAGTGGGTAGAGTCCAGAACACAGGCCGGCACTTGGAATCGCTAAGGACTCTCAAGAGGCGCTGTTTCCTTTCGTCTGCCAGGGCACTCTGTGGCGCCACGGCTGGGCCGCTGTCTGGCGCCATGCCATAGTGTCAAGCACACACCTTGAACCACAGCCAAAAAAGCAGCTTTCACTATGCATCCCCCGCCCGCCCAGCCAGATCACACGCTTACCAGTGAACTTCAGTTCTGGATGAAGTTCATCTTCAAACTGTTTGCCGTAGATAGACGCACCACCGCGACCTGTCAATCAGAAGAAGAGCCCAAGGTCAAAGGACTTCTCAGCGCACAGGATGTTGCAGGCAGCGAGCACGCCAGGCCCCAGTAGACACATCACGGTGTTCCAGTCACTGGCTCCGCTCAGGTAAGACAGTAACATTTGCTTGTTAAATCTATGCTCACCGTCAGCATGCAGGAAATAGACCAGAACAGCATCCGAAGGGCCAGCGGCACGGGTGTACCCAGCCTCTACAGAAACCTCCCTCATGCCCCGACAGAGTCTGAGTATTCCAGCAAGCGTGCCCGGGCCCCAAGCCCAGTGCCCACCACAAACGGACCCTGCTGTGCTCTGTTACTGCCCACAACCCTACCAACCCACCACTCAGGCGCCTGCCGCAGAGGGATCCGACATGGCTGCTGCTTCCCCAAAGCGAGGAGACAGAAAGGGAAAGCTGTCAGCTTAGGGAGGGACAGGGATGTGGCAAGTGGCGTGCACAGGGGAGCAGTGTCTCACAGGAAGAGTCACCATCTGCTCCCTGAGACCGCCTGGGCGACTGCCTGCCTCACCACACAGCAGCCCGGGTCGGAGGCACTCTGCACCGCTTCTGGTCTCCCCTGTGGCCAAATGTTACTCGTGTACAATAAATCACCTTTCTTACCACCTCAGCTGGAGAACCAGACAGACAGACTCTCCAGCAAACCCCCCCAACCCTGGAGAGGAACAGACTGACATCTAAGACGTGACACAAGGAGCGTGGGCTAACACAGCGGTCACAATGCTTGGTGCCACTTGTGCCCATCCCACCCCATGACAGGCAGCAGATCCCTATCCAAGCCACAAGGAACCGTAGTAGGCAGCAACCCGGGCACAAGGAGGACCACATGAGCACGGGACACCTAGTCAGCTGACCAACTAAGCCTCTCTTCTGGTGACGAAATCTGCAAGGGACACAAGTCACTGTACCCGGGGCATTCCCAGTGCTCTCCCCCACCTTCCCTGGCCTCAAAGACAACCACAGGGCAGTTCCTTTGCGGCTGGCTGAGGCTCACGGCCCAGTTCTGTCTTACAATGTAAACAAGCCTGCTAAGTCAAGCTTCCAAGAAGCCAGCGCCTTCCGAATACACACAGACGAGCCCTCTCCTTTGCCTTTCCTGTCGCCTTTCCTCATCTCCCGTCAAAAGCAGCCGCAGCCCTCTTACAACCGTAAGACACAAGGCCAAGATCGAAGTCCATAGGAAGTCGCAGCAAGCTTGGCCCTCAACAACTGTGCTGGGAAGAGAAGCAACGAGAACCCTGCTTTCCTTAGGGTGCTTTACAATGTGGGAGCAGCAACACAGACATAAAGGCATAAAGTCAAAAGCACCGCCTAATGACACAGCCACTTAGTAACAGCAGGGCAGAGACCCTCTCAGAAGTCGCGTGGGCACACAGGAAGTGAGCACGGAAGGCATCAGGGATGCTGGGTCCACTAGCCAAGGGCAGCAGGTAGTCACCACCTACAGCGGCCAGCAGCCAGCCTGGCCAGCGTCTTCCTCCGCCTTTCCTGGCTCCCCTCGCTCTTCCAGTGAGCCTCCTCCTTCTCCCCCCTTCTGAACTGTTGTCAGATCACCCACCACCGCCACAGCCTCTCACAGCTGGTACCACCCTCCTCCAAGACTGTGGGTACTCCCCCCTCTGGCAGCTCCTTCTCTGCTGGTGCCTTCTTTCTCAGGGAACAGGCCTGTGGTACCCTGAGAACACACCTCTTCCCCCTGGTTCTCTCCCCCAGTTAATCGCTGAACACCTAACTGCCTAGGGACACTACAATGATCTCAGCGCTGCCAAGCAAGGCCCGTTCTGGGCTCCAGGCCCATCTCCTCCTCCACAGGCAGCCTCTTCGTGTAGCGGCCGGGGGCCCTGCACTGCCCGGCTTAGAATCCTGTGTGCATTTCACCACACTCAGGACGAGACCCACACCACCGCCCCAGAGGACGCTGTGGTCACTGTCCCCTCCCTGCCTTACTTGGCGAGCAGCCTGTTCTAAGGCCCCTGAGTGCTGTGCTTTGCAGTGTCCCTGCCCGGCCCCCGGTACTCAGAGTCTACTCGACCTTATCAGAGAGGCCTTCCCTGTGAGCACTACCCCAGACAGCACTGCTCCATCCTGTGGCCTGGGGACACTGGGTAATGTCAGGAACATATCTGGTTGTCAAAACTGAATGGTCTGCTATCTAGTGGGCAGATGCCAGGCCAGGGCAGCTGCTAAACATCCCTCAGTGCCAGCCCAGCCCACATCAGAGCTGTCGCCTCAGCAGATAAAGCCAAGGGAAGACACTCCGCTCTCCCCACAGCACTATTTTCAAGTCGCTTGTCATTCCACTGGAACGTTTTACCTTCCAGCTTCTCAGTAGGACTCTCTCCCTCTGGACTGACCCCATGGCAGGCAGCCAGCAGAGGGAGTCTAGCAGATTCCTGTGAGATGCTAAGTGGACTAACCAAATAAATAATCTTTGCACTGTTTCTGTGCCGAGCCTTTGCCAACCATTCGACCACCGTGAGCTCATGGAGCTGCCACAGCAGCCCCAGGAGGAAAGGACAGCCAGGCTCCCCACCTCACAACAAGAGCTCTGCAGTCACCTGAGCTGTGCATTTGTGACGGGCGACTGTGTGAGGTACGGCTCAGGTCACCTGGATGTGACCCTACCTTGCCACAGATCCCAGCTGGACTCAGCTTCTCAGGCATTTTCCATCTAACCCTGGCTCCATGCTTTTCCCACAGGTGTTCAATCTGCTCAAACTGCTCCTCTCCTCTTCTCTATATGTGTGACTCACAAGGCTCAGAGTCACCCAACTCCAGTCTCGAGAGGGTGTGGTTGGCTGGGTTCCGTCACAGGACCAGAGAAGCCAGGGACAGCGGGCTCTCTCCTCCATCCTTCTGCAAGAGTATCAGAGCGCCTTGCCCTTGGCTTCCCAAGAGTTATGTCCTATGATTCCTGCAAGGCTCATCCACGAGGCCTCCTCTCCAGGCTAGCCCTCGTCCACTGGACAAGTCCCTCACCATACAGTATCCAGCCTGCCTCACACACGCAAACCACACGATGCCAGCACAAAGTTGCACGGTCACGACGTCACCACGTTCCCGTTTCTTAAAACGAGCAGCTCGTTTCCTGTGGAGCTGGGAGCTCCATAAGGAGAGAGGACACCTCAGTGTCTGTGCTCGAGCACAGCCTCAACAGTGCAGGACACCCAGCCGACCCTCAGCAGAGATTCCCCAAGTGAGGAAAACGAGCAGGCAAGGAACAAACCAGGTGTCCCTGGGGCTACCAAAGGAGAGGACATCAGAGGGGGGCTGCCTCGCAAGACGACCACGTGCAATTAATCAGGGCCAAGAGCAGAGCAAGATGGCCGCGCAGACACGCTCGGGAGGTGTGGGAAGCTAACTGGAGGTGAGGAAGGTTAAGCAGAACCAGGTGAAAGGCTCCCAGGAAGCCGAGGAAAGGGCAGTGCAGAGGGTGAGGGTTCTGCCTCAGAGCGAGAGGCAGGAAGTCAGAGCGCCCTGAGCTGAGAACGCACCTGAGGAGGACGGGTGTGAGGAAGGAATGGACAGCCTGCAATGTTACCTGCTCGGGTAGCTCCCCGAGACATTCAGCAAAGCTGCGTCGTGGTCGGCTGGCAGGCAGGGTCTAGTGCCTGGGAGGGCTGCCCCCTGGTTGCTTCTCCCACAGCCCCGCTGGCAGGCTGCGCAAACATTTGTTACACTTGAGCCTGCAGCCTTATTGGAAATCTTTGGAGAGCTTCAATTTCATTAAAAGTACATCATGGAAATGTGACATTAGGAAAGATGGCAGAGTAACTAGAGACACAGGCGAGCACTGTGCCAACAGTTCATTTCGAGTCATTTCCCACTCGCGGAGCATGGGCCTTGGCACTGGCATCACAGATTAAAACCCACTTCATTACAACAATGAAAGGGAGACGGGGCATGGGGGCGCACGCCTTTAAGCCTAGAACCTGAGAGGAAGAGCAGGTGGATCTCTGTGAGTTCGAAGCCAGCCTGGTCTATAAAGAGAGAAGACAACCAGGGCTACACAGTGAGACCCTGTTTCAAAGAAAAGAGGGAGAGTCAGGAAGGACGGACGTGAACATCAGCCTTGCCTTGCCTCCGTTCCCAGTGAAATGAACAAAACACAAAGATTTCTCAAGGGAAAATAAAGTGAAGCAAGCAGCCTGGAATGCTGGGGCACCCCTTTAATCCTAGCCCTGGAGAGGCAGAGGCGGGCAGATCCGTGAGTTCAAGGTCAGCCAGGGCTACACACTGAGACCCTGTTAAATAAAGAGAAACAATTATTTGTAAAATTCTGAAGAATTGACCAAGGAAAGAAAGTCTCTCTGCACACCTGGATGACTGAAGGCTGAGCTAGGCCCTGAGAAGTCCCCCAGCCTGCAATTCTGAACAACCAACAGAGGGCGCCAGGCACAGCCCGAGCGCAGAACCCGTACTCACACACAAGTGGGACAGGGCTGGCTACCTACAGGGTCATACTTGGAGGATGAGTTGGAGCCTGGGGTGAGGACAGAGGAACTCTGGGACAGAATTTTCTAGAATCTGGGAAGACAAAGCAGAGGCGAGCCTTCCCACAAGGAGCTCCCCAATTTCTCTTCAAGCTAGGATGCAGTGGAGAGCCAGTAACCTCAAATTTGCAGTGGAGAGGACACATAAATTCAGAAACATGACAGCAATCCGATTACACTGTACCCGAACAAAAACAAGACAGCGACAACATATGTGCTGATCCCAACGTCAACAGAAATGGTGAGGGACAGACCCCAGCAGATGGAAGGGCACTGGAGAAGAGGGGAGGGCAATACCTCTGAGGCCTCAAGACACGAAGGGCTGACTCTGCAGACTCTGAGAAAGTCAGAGGGAGGCGAAAAGACACAAACTGGGACCCAAAAGGCACTAATAGAGTTACCACAGTCACTCAACAGGGCAAGCGCCTAGAATGGGTGAGGCTCGGTGAAGGTATGAGGGGGTGAAAGGAAAAAGTCATCTCACTGACTGACCACAGGAAATGTGACAGACAAGGAACGCAGTAAGCCAGGTCAGGCCAGGCCAGGCCAGGCAATGCTCCAGCAGGCTGCTCCGACTCCCTGGACTGAGGGGAGCACACTGGTCTTGGATTTTCTGAAGCTGTATTCAAACCAGAAGGCTATGACCAGACTTTTCTAAAAAAGATCTAAGGGGATGAATGTGGCTCCGATATAATACTATACCTACTCAAGGTCTCTTTTTAAGTACAAAGGCAACAGGCAGAGTCTGAAACAGGAACAAACCCCAAAATAGAACCCCCTCGGTCCTGGAAATCAAAAACAAGAGATGGAACCCTGGCCAGGGACGGCTGAGCCGGGAAAAGGACTCGCCATGCAAGGCGGACCACCCAAGTTCAGTCAAAGCAACTGATGCACAGCTGTAATCCCAGCACTCTCCCAGCAAGACGGGAGACAGACACAGAAGACCCTGCTGCAAGCTTCCAGGCCAGCTGCCCAAAGTGGGCTGCGTAGCAACAAGAGAACTGCCCAAGCGAGAAGATGAGAATCAGCCCAGAACACACACACACACACACACACACACACACACACACACACACACACACTCTACACACACACATACACACCACACACACTCTTTCTCTCTCTCACACACACACACACACACACACACGCGCGCGCGCACACTCGTACCACACATACACCCCACACATACACACACATCATAAATACATATACACACACACACAATATTTGAAAAAAGAGACACTGCCCCCAGCCCTGGTTAAAATAACTGATGGGCTGAGTGCCAAATCCACCAGAATGCAGAGCCACGTGGCAGCCATCAGTGGCATCTCCAGGTGCAGGGGATTTTGGCCTTCAAACATGCCCATGGCACAGAGACATACACACAGGCAAAACCCATACACATAAAATAATAATTTTTACAAGTTACCATGAATTAATAAACACTTTAATTTAATATTTATTTAGGTTTTTTGAGAAGGGTTTCTCTGTGTAGCTTTGGAGCCTGTCCTGAACTCACTCTGTAGACCAGGCTGGCCTCAAACTCACACAGAGATCCTCCTGCCTGGCAGGAACTACCAGAGGAACCGATGAACCAGAGCCAGCGTGTGGGAGGTGGAGGCAGGAGGACCACGAGTTCAAGGACGACTGGGCTACCTTGATAGCCTATCTGAGAGAGAGATGGGGGGATTTGCTACCAATGCAGCGCAGTGGGGAGAGTGCATGCCCAGTGTTCTGGAAGCCCTGGGTTCAGTTCCTAGCACACAGAAGCTGAGCATGGCAGCACACAGAAACCCCAGCACAGGGGAAATGAAGGCAGGGAGATCAGAAGATTAGGGCGTTCTCAGTGAGCAGGAGGCTAGCCTGGGCTATGAGGCCCAGTCTCAAAAGAAAACCAAACCAGACCCAGCAAATGGAAAAGCACGCTGTGGCTGCCTCACCACCCAGATGTGACGGGTAAGACGTCAGACACGCGTGACGGCTTAGCTGTACCTGTCCCCGTGGGGTCCCCGCCTTGGATCATGAAGTCCTTGATGATCCTGTGGAATCTGGTGCCGTTGTAGTAGCCCCGCCGAGCCAGCTCTGCGAAGTTCTTGCAGGTCTTCGGAGCGTGTTTCCAGTACAGCTCCAGCACGATGATCCCCATGCTGCAGTTGGGACAGACGACACAGACGGTCGGCAAGGTCACACGGCAAGGCCACAGCGAGCAGCAACCCCGTGAGGCATCAAACTGTGACCAGGGTTCACAGCAAGAAGAAAACAACCCACGAAGCAACAAGGCTACAACCAATCACCCGAGTGATACACAGAACCTTTTCTGGCGTATGTTCTAAGTAAAACAACCGCGGACAAGTCAAGATTCTAAGCCCATACACTGATGCTCTGGAACCAACCTTAAACAAGGAAAAGGGCCTCCCATGTCATCTGTAGGTTTAATAAAAGGATATTTCAGTGTGGGGGATTTATATACATTTGTATCAGTGCTGGGGAGGATGGTGACTGGCCAGATAAGAGGCAGGATGTTCAATAAATACCTTTTCTAACATTTATATTTTTGGTCATGTAAACATATCACCTATTAGGACCAAAACTGAATGGAAAAATAAAAGCAGTTGTGTGTTAAAAAACGCGGGTCACACGGGGCTGGAGACGACTCAGCTGCTAAGAGCACGCATTGCTTACAGATGACGGGGTTCAGTTCCTGGCTCTGCCTCCAGCTCCAGGGGATCCGATACCTCTGGCCGGGAGCAAATGTGTACAACAGAGGCCAAGGTGGTTTACTGCACATGTCTGCACATGCCCAGCATGAGGGTTTACTCCCCCCCCCCGTACCTCTAAGGATAAGACAAGGCAAGGGGTCATGCTGTCTGCCATCACCCTCTGAGCTCTAGGGACGGGATGTGTCTGTAAGGCCCAGAGACAGGAGGCCCAGCAGTGTGAGCACTCCAGTAGAGCCTGGCGGTGGTGGCGCACACCTTTTTAATCCCTGTACTTGGGAGGCAGAGGTAGGCAAGTCTCTGAGTTTGAGGCCTGGTCTACAGAGTGAATTCCAGGATCTCAAAAAACAAAATAAATAAATCTATAATAAACAAATGCATATAGAATGTACTGAAAAATCATTTACTGGCAGCCTTCCTTCCTGCCTGAAATTCATCCTTCTGATAGTTACCAACCAACACAGGTTTAGTCACGCTTCCACCATGGGAGGCACTACCTGAGGTGTTCTCCTGGGAGCTTATTCTGGTGGGAGGGTTTTCCTTCCTATTTTATGTGTTGATGGGTACTGTTCTTTTTGTTTGTTTCGTTTTTCAAGACAGGGTTTCTCTGTATTGTTTTGGAGGCTGACCTGGAACTCGCTCTGTAGACCAGGCTGGCCTCAAACTCACAGAGATCTATCTGCCTCTGCTTCCCGAATGCTGGGATTAAAGGAGTGCGCCACCAACACCTGGCTTGGTACTGTTCTTAATTAACTTAGTGTGTGTGTATGTGTATGTGACTGTGATGTGTGTGTATGAGAGAGAGAGAGAGAGAGAGAGAGAGAGAGAGAGAGAGAGAGAGAGAGAGAGAGAGAGAGAGAGAGAGAGAGAGACTGTGCTGTGACACACATACAGAGGTTAGGCTGACGTTCAGGTCAGGAGTCAGGTCTCTCCCCCAATCACATGGATCTTAGGGATCTCACCCTCAGGAGGCTTGGTGGCAGACACCTGTACCCACTGAGCCATCTTACCAGCCCTAGTAGGAGCTTTTTAAATACAACAGATAACAAGGAATAGCAGGCATGAAGTATTTATATAATTACGCGTCCCTGAACAATTTCAACTTCTAAATATCTGTTCTCTAAGAAAAGTTATAGTTGCCTAAGAGTCTGTGTGTACAAATACGACCCAATACAACAGATACAGGATCTGCCACAATAAGAAAACTAGGAGTATGCCAGGTGGTGGTAGCACCTTTAATCCCAGCACTCGGGAGGCAGAGGCAGGCGGATCTCTGTGAGTTCGAGATCAGCCTGGTCTACAAGAGCTAGTTCCAGGACAGCCTCCAAAGCCACAGAGAAACCCTGTCTTGAAAAATTAAAAAAAAAAAAAAAGAAAAGACAATTAGGAGTAGATTGAGCAGTGGTGGCTGGCACCTTTAATCCCAGCGCTTGAGGAGAGGCAGGCGGATCTCTATTGAGTTCAAGGCCAGCCTGCTCTACAAAGCAAGTGCATGCTACCTGTATGCAACCCAGACCTTAAACTTCTGATCCTCCTGCTTCAGAGGGCTAGGAGTAGACATGTGCCAACCACACCACATCTGAGGTGCTGGAGGCCGAGCTCGGGGCCTCTGCATGATTAGCGCTCTACCAACCGAGCCATACCCCCAGCGCAAAGATCACTCTAGGTGGGGAAAAGTCGTCTTCCTCTACTTTCAAAGCAATTTGTTCACTACTTTTCCTGTAGTGTTTACCCATCTGTACCCTTCACCATAACACAGTGTTTTATCTAGTTCTGTATCCTCAAAAGTCCAGGTCCTGCCGGGCGGTGGTGGCGCACGCCTTTAATCCCAGCACTCAGGAGGCAGAGGCAGGCGGATCTCTGTGAGTTCGAGACCAGCCTGGTCTACAAAGTGAGTTCCAGGACAGCAGCCAAAGCCACAGAGAAACCCTGTCTCAGAAAAAAAAAAAAAAAAAAAAAGTCCAGGTCCTACGTGCATGGCTTCTGGACTCAACACACACTTGTTGAGAATAAGTGGGTGAGTGAGTGAATGAATGAATGAATGAGTGCGTGAGTGAAGATGGATATAGATAAATGAACTAATGAACCGGGTGGGAAAGGACAGCAGACAGAAGTCGCCGAGGTCTGCCGCGATGCTGGAGGGGCTCCCCTGCGGTCCCTTCAGAACTCACGGGTACTCCCGGCCGCAGCTCCGTGCCGTCCACGTGCGAGTCAGGCCGGCCTCTCTCAGCCTGGCCGCTGCGGCACGAACCCACGTCTCCTCGGCCATCCAGCCCCCAACCCTCACCTAGTCTCCAGGTAGACGTTGGGCGGCTGCCAGGTGTCAGGGGGAATCGCCGCCATGCTGAGCGAAGGTATCGCCTAGCAATGGCTACTTCCGGCGGAGTTCGCTGGGGACCCGTCCCCGGTGCGCACACTTCCGGTTCCCGCCGATCCGCCGGATTTCGAGATAGGGTTTAGGGCGCTGGAACAAGGAAGATGAAGGATGATTTCTTTCGAGGCTGGGGAAGGGGTTGCAAGACAACATACCCAGTGCAGGGACCCAGACAAGAGCAAGATCCCTCGGCGGTGATTCGCGCCATGCTTCGGAACGGTGATTGCACGGGAGGCGGGAACTACGGTCTTCGTTCTGATTGGAGGGATGGCCAATCATTGAATTAAATTTTTAGTTCCCTGATTTGGATGTCTCGGAAATGAGCTATACTGAGTTCGCAGCCCTGGCTGTCCTGGAACTCACTCTGTAGACCCGGCTGGCCTCGAACTCACAGGGATCCTCCTGCCTCTGCCTCCCGAGGGCTGGGATTTAAGGGGTGCAGCACCACGCCCAGCGCACCTTTTTATTACATCTGTTTTACAGAGCAATCCTGTAGCTAACAGTATTCCTGGTTTTCAGATGTGAGAACCGGGACTCCGCAGTTAAGTGCCACACGGCGAATCTGATCCCCCAGCCTCCAAAAGCAAGGACCGTATGGAAAAAGGAAAAGGCTGGGAACGAGGATGACAGGACTTAAAATGACGGCGCCCGGCTGTGTGGCGCACGCCTTTAATCCCAGTGCTCCGGAGGCCGAGGCAGGAGGATCTCTGTGAGTTCGAGGCCAGCCTGGTCTACAGAGCGAGTTCCGGGAAACCCTGTCTCAGAAAAAAACAAAAACCGTTGGCTTTTGATAGATTGCCACCCCAAAGTTGTTTAGGGTGACAGGAGAAACAAAGAAGAGGTATAGAGGGAGGACAAGATAGAGGCGGGATGAATTAACTGGCATTCTTAGGGCCGGAGGTGTCGCCGATTAGACTTGCTGCACACGTACCTAGTGAGGAGGTCCCCAGCACCCATGGAGACGCCGGGGGTATGCACCTGGGACTTCCTCACCCAAGCAGAGACCCAAGGATTCATGGAGCTGGCCGGCCAACCAGTCTAGCCCAAGCAGCTTGCTCCAAGTTCAGTGAGCCACAAGGAAAAATGTATGTTTTATATTAAACATCCCCTACTTAACAACAAAGAAGTAGGGAAATATTTACACCGTCTCTTCAGTTCTAAGATGCATCCTCCCTCTCACCCGCCCACTTCCTGCACAGCAAGGCAAACACCAAGCAAATGCAATCCCGCACAACCTTCGCTTCCCAAGAAAACTGAGCAAAAGACACTACAGAAATCTGAACCCTTGGCATGCAGCGGACTTATAAGACCAACAGAGGCCGGGGTAAGAGTTCATGGGGATTTCTCCCATCAAGAGCTAGATAAATAGAAGTGACTTTTAAATCTTTTATTTATTTATTGTGTGTGTGTGTGTGTGCGTGCATGCCTGGGTGTGTGTATCTGCATTACGGGCACACATGGTCTGCAGAGGCCAGAAGAGTGTATGTGATACCCTAGAACTGGAGTTGTGTACAGTTTCGAGCTGGAATGTGTGCACTAGGAATAGAACCCGGGCCCTCTGCAAAAGCAGTAAGTGCTTTTAACACCTGAGCCATCGCTCCATCCCCAAGAGCGACACTCTCTTGGGCTGGGAAGATGGCTCACAGGGTAAGGGCTCCTGCTGCCAAGCCTAATTACCTGAGTTCAATCAGGGATCTACACAGCAGAAGAAAAGAACAGGCATCCGTAAGATCTACACACACACACACACACACACACCAGAGGCAGGGGCTATGGCTCCGTGGTAGAACAGGCATCCGTAAGATCTACACACACACACACACACACACACACACACACACACACACACACACCAGAGGCAGGGGCTATGTATGGCTCCGTGGTAGAGCTCTTGCCGAGCATTTTAGAAGCTCACCCTGAAACATCAAAGCAGCTAGCTCCCCCAGCCTGCCATCATAGCTGCTTTTTATCTTTTTTTTTAAGTGGTTGAAAGTTTTTGAAACGCCTTTAAAGTTTTGGCATCTTTAATGTGTTCTACAACTGTGTTATATTAACGCAAGCCATGCTGACTTAAAAATCCAGGGTCAAGTCAGGCCCTCAGCTTGGCACCATGTGCTGTCCTTTCTGACCCACACTCTGATGCGTGCGTGTGAGCCAACTTGTCAGCCGTGTCCGTATTGGTGAGGTTGGACGAGGTGATGGTGGGCCTGAGTCACTCCTCATGCATCAGTAGGCCTTCAGGGGGCGTCTCCCCAGAGCTTTTGGCGCTCATTTGGGCAGGCTGCTGCACAGACACTCTTGTCCCTTCCTCTCCCTCCTCCCTTCCTCATCCCCGCCTTCTCCCTCCTCCTTGGGTTTGTCCCAGGCTTCCTCTCTGCTACCCTCCCTTGGGAAGCACGTAACAACATCCATGTGCCCAGACATGCCTGTCTCTCTGAGTGCCCCTCTTCCTCCCTTAATCCCCGTGGCTTAAGTCTTTAAAAATATCTTTATAAAAATCTCCAACTCTGCTTTAAATTAGTTAGGCCTGGAAATCTCTGATGTATCCAGGTCATGAATCCTCGAGTTGGCCTGAGTCAAGATCTCTAAAAGATGAATGCACCAATTTGGGCAGCAGAAGGTGACCTAGTCAATCTATGTCTCTGTCACTTTCACCTCTGGCACATGGGGGTTCATTCCTGGCTCTACCTGAAGCATCGTGGCTGAGTGTCCCTGAGCGTTGCTTGCTTGGACTGCCTTGCTACACAAGGCTTACATGTTATCTTGGTTTCTTCGTTGTTGCTTTGGGTCTTGTTTGTTTGTTTTTCAAGACAGGGTTTCTCCGTGTAGCCCTGGCTGCCCTGGAACTCGCTCTGTAGACCAGGCTGGCCTCCAACTCAGAGATTCACCTGCCCCTGCCTCCCGAGTGCTGGGATGTTCTCTTGTTTTTTTTTTTTGCTTTTGTTTTTCTGGAATGGTCACTTCTACACTCTCTGAACCCTAAAATGTTTTTTTGAGACAGGGTTTCTCTGTAGACTAGGTTGATCTGGAACTCAGAGATTCACCTGCCTCTGTCTCCTGAGTACTGGGATGTTCTGCTGGTTTCTTTGCTTTTGTTTTTCTGGACAAATCCCGGATTTATTTATTTATTTGTTATGTATACAGTGTTCTGCCTGCATGTTTGCCTGCACACCAGAAGAGGACACCAGATCTCATTACAGATGGTTGTGAGCCACCATGTGGTTGCTGGGAATTGAACTCAGGACCTCTGGAAGAGCAGCCATTGCTCTTAACCGCTGAACCATCTCTCCAGCTCTGGACCCTAAAATCCTAAAGGTGCTCTCCGTTCTCTCCTAGACTCTTGTCTAAGGGTGCTGCTACTCTGACCTGCATTGTTCCCTGTGAAGCGGGTACCCTTAGGGCAAGGGGCCCTTTCCTCTTCAATGCAACTTCGAGGGTCTGCTTCACAGCTCCAAGTAGCAGGAACTCCGCTGGCCTTCTCCTCAGGACTCTCACTAGGTGATGCTCTGAAGAAGAGGCTTATAGAACTTCGAAGGCCGAGACAGATAAATTGGCTCTTATTCTGTAAGAGACTGGAGGCCTAGCTACTAGGTTGTCTGTGTCTTTGAATGTGACACTGGCTAGGCGGTATCTTCTGATGAAAGAAGGAGAAGCCTACCAGGGATGCTCGCAGACCAAATAACAGCCCGAGCGTTGGTGACCACAACGGCTGGGTTAACAGTTGACACTGGATGACCTGCAGAGCCTGGTCAGGGAAGGACTCCATAGCCTCCATTGGCACAGGACCGGCAGAAGATACCTGATCCAGCCATCTCCATTTTTACCCACCCACCCCCACTGTTCTAGATATGTATACAGCATGGGAAGTTATTCAGCTCACCATTAATTAAAAGAGTAAAAAGCTTTAGCCTAGGACTGGAGAGATGGCTCAGCAGTTAAGAGCACTGACTATTCTTCCAGAGGTCCTGAGTTCAATTCCCAGCAACCACATGGTGACTCACGACCACCTTGAATGAGATCTGGTGCCCTCAGCTAGCATGCAGGCAGAAGACTGTACACAAAATAAATAAATAAAATATTAAAAAAAAAAAGAGTACTTGGCTGCTCTTCCAGAGGTACTGAGTTCAATTCCCAGCACCCACATGGTGGCTCACAACCATCTATAATGAGATCTGGTGCCCTCTTCTGGCCTGCAGGGATACATGCAGGCAGAACACTGTATATATATATATATATATATATATATATATATATATATATATGTAAAACAAATAAATATTTTTTTAAGAAAGAAAGAAAAAGCTTTGGCCTAAAGTGACATAGTCATTTCCCCCTGGAAGGCATCTCCTCCCCTGCTATTTATCTCTGGGACCAGGAAAAAGTATTGCTACGTCCACATGACTAGCTCAAGTTTCGAACTCAGGCTTCAGTCTGTCCATCTGTACCACTGGCCAGCTTAGGCGCCAGGTCCATGTTTCTACGGTAAGTTCTCTACCAGGATTCAGGGGAAACTCACGTAATTTAAAAAGCACAGATTTGGGAGTAAGGATTGCTTCGGTGCTCTGCACATGTCTCTGCACACGTGTGTGCTGTCTACACGTACTTATGTTTTTATACAGTTTCCTTGGTGCCAGACTGGCTTAGAAGTGCTGACATAAATTAAAATTGCTAAATTTACCCAAATTATTTCCAGTTCATAGTAGACCTGGAATTAAATTTTGTTTCGGTTTTATTTATTTTCATGTGTATGCGTGTTTTGCCCGAATGCATGTCTGTGTGCCCAGTGCACATAGAGGTGAGAGGAGGGTATCAGATCCCGTGGAGTAACCGTTTTAAGACATTTTGTAGGCGGTTGGAACTGAACCCCGGTCCTCTGCAGGATTAGCCAGTGTCCTTAACTGCTGAGCCAACGCTCCGGCTTGTGTGGGTGTAATTTTAAAGGGTGAAAAAAGAGTCAGCGCCAACAGCCTCGGTGTGTCAGCTAAGGGAACAAGTAATGTCAGGTGGCAGTGAGCGGTTCAGGCGTTAGGCTGGCCTGCCCCGTCACCTGGCAGAATGCACTCAGGCAGCGCTCTGGCCAGCCCAGGGTTCCACGAGTACAGTCTGCACGCAGGTGTAATTAAAAGGCAGACCCCCTGCCCACTGACGCTCTCCTCCTCTCTCTTCCTGCTCTGCTCTTACCCCCCACTCTCTCGTCTCCCCCTCTCGTGTCTCCCTTCCTCGCTCTCCACCGCTGTAATAAAACCACTGCTAATGTACTCTGTCTGGCTCGTGCTCCATCCATCGCGCCTTTCTAACTTTAACTTAAAAGAACAACAGTCGGGAGAGGAGAATTGGTTGTGTATGTACTGGGGTGGGGAGGGTGGGGGTCAGTGCATAGAGTGGCCTGAGTCTTTGTTCTCTTTCTCTGGTTTGCCCGACCCTGCTGTTGTAGCATCAGGGCTGAGCCCAGGTTTTTGCCCGCAGGTCCCGTGCAGAAGTCAGGGAAAGACTCCTGACACAGGGGCTGGAGAGATGGTTCTGCTGATGACAGCATGAGCTGCCCTTCCGAAGGATCTGAGTTCAGGTCCCAGAACCTGCATCTTTCTGCTCACAACTCCCTGCAGCAAGTCCTGCGCCTCTGGCCTCTGAGGGCGCATGCATTCACATGCAACACACCCTTCATGGCGGCACACGTGCACATAAGGAAAATGAGTAAAACTACATTTGTTTTTAAGTTCTAACATCACAGACAATTCTGACGAATCTGGCATCAAATGCGGACAACCACACCCTATCTGTGAGAAGAATCTCCAGTGCTTTAACCAGCTCCATAAACTTGTTTTGACTGGTAGAGAGTTAAGCGTTGTGAGAATGTTTATGCTACAATAGAATTGTTGGGCCGGTTGGTGGTGGTGCTGCCTTTAATCCCAGCCCTCGGGAGGCAGAGGCAGGCGGATCTCTGTGAGTTCGAGGCCAGTTCCAGGACAGCCTCCAAAGCAATACAGAGAAATCGTGTCTCGAAACACAAACAAACAACAACCACAGAATTGCTGCAGCAGTTTCGTACGAACAGACCGTTTAGTGATGCCTAGCGCAGAATCAGCGGGCAACAGAAGCAAACGAGGAAACAGATACGATGGGAGAGATTTGAGTCGAGAAGGCTAGTACTAAGAAGGAGCAGCAGCGCGAGGTGGGCGCCAGGGGGCGCAAGAGCGCAAGCTTTCGAGATACCGCGAGAGTTCTCCCCGCGCCCCGAGACCTCGCCGGATCGCGCTTCGGGAGCGCGGAGCGCGAAAAGGTTTCCCTTTGTGTTGGAGGCCTGGCCAAGCGGGCGTGAGGACCGCTTCCGGGTCGCGGCACCGGAAGCAGGAAGTTGCTGGTCCGGCCTCCCCGCCCGGCGGGCGACTGGTGTCCCCGAGGCGGGAGGAGCCCGAGAGGGCGCGGGCCCGCATGTGAGTGACTGGGGCCCGAGGCCGGGAGGGGGGAGGCCGGCCGCCCGCCCTGCGCGGCCGCCACCGCCTCGCGCCGCCCCACCTCGCCGCCGCCGCCCCCTTTCCCCTCCCTGCGCTCCCGTCCTCCGCCAGAGCCGCCCGCCGGCCCACACCGTCCCCCGGCCGCTCCCTCGGGGCAGACGCCCCCCAGGGCACCCTCTGGAGGCTCTGCCGAGGGCGGGGACGCCAGCCCCGACCCCGCCCGGGCCACCCTCGTCTCGGGTCCTTTAGCATCACGAGAGTCCATCCCCAGGCCCCGTCTCTGACATCTTTCCCTAACTGCTAAGGAGGAAGGTTGTCTTTTTAATTTAACAAACAAACAAACAAACAAACGTGGGCTTAGATAAACCTGGCGTCTCAGAGTCCAGAAAGGCGCGTGTCCTGCTGTACTGACCCGAGTAGAAAGAACTGTTTGCAGTCGCCTGTCAGTGCGAGAAAAGCCACCTGCCCGGTGCTCCATGGCGTTTTAAGACTTAACCTTGCAGGCCCCATGTCGTGAGTATGCTGTGCTTGAGACAAAGAGGGACAACGCTTGGCCTTTTCACAGTGCCAGGGTTTGCCCAAGAACAGATTTCACAAGCCGGGTCCCGTCTGCCGCAGTCTTGCCCAGAATTGGAGATGTCCCTTGACAGCTGGCCATTGACAAAAATGACGTTATTTTGTTCCGGTCCTCATTGGGGGTGGGGGTATTGTCCCTCACGAGACACCACACACACCCACAGTGATTGTACTCTATGGGTTACTGAGTGTCTGCACAGGGGGTAAAGATTCCTGCAGTGAGGCAGCAGAGAATGTCAGGGACGTACAGAAAAAGACAAGTGTTCAGGTAAGATGTGAGGGTCTCAGAGCTGAGGGAGACCCTGAGATAGACCTTGTCATTGAGGGGGGCCTCTCACCCAGAAGGACAGACAGGTGGCCACATCAACAGTGGGGATACACTCATAGTCACAGGACCAGTCCTGTGGGGGCTGCTGCCATTACGGTGTCAGAGCTCTCCCCCTTCATGGGATCCAAGTAGGGGTTCCGGGTCAGTCAATGTATCTGGTGAGTTCTTGGGAATGGCTTTTCTGATAGGAATTCAGAACACTTAGTGCTCATAGGATCCCCGTTTATTTTGATTGGTGGTTGGTTGGGTTTTGTTTTATTTTTCTCCCTGGGTGGCCTAGAACTGGCTGTGTAAACCAGGGTGGTCTCCAACTCAAAGAGGCTAACCTCTGCCTCACAAATGCAGGGATTAAAGGCCCAGGACATCACCTCTGGCTGCTTTGCTAAGCTTATAGGTGAAAAAGTTTATGTTTCACTTTTAGAAATCTGTGCCTTGTGCGAGGGGCTGACAGGTAGTGGTGCGGTTTGCTCAGGGAGGCGGAGTATTCCTGCCTCAGCATTTTCACTCAGAGTGCAGCCAGATGCTGCTCACAACATGGAGTCACTGAGGGCAAGGCACAATCTGGAAATAGCCTTGGTATTGAATGTTCTCTTAGTTACCACGCCTTTGGTAGTATAGACTATTACATACTTAGTATGCTAATCCTTCTCATTGCTTATTTGATAGTTTCCAGATGGAACTTTTTAACAGACATTCTCTGTCGTATGGTTAACTTGAAGTTATTTCAGTTTCTCTCTTAAGAACATGTCGAGAGATGGGCAGTGGTTACACACACACCTTTAATCCCAGCACTTGGGAAGCAGAGGAAGGGGGGATCTCTGTGAGTTCGAGGCTAACCTGGTCTACAGCGTGCGTTCTAGGACAGCCTCCAAAGCTACACAGGGAAACCCTGTCTCGAGAAAACCAAAACCAAACACCATGAAGGGAATGGGGTAAAGTGCTGGACTAGTGTGCACAAGACCCTATGTTCAGTTCTCAGTACTGAAAAGGAGCAAAACAGATTAAATACTTAAGTCAGGCATGGTGATGAATGCCTTTAATCCTAGGGCTTGGGAGATAGAGTCAGGAAAATCAGAAGTTCAAGGCCAGCTTGGACTATATGAAGCCATGTCTTTAAAACAAAACGCACCCAAGACCCCCAAGTATATACATAGTGTATAGCGTACATGCACAAAAGCCCACCTTTGCTGCCTTGCGGTTTTGACTCTGTGTTCACATACTCTAACCTGTGTGTCAGAAAGAACCAAACACAGGTCCTCTGAAATAGCAGCAATCACTCACAATCACAAGCCATCTCGGCAGCCTGCATCTGCCCTTCCTGCCATGAGCATCTGTGTGACCCAGTTTGAGTCCCTGTCCTCCTGTCTACTCTGTACCACACCCAGTACTGTCTTCCAAGCCTGTGGCTCAGTAACCCTCGATCAGTGGGCCGTTCTGTGAACTCGCCTTTATCAGGTGCCGTAGCTGAAGTGAGTTTCTATATCTAGTCTTAGTTTTTTGTGTTATTTTCTCCACTTAAAAAAAATCTCCTTTAAAGTTATTGATATTATGTGCATTGGTGTTTGACTTGCATGTAGGTCTGTGTGAGTTCATTGGATCCTCTGAAACTGGAGTAACTGAAGTTTTGAGCTGCCATGTGGGTGCTGGGAATTGAACTCAGGTCCTCTGGAAGAGCAGCCAGTGCTCTTAAACACTGAGCCACCTCCCCAGCCCCAAGTTATTATTTTTTAATTCTTATGTACGTGATTCTAAGTGAGTATATGTGCCCCACATTTGTGCAAGGGGCCAGAAGATAGTGCCAGGTTCTTGGAGTGTGTGTGGCTGTGAGTGTGTGTGTGTGTGTGTGTGAGTCAGTCATAGGCAGTTGTGAATTGTCATGTGGACACTGAGAACCAAACCCAGGTCCTCTGAAACATCAGTAAGTGAGCCTATCCACAGCCTGCTTTCCTCCACTTACCTGCCTTGAACTCACAGTGCAGTTGGGAGGGAAACAGAAAAGGAAGCAGTGATAGATTTGTATGAGGGTCAAAGGGCAAACTCCAGGTTAAGGGCTTAGCTTGTTCATTTTTTTGGACAAAGCAATGGAAAGGGGCTTTTTAGGAAGAGGAAATTATGTGTACAGATAGCTGTGAAACAGGAGATGAGAAAATGAGATGGATCAAGTAGGTGGTGACCAGATTAAAAAGAGCTGTGATAAGTAGTTTAGACTTCATCTTATAACAAGTATTATTAGGTATTTAATTTACTTAGAGATTGGAACAAATATTCCACATATACCCTTGTATAATCCTCAGTTGGAGTAGCCCAGGCTTTGTACCTGAAACCCCTAATCCTCCTGACTCTAATTCTGGAGTGCTAGGATTATAGATGTATACCCCACATCTGGTTCATTACCCTGTTTTAGAAATGAAACGTTTAAGGTGTAAGGAGGTTGTCAATACTAAGAAGCAACTAGGTGGACCCAACTTTTCCCAGCTCTGGCTCCTGTGTCCTTAGCAGCCAGGCTGTGCCCAGATCAGCAGATGCTTAACCCTGACCCACGACGTTTCAGAAAAAACCTATGAACAAGAACAAGCTTAGGCTGAAGAAGAGGGCTGGGAATCAGAGCCAGACTGTGTCTATGTGACTGGCCACAGTAGAAACTTCCTTTTGTTGTCAATTACTCACTCTTTTTAGATAAAATCTCCACGTTATAACCCTGGTTGGCCTGGGGATCAAAGCTGGTCTCACACTTGCAGAGATCTTCCTGCCTTTGCCTCCAGAGTGTTGTGATTATGGACATCACACCTGAATCAGAAGGATTCAAGGTGATTTCGTTGGCTGAACGAGGCAGACAGAAATGTTTCAATTTAAATTCAGAGGACTGGTGTCTTTGTTCTGAAAACGGAGAAAGAGAGGGCCCTAGAGATGGCTCAGCAGGCCAGAGGCTGATGGTGTGACTCGACTGAAAGGGCAGCCCCGACCTCCGCACGTACACAGAATAAACACATGAGAAGGAAGGTGATGGGAGAATGAGCCGAGAGCTACCGACGCCTTCCACAGTGCTTAGTTTGGGTAAATAGGTGGTTGGCTCTTGGGCTCTATAGAGAGTTGTGGGCTGAAAAGGATTTGGGGATCCTTAGTAGCTGTAGTTGACACCCTGGTGGGCCTGAAGAGGTCAAGAACAGCTGGTGAATGTTATCCCTCGGCATGAGAACAAGACAGTTATGCCAAGGTTGAGAGGACTGGGGGAGAAAATGGGTAGTAATGGCCCGTGCTTAGCAGAGGTCACTGAAAAGTGCCCTTTGGACTTGGCACCAGGAAAACCATTGGTGACTAGTGAGCCAGATTGGTCAAGCGAAATTGCAGGAATATGATTCAGCAGGTTAGTGAAGGGATGGAGGCCTGAGGAAGAGGGCAGCCAGTGAGGCCATCCCGTCCTGGATCCGCCTCTGAGGGAAGCGACCGAGAGAGAATTACAGATCATAGGGGACAGTTTCTTAAATAGTAGAAACAAGAAAAAGCAAGGCTTGAAGTGGATAGAGGTAAGTTTAAAGACGTGCAGACTTGTGCTGCAAGGTCAGAGGACAAAGTGAGACTGGGAATGTCTGCATCGAATACAGAGAACCAGCAACCAAGTTCATTAGTTAGATTTGGATTCATAGAAAGGATAGAGTAAGTGTGTGTGTGTGTGTGTGTGTGTGACAGAGAGATAGAGATTTGACTGCATACTGAATATTAGGTAATGTTAGAGAATTAGTAATTTTAGTGGAAATGGTAATGAAGCATGCTCATTGTTACATAGGAGATTCTTATTATGGGTTGGTGAAATGTTTAGAGTGAAATGTTTCAAATGACTCTGACAAAAGCAGAAACAGGGTGTGGACCAGTGTTGACAACAGATAGGCAGGTCCAAGTGAGCGTTGTGCAGATGTTCATTGTTCTTTCTGTTTTCCAGAAGCTAGAAATCTTTCAAAATAAAAGGTCTGGGGGAAATATAGAATTGAGGGTGTGTCCATGGGCTGGCTGTTTTCTCTCAAGTTAGGAAGGGGTAGATCTGCCAAGAGTGCAGAGTGCTAAAAATAACAAAAGAAAACAAAACAAAAAAACCCACTCAAGTCTTGCCAGACGGAGATGCATAGAAAGAGGGTTATTAGGTCACATGATAGAATGCAAAAAAAGCAAAGTTTCCTTGCTTGTAGTTTTCTTGTAGTGTTAAACTAGTTTTCCTTCTCTTCCCACCCCTTTTTGTTTTTTTAGACAAGGTCTCTGCAGCCCTGGCTGTCCTGGAACTCTCTATGTAACCTAGACTAGGCTTGAGCACACAGAGATCTCTCTGTCTCTGCTGGGTTTATAATCATGCACCGCCATGCCTGGCATGGTAAACTGTTGAGTACATTCAACATACAGAAGGCTGTATGTCTTTAAGATGTGTGGCCTGGTGGGGCTGGAGAGAAGTAGACACTGAAATTGCCACACAGCCGCTGCCCATCCATCATCTCCGCAAGTTTCCTCTTGCCTCATTGTGTACAAGATCTAGCTTAGCATTAAAAAACAAACCCTTTATTTTCCAAGAATTATTTGGTGAACTGTGTGAGGGCAGATACACACATGCCGTTGAGCACCCGTGAAGGTCAGAGGACAACTTGGAGTCAGTTTCCTTCTTCCACTCTGAGGCAGCCACTCTGCTGAGCAAGCTAGCCCCTGCCTCCCTCCCAACTGCCCACAGCACTGCTGGGAGTACAGTGCTCATAGGAGTGCCTACCACTGTATCAGACCTTTTTTTCTTTTTCATGTGGGTTCCAGAGATTGGTCTTGGGTCTTCAGGCTTGCAAAGCAAGTGTTCTTGCCTTCAGAGCTATCTCCCCAACCCCATTATTTTGATTTTGTTTCTGGCTTGAGGATTAAACTCAGGGCCTTCTTTGTGCTAGGCAAGTACTCAGTCATTGTGCTATGTTCAAAATGCCTTTAAGCCTAGTTTTAGTATAGGTATAGTATTTACTCTAGGCACTCTGCCATATGGCAGATCTCTATAATTTATTTTTCTTTTATAGCTAAAACCTTATCACATTTTTGTGTGTATAATGTATTTATGAGTGTATACCTGCTATGGGGCGTATGTGGTGGTCAGACAACCTGCAGAGGTTGGCACTTTCTTCCCACCATGTGCGTCAGGTTATCAGGGTTGGCAGCAAGCCACTTTACCAACTGAGCCATCCTTGGTAGCCTTCTAAAACTTTCCCATCGTTGACTCTTTCTTTGTTTGTTTCCCTAGCCTCTACAAGTTGCCATTTCATGGCTTGTTCATGTTTACCTGGTTTACATTAGTTGTATAGTGGTGCCACATAGTAATCTGTGTGACTTCACTAAGCATTTCCTTTTAAGACTAACTAATTCCCATTGTATTTATGCCCACCTTTTCTTTAACTAGTGTAAATCAACTCCACTAACGCGTGAGTGGGCTTGAGTAGCTTCTGTCTGGGCTGTTGTAGAGTGCTGCAGTGACCTTGGGGGTGCAGATATCTCCCCAAAAACCATGCTTCACTTGCTTTGACTATCTCTCCACATGTATGATTCAGGATGCTAACAATCTGTTGTCCATTTCCAACACGCCCATGTTATTTAAGCTTTCGTACTTACCAACAGTGAACATTTACAGTGTTGTAAATGTTAAGTACTTGCAGTTTTAAATTATGACTGTTTTAAACCACATAAATCTTTCTAATGTTTTATCAGTTATTTCCTCTTTAATATGTTCAGTTTTTTCTTGGTAGTCCTTGTTTGTGTTTTTTTAATTTATTTTGAGGCAGGATCTCTCTGTGCAGTCCTGACTGTCCTGGAACTCACTCTGTAGACCAGGCTGGCCTAGAACTTAGAGAGATCCTCCTGTCTCTGCCTCCTGAGTACTGGGATTAAAATCATACATCACCATACCTGGCATTTGGTAGCTTTTAATCAAAGCCTAATGGATATATTGTTCTCTTTAGTGGAGTATGTCTTCAGTGAGAACCTTGGATATATTCATGAAGAGTGTACAACACACCCCACAACTACCTAGGGAACCCAACAGGAGAAGTTTCTCTGGGTATTGTTCTCATTGTTAGCAGCTGGAATGGATGTTTTGTAGCCAAAGCATCATTGGAGCAGTGTTGTATCTTAGCGTTGTTGGACAGCCACAGCTGTCATTGGACAAGCTAGTGCAGAAGTGACAATTACATTTATTCTGCTCTCTTAGCCTTTTCTGCTTTCCACAAACGTGTCTGACTTCTATATAAAATTTACTTGTGTGTGTGTGTGTGTGTGTGTGTGTGTGTGTGTGTGTGTGTACCTTATACATGTAATGCCTGCAGAGGTCAGAAGAGGGTATTTATTAGGTTCCCTGAAATTGGAGTTACAGGTGGTTGTGAGCCATGATGTGGATGCTGGGACCCAAACTCAGGTCCTCTATGAAAGCAGTAAATGTTCTTAGTTGAATCAGGATCTTACATAGCCCAAGATTTATAGCTGAGAATGGCCATGTTCAGTTCTTCTACAAACTTTGCTGACAAGTTCTGTCCCAGTGGTTCCATGAGCCACGCTCCTGTGCTGTTTTCACAGGGACTGAGGCCCACGTGGAGTCGTGGTGAACATCTCAGCAGAGCTGCCCTGCATCCTGGCTCACCCCTGGCAGGCCTCTCTTGACAGTCAGGCTCAGCTTGGTTTTCTTTAAGAAGGACCATTCTTGATTGTGGAGGAGTGTCTGGGCCCTGTGTGACACTGGTCCTTATATACTAGATGCCAATAGGACTTTACAGACATCACCAATGCCCCCCAAGAACAGACTCACTCATGGTTGAGAGCTGCTGTCCTGAAGGAGCCACCTTTAAAGGGAGTGTTCCTTTGTTTCTGTGGTTCGTTTTGCAGTGCTGGGCATCAAACCGAGGCTGGCTCTTCTGCTGAGCTAGACCTCTGGCCCGAAGTGTGCCCATAATCGTCAGCAGGGAAGAAGGAGGCTTGAAAGCGTTTGTTGATTCCCACTCCCAGCACTCGTGGGAAGGCAGTATAGTACCTGTGGCTTTACTGCCTTCCGTCAGCATGTACATTTCCAGTGTGTCCTTCTGAGCAGTGTGCCGAACTCACACTGACCTGCCTGGGGTAGGCCATCACTTGTCAGTGTTCCCGTGCTGTGCCTGTGCCTGCCACCTCCTTGGTAGTAACAGCAGAGTCTTGTCCCAAGGGTAACCTCTGATGCCTGTGTCCTTCACCTCATGCGATTTGTGTAGGCATTTAGCCCATCACAGCATCATAAGAAGGGTAAGTACAAGACATTTTAAGAGTGAGACTAAATTCATGTGACTTTTTATTAGAATGTACGATCATTGTTCTATTCATCACTAGTTATTGTTATTTCACTGCTTAATTGGTAAATTAAACTTACTCGTGTGTATGAGGAAAACCTGGTGTGTCTAACAATTCAGTGCAATGTGGTTTCAGGCTTGCGCTGGGGTCTGAAACATCTTCCCCATCGCTAACGGAGGACGACGGTGTGTCAAGGGTGGGACAGAGGCCTTGGTTTCCTAACTACCCTGGTGACCCTGCCTGTGCCCTTGCAGGGTTAAACTACTGTTACAGAGTCAAGCCCATTCTTCCGAACTTCCCTCGGAGACAAAGCTCCTTTCTGCCAGGCTGGACCCTCTTTCTGGAGGTAAATGGATTGTCTGTCATCAGGCCTCGGCCGATTCACTCATTCTTCTCATGCTCAGTGCTTAGCGTGACTTTGTGTTTCATGTGTTTAGATGAGCAAGAGTGTTGTTATTACCTGATTAACATTACATCCAACTCTAACATTCTCTGTGTATAATTTTTCAAGTCTCCAGTTTAAACAGCAAACTGTTCTTTCCACCACTGCTCTGAACACACACACACACACACACACACACACACACACACACACACACCCGCCCGCCCGCCCTCCTCACCTTTTCCCTGTACCAGTCACTGGAGTGCCATGGTGCACCATGACTGTCATTTTTTCACAGTGCTCATTCCTTTTGTGCCCAGTGATGCTCTATAAGAGTAGCAGTGGGGTTTTTATGATTGCAGAGGTCACCTAACTTATTGTTTACGGGAGGGGGGGTGATGTATTCCAGGCTGGCCTTGAACTTGCTTTGTAGCCAGAATACCTTGAACTTCTGATCCTCTTGCCAAGTGCTGTTTCTTGCAGTATTGGAACCCAGGGCTTTGCGCAGTGAGCAGGTGCTCTGCCCACTGAGCTCATCCTCGGCTTCCCAGCCCGCCCCCCAAGGTTTGTGCCACCAGCGCCTGGCTTGGAAACACTAACCTCCATTTGTTTTGGTTTGTCTTTGGAGTGGCTCTTGGTGCTTTATAGTCCCTCCTGATTGCGCATCAAGAGTGGCTTTATGAAGGAGTGCAGTCCAGATGCAACTCAGGTGCAGCTGACTGACTTCAGATGTGTCTTTCCTCACCCAGAAATTAAAGCGTTGAACTAGGTAACTTGTAATATCTGCACATACTAACAAGTAGTTTATAGCTAGGGACACATGTGGTAAGGGGATCTCTATTGGAGGGCTGAGCATGGCAGTGGATGCTTTTAAAATACCTTTATTCTTAAAATACTTCATTTTTTAGTGTGTGTGGGTGTTTTGCCTGCATGTGTATCCTCAAAGGCCAGCAGAGCATCAGATCCCCTAGGACAGGAGCTACCGATAGTTGTGAGCCACCATGGGTGCTATGAGTCAAACCCATGTCCACTCAAGGAGAAGCCAGTGCTTTTAACCACCAAGCCACCACTCCTGCCCCATACATGCCTTTGATCCCAGGCAGAGACAGGAGGGTCTCTGTGAGTTCTAGGCCTGCCAGGACTGCATAAGGCAGCCCAGACATGCTGTGAGCTGAGGATGAACTCCTGGTCCCCTGCTTCTGCCTTACAGGTGTGTCACCATGGCCACGTTTACTCAGTGCTAGGCATTGAACCTAGGGCCTCAGGGTGCTAGACAAGCTCTCTGCCAACTAAGCCACATCCCCAGACCCATAGACTTCTTTTTGTTTTTAAGATTTAATTGTCCATTCATTCATTCATTCATTCATTATGTATACAGTGTTCTGTCTGTATGTATTCCTGCACGCCAGAAAAGGACACCAGGTCTATTATAGATGGTTGTGAGCCACCATGCAGTTGCTGGGAATTGAACTCAGGACCTCTGGAAGAGCAGTCAGTGCTCTTAACCACTGAGCCATCTCTCCAGCCCCCCCCCCATAGACTTCTAAAAGATCCTTTTATAATTTGTTTTGCCGATCCTCAGCCAGTTTCTCATTCTCTTTGTCACCAGGTGTATGCAAATCTTTATTATATACAGGGACATTGACTTGTGGTGGTGAGGATAGACTTTAGAGGCCAGTGTCCGGGCAGTAGGAAATGGAACACAGTGTAGAATAATAAATGCCACACCAGGGTAACTTCAAATTCATAAACATACACTAGCCCTTTATTAAGATACAGTTTGTATGTCACCAAGTCCACCCGCTTGAAAAACATAGTGTATGCTCACAATTTGTATGACCAACATGGATTAAGGTGAAGAGATTTTGTTACTCTAGAGAAAGGGCCCCTAACCACTGCCTGTTACTGCCTGTTCTCTCCACTCTTTTTCTCTAGGCAAGCATTAGCCTCCTTTTTTATATTGTAGACTCGCCTGTTTTGAGGGGGTCTTTGTGATTGTCTTTCCGTCGTCAGTGTTGGCAAGGCTGGGTCACATAGCTTATATCAGAATGCCATCACTTCATTCCTGTGATAGTCCATAAGTGGATAGATCACACTTTGTCCCTGCATTCATTACTTCATTGGATTGCATCTGCCACTGCTAACATTTGTCTTCCAGTATTTGTGTAGATGTATGTTTTGAGTTCTCTTGGGAACATATTTATGAGTAGAATTGTAATATGGCATGTTCACTCACTGTCTAACTTTAAAACTGACAGCTGTTTTTCCACAGTGCCTGTGCTATTTAAATCCCCATTAGTAGTTTACTGATTTTTTTCAGCTCTTATTTTATACGCTTCATTCCCCAAATGATTCTAACTTCAAAACTTAGTGATATGGTACATGTGTATTCCTTTAAAAACAAATACACAATAAAACAGGGCTTCTATAGCCCAGGCTGGTCTGGAATCTGATGTGTAGCCAAGCCCAGGTTGACCTTGAAATCTTAATCCTCCTGCCTCAGCATTCTATGTACTAAGAGTAAAAACATTCATTGGTAGAGTGCTTGCCTAGCATACATGAGGCCTTGGGTTCAGTCTCCAGCCTTGCATCACACACACACACACACACACACACACACACACACACACACACGCACGCACGCACGCACGCACGCACGCACGATTCTTCAAACAGTGGTAGCAGACCAACAGGATATCCATTTTAAGAAAATGAAGTTGGATCTTTCTTTACATCACACATAAATAAATTTAAGGTGGTCCAGAAAACTAAATGTATAAGCTAAAATTATAAAACTCTTAGAGCCAGGCAATGGTGGCGCACGCCTTTAATCCCAGTACTCGGGAGGCTGAGGCAGGTGGATTTTTGTGAGTTCGAGGACAGCCTGGTCTACAGATCTAGTTACAGAACAGCCAAGGCTACACAAAGAAACTCTGTCTCAAGACAAAAGCAAAATTATAATAATAAAGTTAATTAAATTATAAAACTCTTAGAAGAAAACATAAAGAGAAACGTTTGTGTAGCTGGAGAAATGGCTCAGCGGTTAAGAGCACTGGCTTCTCTTCCAGAGGACGTGGATTCCATTCCCAGCAACTACATGGTGGCTCAAAACCATCTGTAACTCCTGTACTAGGATACCATCTTGGGCCTCTAAGTATACCATGCACACATAGGGTATGCAGCCATATGCCCGTTTACATAGAATAGCCTTTAAAAGTTAAAGAACCTCCATGAGACTGAGCAAGGCATTGGCTTCTTACGTGGAATGCAGAAGCACAAAAGGCAAAGGGAGAAGCTGATCTCTGCAGTTTAAGAGCTGTGGCGCTAAGATGCTGTCCAGAGAATGGAGTTGGGGTGCGATGTGGGCTCTTACAGAGAATCCAAGTTCAGTGCCTAGCACCCAGTTCGTGCAGTGCTAAACTTTTGCTGTTTGCAGTCCCTGCACACGTGTGCACATACCTGCACTCATACACACATCCATCGCTTAGAAAAGAGAGAAAAGGTACAAAAAGGAAGTCAAGTTGAATCTGATAGGTGTGGTAGTGCACATCAAAGCAAGGCCTTTGCTACACATCATTTGAGGCCAGGCTGGGCTACATGAGACCTTTTTCTTAATAAATAAGTAAACATTAAAAAAAGGAGGAGGAAGAAAGAAGGAAAAAGAAATGGAGCTGAGCCTTTGGTTCAACCCTAGTACTGCCAGCCGGAAGAAGGAAGAAGGTGAGCTTAGAAGTCTGAAGGGAATGTTTGCAATACCTAACAAGGGCCTACTGTTGCCAGGCATTGGTGGCGCACGCCTTTAACCCCAGCACTTGGGAAACAGAGGCAGGCGGATCTCTGTGAGTTCAAGGCCAGCCTGGTCTACAGAGTGAGTTCCAAAGCTTCAGAGAAACCCTGTCTCCAAAATCAAAAAAAAAAAAAAAAAAAAAGGCCCTGCTGTCCAGGACAGGGCATATTAGGAATTGGGAATTCCTACAGACTAATAATCACACAGCCCAATAGAAATGTGCATAGGACAGCCCTTCCTGCAGAAGGGAGCTCTTAGGACAGTCATTCCTTCAGAAGGGGACTCTAAACAGCCTATAAGCACCTAAGAAGATGCTCGCATCACCAGCCTTCAGAGAAATATAGATCAAAACCACAGTGAGCCTCCACTTCCCACGCCCTGAGCAGCTGTGTTCCAGAGTCAGATGTGATGAGGAGTAGAGCTTTATGAACTCACCCTGGACTCCTGTCTGCTGGGATAGCATGAGCATAGCATCCTGCAAGAGGGGCAGGGTAGAGCAATCTTGAAAGATCTCTCTAGGTGACTCCGATGTGCAGGCTGTGTTCAGAGCAGTGGACCAAATGTGTAGACCGAAAGGAGACCAAACAGCAGGTGCTCATGAGGGAGGCAGGAGGCACATTTCAGGAGTGGGGAGCTGTACTCGTCACCCTGAGCAGGGACAGTCAGGCCACTGCCTCCTGTGAGGCTGCTTGACTGTCAGCCTTCCCTGCAGGTGCAGCATCTTCTTACTGAAGCATCCACGGGCTCCATGTCAGAGCTTGTCAGCACCCACTGCTTTTAAGGGAGGAAAATCCTAAGCCCTGTTTCACCTATATTAAAAAATACTAAATATACCAGTAAAAAATGCTAAATATATTTAAAAAATGTTTTTTTGAGTCTGGGTCTAACTGTGGCCTGGAACTCAATGGACCAGGCTGTCCTGGAACTCACACAGATCCACTTGCCACTGCCTCCTGAGTGCTGGGATTAAAGGTGTGCATAACCACTCCCAGCCCAGTTAAATGACATCTTATGACTCATGCATAACTGGAAGCAGCGGCCTCTCTGACACGATAATCTCAACATTGGAGAGACTGAGTCAAGAAAATCACTCAAGCCAGAGAACTCTAACACCCTGAGCAACATAGTAAGATACAGTCTCAGAACAGAAAACAGAAGTCTGAAGTGTTGTACACACAACAGTTTGACATTGTCTATACATGCTCATTGTGTTTGGTAGAAGCACTGCTGTGGTTGGGAGTAAAAACACAAAATTTGTCATCTCAGATAGTTGAGAAACATTGTTGAAAGGAAGTAGCCTTGAGCAGAAAGAATTTTAAAGAAACAGTCATTTGCCTAGTGGTGGCACACACCTTTAATCCCAGCACTCGGGAGGCAGAGGCAGGCGGATCTCTGTGAGTTCTAGGCCAGCCTGGTCTACAGAGTGAGTTCCAGAACAGCCTCCAAAACACTACAGAGAAACCCTGTCTCGAAAAACAAAAAACAAAAAACAAAAAAAAAAAAAAAAGAAGGAAGAAAAGAAAGAAAGAAAAAAAAAGAAAGGAAAACTCATTTTCCTTTGCCCTTTCAGGGATTTCGTTTTGGAAGACATGGATCTTGCTGCTAATGAGATCAGCATCTATGACAAGCTTTCAGAGACTGTCGACCTGGTGAGACAGACAGGCCATCAGTGTGGAATGTCAGAGAAGGCAATCGAAAAGTTTATCAGACAACTACTGGAAAAGAATGAACCTCAAAGGGGACCACCCCAGTACCCTCTCCTCTTGGCTGCGTATAAGGTAAAGTGTTGCTTGGAATGCCTGTCTCAGATGCTTCAGCTCCCTTCCCGTTACTACTGATGGGTCCCAGTACTGAACTAGGCTCCTCTCGCATAAACAAGCCACTGTTCTTCCGTCTGTTACTAGAAGTGGAACTGAGGTTCGGCTGGAATTGTGAAAGCTGTGTGTATAGTGGACGTAGCCCCTGGTCATGGGATGGAAGCTTGGGGTGTCTCACCGGCTTCGTAGCTCTCCAGCTTTAAATGCTTTTGGAGGTGCAAGCAAGAGGCTCAGGAGAGTGAATTAGTTCTAGGTACACTGGACGTAGCGGAAGAGGCTTGTTTTTCTCCTCAGTGTTAGGGAACTTTCTTGTTGGGGCAATTCATAATGTCACTCTTGTCTTTCCTTCTAGGTCCTCCTAACTGTGGGATTAATCTTGTTCACTGCCTACTTTGTAATTCAGCCGTTTAGCTCCTTAGCGCCTGAGCCAGCGCTGTCGGGAGCTCACACTTGGCGCTCACTCATCCATCACATTCGGCTGATGTCCTTGCCCATCACCAAGAAGTATATGCCAGAGAACAAGGGCGCTCCTCTGCAAGGAGGAGAGGAAGACAAGCCTTTCCCAGGTAGAAGGCTGCACTTACTGCTTAGGAATGGGTGTTTGATTTGTTTTGTTTGAGATAGTCTCACGTTGCTGAGCCTGTCCTAAAACTTGATTTGTGTCTCAGATGGTCAGGAAACATTGTTGGGTCTCAGTCTGGCCTCAGACCCACCAGTGCTAGGATTACAGGCATGAGCCATGGCCCCACCTGAGAGCCAGTTTTCTTAATGGAAAGGGATTTATTTGTATCTAATAAGAGACATCTTCCCAATAATGTCTTACTTCATTCAACCCTGCTAAGACTGTGGGAAGAGTTGTATTATCCATATTCTGCAGATAGGAAAACTGAGGCTCAGAGAAGTTCAACTTGACAAAGAAACATGTCTGGTGGAGCCAAATTCAAATTCTCTAGTACCAGTCAGGACATCAGGTTAGGGACGGGTGTCCACAGAAGGGCCTGGCGCTCTCTTCTCCCCGGGGTCTCTGCCGTCCGTGGATGGCTCTGAGCGGGTCCTCGCAGGCTCTTGTCTTACTGGGCCACTGTCACTCTCCTTGCTCTTCCTCGTGCTGCAGTAAATCACTGCATTAATGCCGTGCTCCAGAGTGTGGCAGCTTTGCCAGCACAGCGACGTCAAGAGTGACAGTGATGCAGCATCAGGGACTCCCCGCCTTGTAGACTCCAGAGGAGCCTCCTCCGTTTGAAAATAGTGTAGTGCGGGATCACCCAGACCTACTTTTACAGGAAGAATAGAAGGATGTTGCTCAGGGGAATTCTGGGAAGTGAGTCCGGTCTTCTCTCCTCCCTTCTCTTTCGCATCCTCCATGCCGAAGATAGACTTAGGGCTTTGGACAGTCTGAACTATACTCCCAACAATGCTTTATTAGTATTGTGTGTATCTGTGTGTGTGCGTGTGCGTGCGTGCGTGTTTGCGTGCATGTGCGCGCCACAGCCCTCAGAATTGTGGAGGACAGAGGCCAACTTTCAGGAGTTTCTTCTCTCCTTTTGACTGGGTTCGGAGAATTGAACTTGAGGTGTCAGGCTTGCCTGACAAGGCTTGTACCCACTGATCCATCTTGCCAACCTGCCCAAGCCCTGGTTGTTGTTTTTGTTTGTTTGTGGGGGTGGAGCTCACTTTGTAGACCAGGCTGGCCTCGAACTCAGAGATCCACCTGCCTCTGCCTTCCGAGTGCTGGGATTAAAGGCATGCACCACTACTGGCCAGCTTTTTATTTTTGTTTTTTGTTGTTTTGTTTGTGTGGTACTAATCTCCATTTGTCTACATTTTTTATAGCTTTCTTCTAAAACCTTGAGAATCCAGGATGTTTTGGGAAAAAAACTTTACTGGTTTAAGCTTTTATGAAATCATAATGTCACTCGTTAAAGCCTGACTTTTATCAGTCATAAAAAATCACCTCTTGGACTGGTTGCCTTTGAAAGCTATCTGTGTGTATTTGAGGAAGTTATGAAAAGATTTCCCAAATTATATCAAAACCAGAGAAAGGGAACATAAATGGTAAGAACTCTTTGCCATGTTTTTTTGTCTGTGGGGACTTATTTTTAAACTGACTGAAAATGCCATGCTTGCTCATTGCCATACAAATACCAAATTTCTGGTGCCACAGTTAACAATTCTATTTGAAAATTTATGCCCAACATTCACAGATTGACATTGTCTCCCATATAAGAACTTGGATGTTACTGAAAACATTCACATTAAAGACACTTGTATCTGCTGCACAAGATGGAGCCAGCATCATTCCATCATAAATGAGGAGGGGCTTATGAAATCCCACCCACCCTGTGGGACTATGGCACTTAGTTGTTGCTGGTGGGGAAGCATTTCCTTCAGTGAGGTAACCACTGGCGTCCATGCTCCAGTATGCAACCTGAATTAAACTCAGTGGACAGTTTTCAGTCAGAACACACATTTATACTGTGAAGACCTGGGCGGCCCTTATGCGTGGAAGCTGGGTCTCTACTCACAAGGAAGGAAGGAGGATGTGGATTAGTGTCACTGAGAGTTAGGGAAATGGCAGGTCCTTCATTGCTCCGGAGCCAAGAAATGAATACGGCTGTATAGTCTTGCCACAGCCCAGCTGTGAAATACTTGGATCTGTGACGCTGGAGATTGAGCCAGGAACCCTGTGGGTGCTCAGCGAGTTCCCCTGAGCTACCCCAGCCCTGCCTTCCTCTTTTTCTTGCAAATAAGCTCATCTGTGGTAAGAGCTCTGACAAGCACCTGCTGGGCACAGATGCTTGTGCCCACCTCAGAGTGAGGAAAGTGCTGTGGTGGGGACTGGCTAGCTTGCCTAAAGCTGGAGAGAAACACCCCCTGTGAGGACTCACGAGGACATGGAGTCTATTAGAGTGCAGTGCTCCTGAAGTAAAGTGATTGTGAGAGTGACTCTGGGCATGCTGTCTCCGATGTAGAGCATCTTGCAGAGGCCACCTTCATGGATAGGCTTCAGTCCGGCACATGCTCAGGGTGCTACAACAGGAACCTGCTGGCGTCTGACTAAATACTGAGCACAGGCTTATGAGTGTGAGGGCCTTTGTTGGGGCTTCGCACTCTTCCTAGCATTGCTAGAATACAAAGTCTGTGAGACCATGAGAAGGCATCACAGGGCTGCTCTTGTCATCATTCTTCTGAGGTTTCTGTCTGTCTGTGCCTCATTTGATGTTCTTCTCCAGGTAGAGGTTCTGAAAGGTCAGAGGCGCCCCTCCTCCATGCATGTGCTGCACTGTTGCTCAGCTGAGCGAGCACTGAGGGCCATAGACAGGCCCCACAGCCTCTGCCTGCAGAGCAAGAGCTTCCTGCTTTTGCTGTGCCCTTTTTACCCAGAAAGGGATTTAATCTCGCTTTCTGCCAGGTTAATAATTTATGTAAAACACCTTCCCTACTGAGAATTCTAGGTTGTGCCGTGGCTCTCTGCAGGCAGCCAGCCTGAGTCAGTTTTCTTTGTAAACAACAAGGCCTCCTGATGGTAGGTCAGCCCACCCACTCTTCTGCAGAGTGCCTGCCTGTGAGAATGCACATGTACTTCAAGGCTGGGTTTGCTCTGAGACACTGATTTTTGACATTCCGAACAGTGGAATGATCCAGACCCTGGGGAGAACTTGGAATACAGGTCATGAGCTTTATCGAGCACATTTCTAGTGTGAGAAACTGAGTAGGAGAAATCGTGATGAAGACATCCTGAGGATGGGCCATGTTTATTTTGAGGTTGGAGAATCTGCAGAAAGTAAGTGGACTGAGGCCCGCGACTGGACCTGAGAGTTGGCTCCAAGGTGTTCTCTTCTCAGTCACACTTGGTTTGTTTTCTGAGGTAACTAGTCGTTAGAGGAGGGTGTCTGGAGTAGAGAGCCTGGGGATTAAGGAAAGATGGGCAGTCTCCGAGTCCCGGGTGGCCTTTCCCTTGCTGCTGGGGACAAAGTGGATGGGGATAGTTTGGGAAGAATGGAAGGCTGTATTTTAGGAACTGAAGGAGGCTCTGAGCCAGGATGGCCTGGTGCCCTGGCTGCTGCTGCTGACGTTTTCCCACTGACATGGCAGTTCCTGTCCTGACACAGAGCACGTCAGACAGAACCTTTGTGGAGGGACGGTGGGCAGCTACAGTCTGAGCACGCACATCCCTGTGCTATTGGGATTCTGTGGGGTGACGAGCCTGCACCTCCATGCCCATCACCACCATAATCCAGGGCCATCCCTTCCTCCTCAGTGATCCAGGGCTGTGCAGGGAGCAAATGTAGCTCTTCCTAGTGACTTTGGGCAAGCTGTGTTACTGTCCTCACGGTCCTTCTCCCTCACCATCTGCTCTCTTTGCGGCCACCAGTCTGGCATCTGCCCCACGCTTGTTGGGCTGCTTAGGGCTGCCTTAGGAGGGACTCAGTCTCTGTTGATAATTCGGGCCTAAGTGTTCCTGATCTCCAGAGACCTTGACTGCAAAATACCTAATTCGTACAAAGTCCATAGAGAGACATTAGAGTTTGTTTTTAAGAGAAGTTCTCTGGGCTGGCAAACCAGAGGCTTGCCACCCTGTCGGCCTGAGTTTGATCCCAGAACCCACATAAGGTGGGAGAAGAGAGCTGACTCCACAAAGTTGCACTCTGTGGCAGACAGGCCACACGTGGATCCTGCCCACACATAAGCAATAATAAGAAAAAGAAAAAAGTTAAGATATCTTTATACATGATCTTAACCAAAAGGCCGAGAAGCAATTAAAACATTGTTCTTTTCTTTTCCTTTCTATTTCTTTTTTCTTTCTTTCTTTCTTTTGAGCTGGGCTCTCTATGTGTCTTTTTGGTTGACCTGAAATTCCCTTTGTAGACCAGGCTGGCCTTGAACTACCTACCTCTGCCTCCTGACTGCTGGGATTATAGGTGTGAACCATCGCTGCCTGGCTCCCTTCATGCTGTTCTTACCTTAGCCTCCTAGGTGCTGGGTTACCACAGGCATGTACCATCACACTTGGCCTAAAACCACTATATAAAATCCTTCTTGGGTCATGTGTACATAAAACACTTTATGTATACAATAGTTACCTAGACATACGATTGATTTCTAATGCTACCAAAACAAAGTGTGGCAACCTGGATGACTCAAGAGAACAGAAATTACCCTGTGGGAATTCTGGAGCTAGGACTCTGAAATGAAGTACTGGCAGGACTGTGCTCCATCCAGAGGCCTTGGCACTCCTTCCAGCTGCTGCTGGCTGGTAGCAGCTTTGACTGGTCCTGGCAGGTGGATGGAGGCTGCCTACGTGGCTCTCCCTTTGTTGAGCGAGCGTCACTGGGGGCCTCCTCTTCTGACAGACATGGTCTTTAATGGTTCTGGTCCAGTGTGCGCCATCCTGGGTCTGCTCCTTGAGCTGACTTTGTGCCTACTGTTCTGATTCGTCCTCTGTTGTCTGATGTCTTAGTTCTCTGAGAGCAATCCCGTTCCCCAGGGTTTCCTTCTCTGACAGCAATCCCGTTTCCCAGTATTCAGTTCTCTGAAAGCAATCCCATTTCCCAGGGTTTCGTTCTCTGAGAGCAACCCCAATCCTGTTCACCAGGGTTTCGTTCTCTGAGAGCATTCCAATCCCATTCCCCAGTGTTTAGTTCAATCTCCCAGGCTTCTCAAAAAGATGAAGATACTTCATGAGCAGGACCTGTCCCTTTCTATAGCATATAGGCCCCAGACTGGGCACTTTGACACTGTAGTGTTGTAGAATATTATTTTGCTTATGCTCTGGAACATTTTTTTTAATGATGCAAAGATGTGTTTGATTAAATAAACTTCACCTGTGATCAGGAGGCTGGGCCAGCAGCTGGCTGACAGGAAGTTGTGGGGAGGAGCCAGGTGGAGAAGGTTTATGGGGGGGGCGAGAACCAGCACGAGGACTTCTTGGGAGACACGAGGAGGGCGCCAGATGAGCTGCTTGCTATACAGCCTCTCTGGGAAGCAGGATTCTACCTCAACCTTTGAATCTTGAGTTCTTTGGTGAGACAGAGATTTAAATGAGTTTCTGCAGTAGCTTTGAAAGGGTTGGTGCCTGAGGGAACAGAATTCCCTTTGGCTTCGCCTCTTGATGCCCAGCTGCTGCTAAATGAAGTGCCAGTTGCTGAATACGATAGCAGTAGCTAAAAAGGCAGCAGCAATTAAGAAAAACAACACATGATACACAGAGAAACTCTATCTTGAAAAAACAAAAAAGAAAAACATTTGAAATTACTCCAGAAGGAAAGAAAAATGTCCAACTTGGTAGCCTCCTGTGTGCCATGTAAACAGGGACCCTGGAGGGCCCTGCAGAGCCGAAGCCCTCACAGGAGAGGTGCACCGTCAGCCTGAGAGCCCTGGGAGGGGAGACCCTCTCCCTAGGGAAGCCAGGTGCTGTGGGTGGTGGGTGATGCAGGGGAAGGGCGTGTCCAGTGCAGTCTCTCAGGGCGAGCACCCCTGCACCCGCCACTGCCGTCAGAGAAAATGGCGTGTGCTGCCTGTCTGTCTCAGGACAGACTGTGGGGAGCAGTTTTCTTGTTTTGTGGTGGTGTTTTAGGTAGGTTTTCTATGTGTAACTCAGGCTATTCTGGAACTCTGTAGACAGACAGGCCTCAAACTCAGAGATCCACCTGCCTCTGCCTCTCCAAGTGCTGGGATTGAGGGAGTGTGCCACCAACTCCCGGCTTCTCAGAACCATCTTATGAAATATTTTGGAAACAAACACAGCTCTTAGAGAACATAGAATGGGAAGCGAACAAGAAATAATGCAATAGATCAGAAGTGGGGAAAAGGTTGTGGACACAGGGCGCCCTCAAAGAAGCCAGGGAGGAGTGCCAGGCAGCTAGCTGGATGAGAGACTCCCATTCTAACCACACTGCAATCCTTGGGGCTGGAAGCAGCAATGTAATTGGCACATCCCTTCCGAGCTGAGATGGAGCACTATCTTACAGGCAGAGGCCGTCCGCCAAAATAGCCAGAGAAGTCTCCGTCCCTTCAGCCTGAGAGTGAGCCCTCACCTCCCTCTTCTTCCCAAAGTCATCCTGGCCTCCATACATGTGTGCATAATAATTGGGGAGTCTAGGGCCACACCAGTGTGTGTGCACGAATCAGGAACCTCCTGGTGTAGGGTGCCTGTGTACTGCCTGCCTTGGGCTGGGGACGTTCGGATTGGGGCGCCTGTATACTGCCTGTGCTGGGCTGGGCATGCTCAGATGTGCCTGTGCCGGGTCCAGGTTAGAGACAGGAGAGCTGTGTGGCTGAATGCTTGTTGCAACTGTTCTGCTCTACTGAGTGATTTGATTGAGGGCATCCATGTACATGTTGGAGGATTCTTCCCACAAAGTATAGGACAGCATATGAAGGAAAGTGCCTCTCTTCCCAGAACCCCGCCCTCCAGACCTGCTCACAGAGGTCTCCACGGGGAAACTGGTACTCTCCTGTCTGCTTTTGTTCCAGGGCTCCTGGGCTCACCAGCTGTCCTTCTGCACCTGTCTGCCCTCTGTCTCTTCCTCTCTCAGACTTTGACCCCTGGTCACCGAGTGACTGTGAGCAGAACGAGTCAGAGCCCATCCCTGCCAACTGCACTGGCTGTGCCCAGATATTACCCCTCAAAGTGACGCTGCCAGAGGACACTCCGAAGAATTTTGAGAGACTCCGTCCTCTGGTGATCAAGGTAGGCAAGAAGCCAGGTTTTCCCATAAATAGCCTGCCCATAAAAGGCTGGATCAAGCCCTGCAAAGCTGTGGTAACTCACTGTGGCCTTTGTCTTTCTGTGTCACCAAGACAGGACAGCCTCTGTTGCCTTCAGAGATTCAGCATTTCTCATGCCAGTACCCTGAAGCCACAGAGGGCTTCACTGAGGGCTTTCTCACCAAGTGGTGGCGCTGCTTTCCTGAGAGGTGGTTCCCTTTTCCTTACCCGTGGTGAGTCTGAAGGTGCTTAGCTTGCATGTGAGGAAGGGGCAGTGAGAGCCAGAACCATGTATATGGTCAGTTCATAGCACACCTTCAAATCAAGGACAGAACCCAAGTGGTCCTGCCACCCAGTGCAGGGAGGAAGGGAACAGGGTCTCTAAGGAAGGACACTGCTGCCATGCAGAAGCTCAGGTGTTAGGTTCTTTTCTGTTGCTGTGGTGAGACACTGACGGAAGTGTCTCTTTGGGCTGAATTTCCAGAGGAAAGAGAGCCCGTCACCTGTACCCAGCAGACAGAGTCCTTAAACTCTCAAAGTGGCACCTCTAGCAAGGCCGAGCTTCCTAAGCCTCCCCAAACAGTGCCAGCATCTGAGGCCCAAGTATTCTATGAGGGATGCTCTTATTCAAACCATCATGAATATGATTGCAACTTCTTAACATTTGTTCTAACAGAAGGGTCAGGAGATTGAGGGCTAAAGAGAAAGCTTAGCAGATAGAAGAGCTGCCTCCATGGCCAAGGCACAAAGTGGGGATTCTCAGCCACCTTGCATTTGTGTGGCAGAGGTGCAAAGACCGGGTTCTCGGCTACTTTGCAGATCCTTGGCTAAGGTACAAAGTGGGGATTCTCAGCCAGTTTATGAGTAAGAATATTATGGTCAGACAGGTTAAGTCGCCAAGCTCCCTCATGATGGAATCCTGTTTGCTTTCCAGTTCCTTGTGTCCTACAAAACGTGGGCCATTCCTTAAGCTAAGGCTGCCTCTGGTCAAGAAAGGAAAGCAGCTTCCATGGAGAACTGGCTCAAAGGAAAATTAAAATTGCACTTCAGGGCTTTGTTGGATAACTTCCTTTTAAAATATTCTTTACATTAAAATTTTTCATTACAAGCTGGGCGGCGGTGTGCACACCTTTTATCCCAGCACTCGGGAGGCAGAGGCAGGTGGATCTCTGTGAGTTCGAGACCAGCCTGGTCTAAAAGAGCTAGTTCCAGGACAGGTTTCAAAGTCACAGAGAAACCCTATCTCAAAAAACCAAAAAAATTTTTTTCGTTACATTTGTTTATTGTGTGTGTGTGCGTGCGCGCTCATGCTATCATGTATGTGTGGAAGTCAGAGAACTTGTAGAAGACAGTTCTCATTTTCCATCACATAGGTTCTGGGATGAAACTCAAGTTGTCAGGCCTGGCAGCAGATGTCTTTACTCACTGAGCCATCTCACCAGCCCCTTTGCTGGACAATTTCTTAATGCCTCTACCTTCCTTTCTTCTTAATCTTTATTTCATGGTGTGTATGTGTGTGTGTGTGTGTGTGTGTGTGTGTGTGTGTACTTGTGTGTATGTACTTGAGTGTGTGTATACTTGTGTGTGTACTTGAGTGTGTGTACTTGTGTGTGTACTTGTGTGTATGTACTTGAGTGTGTGTATACTTGTGTGTGTACTTGAGTGTGTGTACTTGAGTGTGTGTACTTGTGTGTGTGTGCTTGAATGTGTGTATACTTGTGTATGTACTTGAGTGTGTGTACTTGAGTGTGTGTACTTGAGTGTGTGTACTTGAGTGTGTGTACTTGTGTGTGTGTGCTTGAATGTGTGTATACTTGTGTATGTACTTGAGTGTGTGTATACTTGTGTGTGTACTTAAGTGTGTATACTTGAGTGTGTGTACTTGTGTGTGTGTGCTTGAATGTGTGTATACTTGTGTATGTACTTGAGTGTGTGTGTGCTTGTGTGTGTGTGGTTTGTGTGTGTACTTGTATGTGTGTACTTGAGTGTGTGTGTGTGTGTGCTTGTATGCCATAGCATGAGAGGTCAGAGGACAACGTTCAGAAGTCATTTCTCTCTTCCTACCATGTAGCTTCCAGGGACCAAACTCAGACACCAAGCATGACAGCAAATGCCTTTGTTCACTCTTCTAGATTTATTTTTTATTACCTTACATTGTGTGTTTGTGGGGAATGGGAGTATGTACCCATGAGTGCCAGTGCCCTCCGAGGCCAGAGGAGTCAGCTCCCCTAGAGCTGGAGTTAACAGGTGGTTGTGAGCCACTCTCCATGTGTTCTGAGAACCGAACTCGGGTCCTCTGCAAGAACAGAACAAACTCAGCCTCTGAGCCCCCTCTAGGCTCCTTAGTTGTGGGGGTCAGAGGGCAGCTCTCAGGAGTTGATCTCCCTGCCAGGGTCAGGCTCGGGTTGCCAGGCCTACACATAATGAGCTGTCACCCTGGCTGCCCACCTTTCTTTGCGTTTGTCATCGTCTTGTGTGGTAGAATGCCCAGTTTAACAGGCTGCTAGGGCTGCCTACTGTCGCCTCGTCTCCTCAGAGGAAAGCCATGCTTTTGTCTCTTTCTCCTCCCTCTTTACGTCTCCCCGCCCCCACACCCAGCTGCTGTTACTCCAGCTTCTTCTCCGAGGTAGAATGAGTGTGTTCTTAGTCTGTGTATTGCTTCAGCTGGAACTAAACATTCCGCCCGGATGTATGACTACCCTAGGGCTTCTCCTGGTGTCCCTGCGAGGTACAGTTCATCAGCTGTGCATGGCTGACCTAGGACTTAAGACACGGTCCTGCTGGGTAAGATGATACGTGTGGGTGATCGAGCACTGAACTGTGGAGGCAGGAGGAGCAGATAAAGTTATCATCCTCAGCTACAAAGTGAGTAGGTGGCCAGCTGGAACCCATGGGACTGTCCCAAAAGACCAAACAGGGTCTGAGGAGACAGCAGTTAGGGGTGCTTGCTGCTCCTGAGGACCTGGCTTTGGTTCCCAGCACCACACATATAACTTCCTATAACTAGCTCCAGGGGTTAACTCCCTCTCTGACCTCTGTGGGCACCTGCACATATGCGTCATACTCACACCACACAGACTTATATAGTTTATTTGTTTGTCTGTTTGTTTATTTATTTATTGAGACGGGGCTTACTTTGTGACTCTGTTCACTGTGTAGAACAGGCTGACATAAAACCCACATAGATCCACTTGCCTCTACCTCCTGAGTGCTGGGATTAAAGGCGTGTACTGCCATGCCCAACTACAGAAATAAAAAATTAATGTTAAAAAAGGCATAGTCCAATTCTTTCCCATCTGAACCTGTTGCCGTTGCCCGCCCCACTCTGTCCCTCCTGCATATGGGCCAGCTAACCTGGCTGGTGACTTGTTTCTGTGTCACTTTTTCAGGAGGAGACCTCTGAACAGATCACAGATTTTAAGGGAGCTTTTTCCTGTTTTTACCCAACTTCCATTCCCAAAAGACGCCTCCTTAAACAAGTGCTTCCTGGTCCACCCGGAACCTGTGGTGGGCAGCAAGGTGAGCCATCGGCAGGACGTGGGTCTTAGGAGCAGTAGGAGCCTCCTCTGCATGAGGGCTCAGAGAGCATTGAGGATCCCCCTGCCGGCATCTGGCTTGAAGGCACATTCCCAGATACTGTTCCTGCAGATCTACTGCCTTCCTCGTGAAGGGGGTGGGAGGTTGGTCTGACATCCCTACCTCAAGTCAGAATGCAGACAGGCTGTAGACTAATAGCATGTCCTTTGTAAATAGGGAACTGGAACCTGAGAGAGAAACCTTTAACCCAACTTGAGGAGAACTTTGAAAACCCCACCCACAAACAAGAGTCAGGGCAGAGCACAGGAAAGGCCAACACTTGAGGGCCTGGGACATTTGAATTGCACTTAAAGGCAAGCAGCTGGCCTGTTTATCCTACCCTTCCCCATGGGTCAGGGCCAGTGGATGGGGAGAAGCCCTTCTGGGTCTGTTCACTTTTGTCTGGATTGCTCTTTGTCAGTCTCATGCCTCAGGCAGGGTTCAGAGTGCTGATTGATTCATGAGTTTCCTACCTGTGGCCTCCCACCAGCTCTGGTTTGTGTCTGCAGCCTCCTGATGCCCCTTATTTGTTCCAAACTTGCTGAACTTGGTAAAGGAATTTCAAAGCCTATGAAACCCAGTCTGTGTGGAGGAGGGAGGGCTGCCCTGTGGGGAAGGCCTGCAGTGTGGTCAGGGGAAGCACTCTCACCATGTCCAGCTAGAACTCAGGACCCAGTAGGGTTTCATTTTCATAATTATGATAGAATTTTGGCAAGGGACTGCGTCTCAATTTTCCCACTTGAACACTGAAGTGAATTTCATCAGCTTGCTGAACACAAAGGCATCCAGCCAGAGGAGCAGATACAGCCATTCAAATAGCTGTCAAAGTCATCTTGTGGGTGTTTGGAGTCCGGAGTGGCCCCAAAGGCTGGGACCCTGAGGGCCTGGTTTCTTAGAGCATGTGGATCCCCACCCTGGCCCAGGCTTCCCTTCAGCCCAGCCTCCTCCTGTTCCCTAGGCCCTGGTAAAGCCAAGGCCCAGAATCCCAGGACAGTCTGGTCAAAACACAGCCCTACTCTCCTATTCCTCAGTCTTACGTAGGGCTGGCCCGCAGTCATCCATTCCATCCTAGGCATGAAGGGGCAGGTCCCAAGCCACTGAGCCTATGAATGAGGGCTGGACCCACCTGGCCGTGGTCTCATGTAGTCTTTCAGGACTGCAGATGACAGAGCATCTGCCAGCGTTAGTACTTGTTCCCTGCAAGCGCAAGACAAGAAGCCTCCTCCTGTACCCTAGTTATCACTGAAATGACTCTGTGTAGTCTTGGAGACACTCCTGGGCTGTCACTGAGGATGTTGCCCAGTAAATCACACAGTTTCTCTTAAGAAGAACCCCATAGTTTGCTGGAGAGAGGCTCAATGGTTATGAAGACTTCTGCTCTTGCAGAAGACCCAAGTTCAGTTCCCAGGACTGACACTGGGCAGCTCACAACTCCTAGGACTCAACCACCAAGGACTTTGGCTAACTCTTCTAGCCTCCAAGAGTAACTACACATAGGGTTATAGATAATAAGATTAAAAATATTGAAAATAAATTAACAACCCAGAGAAGAGATTTTTACTCTGATCTCAGTACCAGGAGATGCCATGGTTAGAAGAGACTAGTTTGTTTTGTCTTTTAGACACAATTATGAAATTTGTTATTAATCATGTTTTCCTCATTGCTCAACCTGCTAGGAAACACAAGGCCATATGTAAGGCCAGGCATTTTGGCACACACCTTTAATCCCAGCATTGGGGAGACAGAGGCCAGTGGATCTTTCTGAGTTCAAAGCTAACCTGGTCTACATAGAGTTCCAGGACAGACAGACCGGAAAGAAAAAGCCATTATGTGTAAAGGATTTTGTCCACTAATCACTCATTTTCCTTCTTTCTGTTACACCTATTCTTTCCTTCAGATGCATAAGGTGCATGACCTGTTCACTGTTGGCAGTGGGGAAGCCATGTTGCAGCTCATCCCTCCCTTCCAGTGCCGAAGACACTGTCAGTCTGTGGCCATGCCGATAGAGCCTGGGGATATTGGTATGTAGGTCCCAGGAGGACAGACACAGTATTTCTGAGCATCAAACATTGCCTTCAAGAAGGTTCTATCCTTTGGGCTGGAGAGATGGTTCTATCCGTCTAAGTTAAAGGAGCATTTCATTAGCAAAGTCAGTATATTATGCTGGAAAAGAGAGCGGGTAAGTAGCATAGGGAGATGTGTACACAGCAACCCTGAGAATGGGGACACCTGTCAGGCATAACTGCTCCAGGTCAGAAGGGACTCTGGAAGTTACTTAGAATATTTAGGGTAATCCATTTTGTAGATGAGGTTGAAACAAGAGTCAGATGGCCTTCACTGTGTCCCACAGTCACACATCCTTAAGTCTCTGCCTGACACAGTTAGGCCAGGGCAGAGCCAAGGCAAGGTCAGAGTAAAGCTTTATACCTGTTTGCAAATCAGACAGTTGGAAGTGCAGGGCCACCACCACATGGGTGTCACCTGTGTGTGCGTCCCACAGCCAAGCCCCAGCTCACACTGATGGCCCAGCCTTGATTCTGGCTCTGTTTCCTACCAGTATCTTCAGAATCTATTCGAGTCCATTGCCACCAGTCCTCTTGGCAGAAGCAAGGGTGGCAGCAAATGCCACTGCTGCCCGTTTGTGCTGCCTCCCAAGATCTGGAGCCCCTGCCAGGCTGAGACCAGCTTCCAGCTGGGTCCTTTACCGTTGCCTAGAACACGCACCTCAGTGAGGGCCGGGAGCTGGCATTGTGTCACGTTTGCTCCACACCCGAGAACCTTGGCTTTAGCGTAGGCGTGGGGAGTGAGTACAGCACAAGCCGAGTAGTAGTAATGGGGTCAGGCTGGTCTGACCCAGCCATGCAAAACTACGGTAAAAAGTGGATGTGTTCATGGAAACAGCAGGCCCAGTTTCCTGCAGTGCAGTGGCTGTTACAGGAAACAGGGTCTGAAATTTGTGGTCATGCTTAACAGTCCCTGTCTTGTCTACAAATACCATTGATCAGACAACTTCAGAAGCACCACAGATTTTCCAGATTCTAGATTCCAGTTCCCACAAGCATCCAGAATGCCAGCTACAGAATTTGAAAAGCAGAGGTGACTGGCAGCTGCCAAGGAAGCTTTGGTAGGTGAGAGAGAGAGAGCAACCTAAAACACAGACACCAGGCTCCTGGCTGGGAGAGCCTGACTGACCGGCCGCATGGCAGACACTGACGAGGGGCCAGTACTGGGGAAAAGAACAAGCCTGGAAAGTAGGGGAATGGTTGGTGCCCGAAGCCAGTAGGAATGGAGGCGACGGTACTGCTGCCACAGGAGTAGACCTGTCGCTGAGGAAGTCACTCAGAAGTGCAATGTGGCCACTCGGGACCCTTAGGAACAGCACTGTGACAAGCCGTCCTATGATTTTTTTTTTTTTTTGTCCTATGATTTTTTTAACCAAAATGCCTGGAAGGTGGAGGGCAGGAAGTGCACATCATCCATCGCCAAGAGCCCTGAAATGGAGACAGAATCAAGGGTGACAAATATTGGGCACAGCACCAACTGTCATGGCACAGTCCCAGCAAGATCATGTGACCTTTTCTGAGTCACCATGCATTGGTGAGCACCTGCTCTGGTCACTCATTGTGTGCATCAGAGACTGTCCAGTTGAGACCGTTTACCTTAGTAATGTTGAAACGAAAGTGTTAGCATGAGCTAACTTTGTTTACTATTTGAGTTTTTTGAGGCACACTCTTGCTGTGTAGTTCTGGCTGGCCTAGATCACTAGGTAGCCATGCTGGCTTCAGAAGCAGTGGTCCTGAGACAGCTGAGGAGTCTGGGCGCCAGCATTACAGGTGTGTGCCCCCACCTCCAGCTCCCACTTCTGCCCATTTATTTACTCGACTGACTGCTGGTCCTTGTGTGATGAGGTCTGGCTGTGTAATCCTGGCCGACCTCAATCTGAAGTCTCCTGCCCCAGCCTTGCAAGTGCTGGGATACAGGTGTGGCCCACACCCAGCAAGCCCCACTGTGCTCCATGTTAGCATGCAGGACAGGCTGTGAGCGGCAGCAGGTCCCCTTCCTGCTCACTCAGATGATCTGGGTCTGAGTTTCTGAATGGTTCTTCACATCACTGCTGGCCCCAGGGGTGGAGCACGAGCACCCTGAGAAGGCCCTGGAATAGGCTTCCTGAGTTAGGACTTTGGAAGCCGCTGTCTTCATGCATGGTCACGCAGACCCTAAGAAGCTATGGAAGAACCATGGAAGCCTGCGTCCTCAGATCTTCAGGACTGTTTGCAGAGCCCATGTTGGGAAATGCTGATTTAAGTCAGTCTCTGTGTATTGAAGTAAAACCATCTTAGAATAGCTGTGTGATCCCACAGAACCCATCAAGGCCTGCACTCAAGAGGCCGAGGCAGGAGGATCCCAAGCTTGAGGCCAACCTAGGCTACATAACAGGAGCCTATCACACACACACACACACACACACACACACACGCACACGCACACGCACACACACACGCGCCAATTTCTTAAAAAAAAAAATCAGCCTGAGAATTCTGATGGCTAATGCTTTCCTCATCTAAAACAGGCTGCCTTGTGACTAGCCAAAATGTGATTCAGTTGCCCAGAAGAGGGTGGGGAGAAAATGTCTACATTTGGAGTATCTCTTTGAATGTCAGGTCACAGAGAACTAGTAATATCCAAAAAAAAAAAATCCAGTAATAGCAAGGAACCCTTCCTTAGGCTTCAGAGAGCACAGAGGCCTTTGCAGCAGGACTGCAGACCGTGGCTCCCCCGGCCGTCCCGCCAGGTGTCCTCTCCCCGACATTGACTGCTTTCCTGTTGCTCTTTTCCTCCGAGGCTATGCGGGTGCTGCACACTGGAAAGTCTACATTGTAGCCAGAGGGGCCCAGCCTTTGGTCATCTGCGATGGAACCACTCTCTCAGAACTATAGGAAACAACTGTAAGAACTGCTTGAAGAGCTGAAAGCCAGGCTGAAAAAGGTGGAGAGGGGCAATAAAAACACTGAAACATTTTCCTCGGTTGGCTGTCATCTGTGCTGGAGACAGCCGCTAGGGCCTACCCCTCCATCTCTGTCCCTAGATTCCTCAGGGAGGGTTGCAGCCTGGCTGCCCAAGACTGTCCACATCAGTCCTCTCCCAGGCCTTTGGACACTGAGGTGTTGGAAATGGGCTGGGGCTCCCTGTGTGTGTGGGCATGGCTTCTTGGCATTTGTGGGGCAGCAGTGGTTACTGCTGCCATATCCTTCACCAGGGGGGCCTGTTTGTCCACTTTTCCCTGGCCACATCACCCAGAACAGTAAGGAAGTCCATGGTTGACTTTAACAATCACTACAGTTTGACAAGTACAATGGATTTGGAACCAGTGTGGGGAGGACCAGATAGCCAGAGTTTCATTTTTAAAAGTGTCTGCTTAGCACCAGGTATCGTGGTGCATACCCTTAATCCCAGGACTTGGGAGACAGGCTGATATCTATGAGCTCTAGGCTAGCCTGGTTTACATAATGAGTTCCAGGTTTTCCGAGGGTGAGACCCTGTCTCAAACCCCACCACAGCCAAAAGAGTCCCTCTTAGATTCTAGGGGTGTGGCTCAGTGGTAGAGTGCTTGCCTAGCGAGTGTGAGACCCTGAGCTCAGTCTCGGCATCCCAAAGAGAAGGAAAAGTGTCCCTCTTCCACAACCCATGGCTCCTGGAGTTTTTGTGATGGACGCTGGAGACTGGGTTACAGTTCTGAACTTTAGAGGTTCCTGTGCCTCTCCCCCACTGCCCATCAGATTGTTTTCTCAGAACTTCAGCCTCCCCTAGCTGGCCAGCACCGTCACTGAGGCTGCAGCGCCACACCCCCTTCAGAAGGAATGAGTTAGACTTGCTGGCCTGAGGGAGATGGGCACCTCCCTGAGTTTGATCTTTAGGCCTGACTTTGTACAGAGATATTTTTCAGCAGCCTCAAAGCTGATGTAATGTGGTTGGGGGAGGAGGTGCAGAGCCACAGTGTTTGCTGCCCATGTGCCCCTCACCTCACGTTCTACCGTGATCCCCGTCTTCGTACTGGGAGGCACGAAGAGACGTTGGTTTGTCAGGGTGCGTGACTGTCCTAACCAGTGGTCCGCTGTGCTTACTGCTCCCCAGTGCTGTGGGATGTACTCACCGCACAATGCAAATAAGGATGCTTCTGGTTTTTCCAGACAGAAACTCATTCTGTAGACCAGGCTGGCCTCGAACTCAGAGATCCACCTGCCTCTGCCTCCCGAATGCTAGGATTAAAGGAGTGTGTCAATATGTCACCACTACCCAACAGGGATACTCTTTTTGCTTCATCTGCCTTCTTTTTTTGTTTTGTTTAGTTAGAGTCATGTAGACCTGACTGGCCTTGAACTCACAGAGATCTGCCTGTCTCTACCTCCCCAGTAATGAAATTAAAGGTGTGTGCCACTATGCCCAGCTTCCTCTGCCCTCTTACTGGTCCTTTCCTGACATGGTGAGGTACTTGACCACTAATCATGCCTCACAAAGATGAAGGAAAACCAAACTGAGTGGCCGTTGGTTCCAAATTGCAGAAGTCAGAAGGCCACACAGTTTATAGGCCAAAGCAGTCCATGGCGATGGATGCACAGTAGGTCTGTGTAGGCCAAGGCAGTCCATGGCGATGGACTGGCCACCCTGTGTGGGGTCCTCTCCATCATTGGAGGGGTCCTGTACCTTCCCCCAGGCCTCATTCCCTTGCCTTTCATGAGCAGCAAGCTCCCATCATGGGGAGCACAAGTGGGGTTAACCAAAGGTCTCTGGGAGGAGGCTGAGGCGGTTTGTGGGTTTGTGAAAAAACAAGCAGCCTTCACAGAGCTCAGGGTGGAATGGCTCGGAGCCTTCTCAGGCTGAAGAAGGAACTGCACCTAGGAGAGCTTTCCCTGAAAGAATGGACCCTTTGTGTGACAAGTGAAGGAAAACATCTTCGTACACGTAGAAGTCCCACTGCTAGGCAGTTAGAGTTTCAGAGATTGTTGGCCAGAGGCATTGAGCCTCCACCGAGCTCTTCCCGTGATGCCTGTCGGGCAGGGTTGCACTCCGGTCCTGGACTTCCAGAGCCTTCTGAGATTTGATCCTGGGAGAGGAGGCGCCATCTCAGTCTAGGGACTACCTTTGTTCTTTCCCTGGTTGACTCCATGTTCACAGCGTCGAGCCTAGAAACACCCAAACACTAAGAAAACCTTGCCTGTGTTGGCCTTGGGAGGCACCTGGGAAAGCCCGAAAATCCCAGACTGTGTGGTTCCTCAATGCAGGCTTGTGTTCACGCTTCTGTGGAGACCTGTGTGCAGGTTAGGGAGAAATTCCCAGAAGCTGCTATCTTAGCTACTAGTGCTCACCTCGAGGAATGCTGGAGTCGTACGAAGGGCTGGGGCTGCCAGTGGGCTCTCTCCAGCCATCTGGAGACAGGATCCCCAAAGCCCTCAGTGTGTGGGGGGGGGGGGACGGTGAGGGTTGCCAGAAGAGGAACTGGCATTGGGAAGGTGCCAGGACCAGTCTAGCCATCTCACTCAGGTGCCGATGCAAACCAGCCACGGCGTATGAAGTGCCTACTAGGCAGTGACAGTGACCTCTGTGTGAGTTAGGGTCATCTTATGGGACTGGAGGCCTTAGAAATCAGCTCTCTGGGGAGATAAGAACTTGGAGCCAGTTTGAAGCATTTGAGTCCAAGTGGCCAGAGCTCAAGCAGTCGACTCTTGAGTGGACACCACAGCTGTCGAGTTTGTGGAAAAGGCAGGCTTGTCCTTACCCCACTCTGGATTTATTGAGGAGAGAGAGTGATTTGTGATATTAGAATTCTATTTGGCACAATTCAGAGCAAATTTGGGGGTGGGTTCAAGACAGGCTACCCCTATGTAGCCCCGGCTGGCCTGGCACTCACTATGTAGAAGTTGGTATCAACTCACAGACATGGGCCTGCCTCTGCCTCCCACGTGCTGGAGTTCCACGGTCCATTTTCTCGCAGAAAGGAATACCATCCCAAGTCATTCTAACCTCTGCATCTGAGTTGCATACACCACCCTTTAGCCATCACATAGTCCTGTGAAGTATGGGCAGATCCCTGTTTCACAAGGAAAGAAACCGATGCTAGAACAGGAGTTACCAGCAGGTGATTCCTCCCAGGAAGCATGCCTTGGCTCGTGGGTGTGCCCCACTGGGGTGGGAGACTGACCTGGACCATCGGCAGAATAGGAGCGTGGTAGGGTTTGCTTCCCAAGCGCTGAGGAAGACATGCATGGAGGAGTCTGACCATGTGATCTTTATTTTTTAAAAAATCCTCTGTGTCCCTCCCCGTTTGTAAATTCACAGCTGCATCCAGCGTTTTCCCGTCCCTGCGTCTGCAGATGTGTGCCCGGTCCCAGCTGTGGGTCCCCTTGGAGTTGCATCACTTGTTTTCCAGTTCTCAGTTTTCTATTCCCTTCTTCCACAAGCCAGCCGAGGCCCCAGTGTTTGTGAACTGCTGCTTTGAAAGCCAGTATCCCGTTCCTTCCCCACAGGTGACCTCAGCTTTGTCCCTGTGGCCGGGAGGCGCTCAGCCTATCATTTCCACAGTGACCATCATGCAGGTGTCAGCCTCTCCTTGCCCAGCTGAGGCTAGCCGCGGGGAGGAGGGGGCTCATCCACCACCCAGCCAGTGACTAAGGAACGGTGCTTCGGAAGCCATGCATGTCTGTGAGGGAGCCGCAGGCACTCATGGAGACAGCCTTGTGGCAAATGTAAAGCAAGACTCTAGGCAGACAGCCTGTCCTCACCCAGTCTCCAGAACACCCAGCAGCTTCCTCCAGAAGAGCACAGCAGGGAGATGGACGGAGCTCACTGTGCCCAAGCCAGCTTGCCTGGGCACCGTGTGACTTCACGTTCTGGGCTCTGGAGAAGCCCTCTAGCCAGTTTGTTGGCTGTCCAGGCCTCTCACTGTCTGGTTTCCTTGCCCTGCATAATTTCAGCATTAGCTCTAGATACATGTGTCATTTTTCTCCCTCTGGAGACTGGAATGTCCAGACTTTTGAAGCCGAGCCGGGTGAAAGAATGTTACATAACCAAGCAGGGACCCTTCCGCCTCCGCTCAGTGCCTGTCAGTCAGGCAGTGGTCACTAGTCCAAGAGCCCCGGCTGCCAGCACCCTGCAGAGAAGGGGACCCCACCCCGCTGCGTTTTGAGTTTCCCACAAACTGGGGAGGCAGAACATCTGCTTTGTACTAGGCGTTACTTCATTGCACCCCAGTCGCGCGGGTGGGGTCCTCCTGGGCAGCCACCTTTACTCCAGTGTCCCCCCCCCCTCAAGCTGCCCTTGACCCAGTGGACACCGGCGTTTTCCAGAGAAGCCTGTCTCACCAAGGCAGCTCACCCTCCACACCCTTCCATAGTTCTCCCCAGAAATGGGCTCATGGTGACCTTTTACCCCTCCCTCTCTGTCTCCCTGACCCCCATGGAAAGAACATGCCAGATGCCCAGACTAGGAGAGGAACAGCACAAGGCAACCAGGGACGCCCGGAGCACAGCCTCTTCCTGCTGTCCTCAGGGTCTAACACAGTCTAGAGAACCAAGGTGTGGCATCTGGGTAGGCCGTGTGAGGAGAGAGGCACCTGTCCTGGCCAGGGCATCCTATAGAGCAGTGGTTCTCAGCCTGTGGGTCACAACCCCTTTGGGGGAGGTCAGATGACCTTTTCACAGGGGTCACCTAAGACTGTCTGCATATCAGATATGTATTCTGTTGATTCATAATGGTAGCAAGATTAGTTACAAAGTACCAATGAAAAGAATTGTATGGCTGGGAAGTCACCACATGCGGAACTGTAAAAGGGTCACACTGTAGAGTAATCTAGGGGAGTCTGCACCAGGTCTAAAGAATGGATGTAAATTAAGGTTCAGTGTAATGGAATATTTACCTTTCGCAATTAAAAGTATGTATGCTGCGTGGTTAGAAGCTTCCTGTCCTTGGTATCTTTAATGTTCTCACTTTTCTCTTTTCCCAGAAAGCGACTGGGTGGTGAGTAGGCACTTGAGGCAGGACTGTGACACTCCCGGGGGCCCTGGATGGCTTCGGGCTTCTGTCAGCCTCTCTCCTAGGGCTGCTGCTGCCCTCACCGCCCTCGTCCCTCCCGCAGCCTCCGCCACAGGCTTCTCCCTCGTTGCTGCCCTCAGTTCAGAGTCTCAGAGCTCTCCCGCCCCTTTCTCGCACACTTTACTCAGAATCCAAATGAACAAGATCCCTTTGTCCTCGCCAGACACAGCTTTTGTGACCACATGCCCTTAAGGGTGCCACACTCACAGTGGCACTTCACCTGCGACACACGCGGAGGCCCCAAGTCCCCCGCTGGCTCAGTCCAGCTGCCACCAGACAGCAGGCACTGTTTGTGCTAAGACAGTGTGTGCTTGTGTGCGTGTGTGTGTGTGCACGTGTGCATGTGTGTGTGCGTGTGTATGTGTGTGTATACTCGCTCATATATATGTATATGTATGTCCATATCTTTTCTCCTCCTCTTTTCCTCCTCTTTTGTTGTTGTTGTTTTGAGACAAGATCTCTATGTAGCCCAGGCTGGCCCGGAACTTACTATACAGTTCAGACTCGCCCTCTAACTCACTGAGCTCTGCCTGCCTCTGGCTTCCAAGTGCTGGGATTATGGGCGTGCGCCACCATGCCCAGTCCCAGGATCATCTTATTTCATTGTTCTTACTACTTGCTATGTTCTTTCCCTCTTCCCCACGTTATCCCTCAGCTTTCCCTGCTAAGCTGTGTTCAAAGCCATGCCCTGCTGTGAATCTTTTCATAGTTTTTTCATGGGCTCTGGTCTGATCATCGTCATAAAGATGCAGGAGGGGCATTGCTTTGTCATATATGGATTTTTTTAGATGGTCTCATGTAACCCAGGATGACTTTGAACTCTTTATGTAGCCAAAAGCGATCTCAAACTTCTCACCCTCCTGTCTTCATTTCCAGAGAACTGAGATTACGGGCAGGTAGCACGATACCTAGGACCAAACCCGAGGCCTCACATATTGCCAGGTGAGCACCGGACCATCTGAGCCGCATCACCGGCCCCTGAAAGTGGACGCTTCCTCCCAGTGCCCTGTGCTCCGCTCCCCGCACACAGAGGGAGCTCCCCTAAGGCCACCGGCTCGGCTCTCTCACCGTTTCTCATGGTTAATACTTGGTGGTGTGGCTGTGCCTCCATTAATCCCCAGCCTGCAGAGTGACCGGTTGCATTATACACTGAGGAGCTTGGTGGTGTTTGTACCAAATGAATGTTATTGCTCGGTACCACCCTAATGTTTGTTCTTCAGAAATCATCACACCCCACAGTCATAACCAATTTGCCTGCTCAGAATCAATCATGTTAACACCTCGGGCCCCAATTAGCATTTGGTTCCACATTGAAGGGAATGGAGGAGATGGCCTCTTCTCAGTTCTAATCTTAGCCCTTTGAGAGCATTTGCTGTGACTTGAGTCCCTCCCTCCCCTCCCTCCCCTCCCTCCTCTCCTCCTCCCCCTCCTTCCCTGTTTCTCACCTTCAGCACTCCCTCCCCAGGCCTTGCCTCTACTCTGGCTCTGGGACCTCAGGACCGAGGAGACTCTGCCTGCCCTCTGCTCTGTCTTCTACACTGATTGCCCAGGGAGAGGTCCCCTCAGTACCTCCCCTTCCTCCAGACTGCATGGCAGACTCCGAAGGGAGGCTGGCCCTGGGACCCCGGCGTCCAGAGCTCATCCCTGATGCTCCGAAGCCCTCTCTCCTCCCGGATGCTCCGAAGCCCTCTCTCCTCCCGGGTCCACAGTGGTCCTGGCCACCTCCTGCTTCCCAGGGCTCTGCTCTTGGCTCACAGCCCCTGCTTTGGGTCAGGACCACAACCTGGGGACTCCAGCCCCAATGCGATGCAGCTTTTTGATCACTGGTTCGGTACTCTGTGCGCTCCCCCAGCCCAGCTCCTGCTCCAGCCACAAGTGCCCTTCACCCCCCATCCCCCCACCCCGTGACTCGGGTCCCCCATCCAGCCTCACTTCCCCTCCTCACGGCTCTGCCGCCTCTACCGGACCACTGTGATACCCGGAAGTGCCCAGGCTAAGGTTTAGGTTTTCATGAACTTGTTTTCGTCTAAGAGCAGTCTTTAGGTTCGAGAGAGAAGACCATGAGTTTCCACCACACACACAGCCCGCTCACACCCCACCGCTCTACACCAGGATGGAGTATTCCTTACAGCCGTGAGCCTGTGCTGACCCGCCCTTCCCACCTGAGTCCACCCCAGGTCCCTCTCACTGCTGCTCCTCCACCCGGTGTCAGTTTGAACCAGTGTATACCACGCACACCATTATAGTAGCACACGCAGGAGGCTGCTCTGTTGTTTTTGTTTGTTTGTTCGTTTCTGAGACAGGGTCTCTCTACATAGCCCTGGCTGTCCTGGAAATCACTGTGTAGACCAGGCTGGCCTTGAACTCACAGGGATCCACCCGCCTCTGCCTCTGCTGGGACTAAAGATGTGCACCACCACATCCAGCACGTGCCGTCGTCCCGCTTACCTGGCTTCCCACCCCGTTTCCCTGTCCCCGTAGGCTTGACTTTCCCAGAATGCCATGTGTCGTGGGGGGCTCATCATCAGTGTGTGGCTTTCAGACTGGCTTCTCAGCAGTAGACAGAGGCACGGTCCTTCCACATCTTCTCAGGGGGACAGCTCCCCGCCACCCCAGTGCTTCCCTCCGCATCCATCGCTGGCTGGTGGGCGTTCTTGGTTACCTCCAGACTTGAGCAGCTATAAAGCTGCTGGAATGTGCTATGCTGGCTTAGTGTGGACACGTTTCCAGTTCCCTTGGGCACACAGCTGTGAGAGCTACAGTAAGAGCACACATAGTGAATTGTCATGAAACCATCAGATCTTCTTACCAAATGGCTATAACCATCCTGCATTCCTACCAACAGTGAGAGGAGGGTTTCTTTTTTTAATTCTTTGACAATTTCTTGCATGTATTTGGTGCATTTTGGTCACTTTGACTCCGTTTCCTCTGATCTCCTCTTCCTGACGAGTTCCCATCCACCCTGATGAACTTCGGTATTGTTTTAATTAGGGTTGCCCACATAAACATGGGTAGGGGGTTGTTTATTGGCATGTGGACAACTCACCATTAGCTACCCAGATGAAGAAACGACACCTCCTCCCCACCAACCATAAACCGCTGATACAGCTCTTCAGGGACGGGTGGGGCCTTGTCAGCCCCTCCCTCACCCATGATGGGATAGTGACAGGTCCCAGTTTATGTAGGTCTTGGCCGCAGCCGCTGTGATGAGTGCAATGTCCACATCGTGTCCACGAGACCGCGTTTCACAGCCCTCCTGTCCACCCTCCAGCTCTCACGTCCCGTCCTCCCAGTCTTCGGCAGGGTTCCCTGAGCCTTGAGACGGCTGATACAGAGCTCCTCTGGGGCTCAGCACTCTAATCAGTCATGAGTCTCTTTATTAACTCTCGCCCAAGAATGAGAGGGCTTGTTGCTCTCAGTCTCCGCCAGCGCTTGGTGACGTCCACATTTGGGTTTTGGCCCTTCTGTCTGGTCTGTGTGACTGGTATTACCGTCTTACTGTTTTAATTTGTGATTCCCCAGTGACGTATGATGAAGAACTCTGTCGCTGTTTGCCATCTGTATGTATTCATTGAGAAGTTCCCTGGGGGCTTTTGCCCATTTTTTTTCTTTTTGGGTTTTTTCGAGACAGGGTTTCTCTGTAGCTTTGGAGTCTATCCTGGAACTAGCTCTTGTAGACCAGGCTGGCCTCAAACTCACAGATATCTGCCTGCCTCTGCCTCCCGAGTGCCAAGATTAAATTAAGGCGTGTGCCATCACCGCCTGGCTCTTTTGGCCATTTTTAAGTTAGGTTGTTTGTTTTCTTATGTTGTGTTTAAGAGTTCTCTGTATGTGTTGGTGGTCATCTCTTATTAACTGTGTCTTTTATGTATATTTTCTCCACTCTGTGGCCTGTTTTATTGACATTTTTTTGTTTGTTTTTATTTTGTTTTTCAAAATAGGGTTTCTCTGTATAGCAGCTCTGGCTGTCCTGAAACTCGCTTTGTAGACCAGCCTGGCCTGGAACTCACAGAAATCTACCATGCTCTGGAATTAAAGATCTATGCCACCACTGTCCAATGACTTTGTGTTTTTAAAGCAGAAGTTTATCATCTTTCTGTGTGTGGTTTTCCTGAAACAGTCCCACTGAAGCCCAGGCTAACCTCAATGAAGCCCAGGCTAGCCTCAACTCTCAATCCTCCTGCCTCACCTTTCTGAGTACTGGAATTACAAGTCTGAGCCACCACATCTAGCTGAGAAGTTCTGTATTTCAGCCAAGTCAGCTCCTGGATTGTGCCTTTCATATTGGATACAAAAGTCTCCTCTGGGGCTGGAGCTATAGCCCCGTGCTCTTGCAGAGTTCAGGTCCTGGTGCTCGTCACCATCCGTAGCTCCAGTTCCAGAGGATCTGACCTCCTTTGGTGTCTGTGGGTACTGCACACATGTGGAAACATACATGCAGGCAAAACACCCCCACACATAGAAAATATTATTATACTCAAGGTCACCTAGGTTTTCTTCTAATTTTTCACTCTGCATAATCCGTTCTGTGGGTTTTACCTCTTTATTTTCCTGTTATTTTTTTTTCCTCAGTGCTAGGGACCAAATAGTTCACTTTGGTGGTGGGTGAAGGGTCTGGGTCCTGGCTGCCTCTTTTGGGCGTCAGTTCCCAGTTGTCCTGGCCCTGTTTTGTCCAGAAGACCATCTTTGCCATACAGTGATGCCCTTGCTCCCTGCCAGCCACCCTGGCTGACTGCATTTACCTACGTACATAGGTCCCTTCTAGGCTCGCTCCTGTGCTCCACAGCTCTCTCTGAATTCTTTTACAAGGATGATGCCATATGACAGCGAGGGCGTTACGTCCAATCGTGACGTCAGCAATGCCATCTTTTCTTCGGCGTCAGGTCGGTTCTTCTGAGGTTTTTTTGCCCAGTGTGAACTTCAGAGCCAGCTACAAAACAAGTGTCCCAAGTTCTGGCTGGGATTTCATAGCAGCTATAGAATTGGACCCAGATGCATGCTCGTGCACACACAGTTATTTTGGAGGACTAGAGATGTAGACCTCGACTAGTGTGCTGCCTAGCTTTATGCCAGCTTAGCAACAACCAAGGTCATTCTGGGAAGGGGAAAAATCAATCGAGAAAAGTTTCCCTGCCAGGTTGACCTACAGGTAAGTCTGTGGAGCATTTTCTCCAGTGATGATTTATGGGAGAGGTCCCAGCTCACTGCAGAGGGTAGGGGGTTGCTGCCTCTAAGAAAGCAGGCTGAGCCAGCCAAGAGAACAAACACGCCAGTGAGCAGCGCCCTCCATGGCCCCTGCATCAGCTCCTGCCTCCAGGTTCCTGCCTTGACTGAGTTCCTGCCCTGACTTCCCTTGATGATGGACCATCACCGGAAGCTGATTGATACATACCCTCTCCTCCCCACGTAGCTTTTGGCCATGCTGTTTGTCAGAGCAGTAGAGACGAGACCCTAACTGAGACACCCAGCGTACACAAAGACCTGGACTCAACCCCAGCCCAGTGTACATGCGTAGACCCAGCACTCGGGAGGAGGCAGGAGGACTGGAAGTTCAAGGTCACCCTCATGATGAGGGAGAATTTGTTAAAATAAAAAAGAGGGCCGGAGAGATGGCTCTGTGGTTAAGAGCACTGACTGACCCAAGTTCAACTCCCAGCACCCCCATGGAGTCTCATAGCTGTCACTCAAGTTCTGGGGCATCTGGAGCCCTCTTCTGGCCCCGTGGGCACCAGGCATGTACACGGTACACAGACATACATGCAGACAGAGCACCCACACACATAAAATCATCTGGAAAACACACACACACTCACACACACACGCGCACACACTCATATATATTTAAAGAGATTGGTTGTGATGCGGGGGTCAAGCCATAGCCTCATCTGTGCCAGGCAAGTGTTCCACTGCTGAGAGACACCCCCAGGATATTTTAATTAGAAGTTATGATAACATTGTGAATGTTAAGTGTGTCCTGTTTTTGCTCCTCGTAAGCTAGATTTTACGGCTGCACATTCCTCGGACATGACCCTTGCGGTTCCTTACGCCCTGATCTTCTCACTGATGAGCCTCTGGATGCTGTGCTCTGACGGACATTTCACCAAGTGCCGTTCCTCTCTCTGCTCACTTATTTTTGTCAAAATCACACAGTCCTTTGTTTTTAATTGGCAATTCCTATGTATATGGGTATTTCGCCTGCATACCTGCATGCCATGTGAGTGTCTGGTGACTGCAGAGATCCTCCTGGGACTGCAGTTCAGACAAGTTGTGAGCCTGTGTGTGGGGGTCCTCTGGATGCTCCTAGTCGGGAACTGTCTCCCTGGAACCCTTCTTTATGTATATGTGTGTGTGTGTGTGTGTGTGTGTGTGTGTGTGTGTGTGTGTGTGTGTGTGTGTGTGTGTGTGTGTGTGTGTGTGTGCTGTGCCATGGTGTCTGCAGAGGCCAGAAGGCAGCATTTGGTCCCCTGGAGCAGGAGTTAACAGTTGGATGTGAGCTTCCAAAGACAGATGCTGGGAGCCAAACTTGGGTTCTCTCCAAGAGCAGCAATTGTTGACTGCTAAGCCATCTTGTATGCCTTGTTTTGTTTGCTTAATGAAGCCTTACTTTATTTGGTGTTTGTTTTTTGGTTTTTTGTTTGTTTGTTTGTTTGTTTGTTTTTCAAGACAGACTTTTCTGTGTAGCCCCGACTGCCCTAGAAATCACTTTGTAGACCAGGCTAGCCTCAAACTCAGAGATCCAGCTATCTTTTGCCTCCTGAGTTCTGGGATAGAGGCATGTGTCACCACCACCCAGCTATAAATCTTTATTTTAACTGTGTGAGGACTTTTGCTTTTGAGTCTATCTATAACCATTCTCTGTATTTTAACCCTGGGGGAGGGAAAAACCAACCTTTTCATTTCCTGTGACTATCTCAAGCCTTCTATTTAAATCGTTTTCCCTGTCAGGTGGTGATAACACACACCTTTAATCCTAGCACTTTGGGAAACAGAGATTGGTGGATCTCTGAGTTTAAGGCCAGCCTGATCTACAGAGCCGACTCCAGGATAGCCAGGGCTACACAGAGAAACAATGTCTTGAAAAAACAAAGCAAACACTGTTTTCCCAGCTGTGTCTGCTAATTTCTTGCTGCGTCCCTGCTCAGTTCAGTGACGTTCCCTCAGTGTGAGCTTTTCACTTTGTCCTGTAGTTTCGTCTTTGAGCCCTTACTCTCTTGAATCCGTGGCGTTTTGCTCTGTAACTCAGAGGGCTTCGGGGAGTGTCTGTTGCTGCTGCAAGACCTCGTTCCCTTCATCACCCACTGCCCCACCCTCTCCCCTCCCCCACCCTCTCCCCTCCCTCCCTCTTTTTACTTACCATCTCCCTTCTTTCCTTATTTATTTATTTATTTATTTATTTATTTATTTATTTATTTATTGGCCTCAGGTTAAACTGTGCTAAGTACATGCTGTCCCAAGTCACACCCCAGCCCTCTACACTTTCTTTGAAAGGACTTCCGCTTCCTGTGGTAGCCCAGGCTGGACTTGTTGCTTCTGTGGAATCTGGGTACATTCTCAGTTCCGTACCCAGTACTCACCACTCAGGTTTTTAATTTATTTTTAGACTTAGATTATGGGTGTGAGTGTTTCCCCTGCCTCCTGTGCGTGTGCGCCACAAGAGTTTCTGGCGCCTACCGAATCCAGACGAGGGTATTAGATCCACTGGAACTAGAGTTACAGATGGTTATGAGGGTATTAGATCCACTGGAACTAGAGTTACAGATGGTTATGAGGGTATTATATCCACTGGAACTAGAGTTACAGATGGTTATGAGGGTATTAGATCCACTGGAACTAGAGTTACAGATGGTTATGAGGGTATTAGATCCACTGGAACTAGAGTTACAGATGGTTATGAGGGTATTAGATCCACTGGAACTAGAGTTACAGATGGTTACGAGGGTATTAGATCCACTGGAACTAGAGTTACAGATGGTTATGAGATGCCATTTGGGTGCTGGGAATTGAACTTGGATCCTTGCAAGATCAGCTAGTGCTCGCTCTTTTTTTAAATTTATTTATTATGTATACAGTGTTCTGCCTGCATGTATGTCCACAGGCCAGAAGAGAACATCAGATCTCATTACAGAGGGTTGTGAGCCACCATGTGGTTGCTGGGAACAGAACTCTGGACCTCTGGAAGGGCAGCCAGTGCTCTTAACCTCTGAGCCACCTCTCCAGCCCCTCTTTACCATGTTTGGAAGAACCCACTTACACAGCCCACTCAGGACTTGCCAGCCAACCGACTTTGCCCTCTGATAGCCAAGGCATCTCCGGCTGAGCAGCCAGAGTCTCTGCCTTTTCTTGACCTAACTTCACTCTTCTCTGTCCCCACACAGGAACTAACATTTTCCTGGCTGCCTACCATTTCCTGTTCCCTTCCCCACCCAACTCTCATTTTTTTTTAATCCTTATATTTTCCTCTACTAGAAGAAATACTGGAAACGAAATCATCAAAACCCAAGGAAAGGGCCAGTGAGATGACTCCGTGGACAAGGGTGACGTCACCAAGCCCGACTTCTGGAGTTCCAAGCCCAGGATCCACAAGATAGGAGAGAACCAGCCCCTACGAGTGTCCTGTACATGTGTGACATGGCATGCACATGCCCCACCCCATGCATATTAAATAATAGAAGTGATAAAAGTTAAAGACCGAATAAGACAGAAATGTAAGAACTAGAGCACTCGGGCCAGACCCAGCTTGGTAAGCTCTCAAGTGGACCAGGGGCCTCCATAAGGCCTCACTTCTGGCTTGCTAAGATGGTGACTTTGGGTGGGGCTGGGACAGGCCTTGCTTCTGCCCTCCTCTGTAGACAGCTGTCCTCCAGCCTCCAGAACTGTCCTCCAAGCCACCAGTGGACAGCACAGCTGTCCTGCCCCTGCCTGGCAGCTGGACCCCGACCCACAATTCTGACCTGCGTCTTCTGCAATGACAGAGCCGAGACCCTGAGCTGGGCCAGCCAGGAGCAGCCAATGGCCTCAGCCAGTGCCAGTGCTGCCCCTTCCTGCGACTCAACCCCTCTCTGGCCCTCTCCCACGCTCCCCACAGCCCAGTTCCACCCAGAACCCTTAGACCTCACCCAGCCCTGCACCGAGCAGAGCCTTCAAACCCTGAGGAATGGCACGCAGCACTGTCCTTACCCTGCCGGCCTGGCTTTGAAGAACAAAGACAAATGTCTTCCAGGGCTGAGCCTTTCAGCCTTTGGATGGGGGATCTCTACTTCTCTCCTGCCCACTCACTGACAGCAGCTACATTCCGGGAGAGCACCCCCGCCACACAAGAAGCTTGAGGAGCAGTCCTCTGGGCCCCCAGCTGCTTCTAGTCTCCCTCACTCTTGGGGCCCTGCAGCTTGGCCCCTGCTAGCTGGGCATCCTGGTCTGGAGCTGAACACTGCACCAGGAGACTGACTACCTGTTGGGCTTTTGTCTAACAGTAACAAATGCTTGACAAGCCCCTGGAGGCGGAAAGGGTTTGCTGTGGATCAAAGTTGAAGATCCACAGGGAGGCGCCCGCCCGCATTGTGTCTTCAGCCAGGAGGCAGAGTGGGCCATAAAGCCCCGAGCCCCACCCCCATGGCCCGCTTCCTCCTAAAGGTTCCACAGCCTTCCAAAGCATCACCAACAGCTGGTGATCAAGTGTGAGCCTTTGGGGACGTTTATGTTCAAACTAGTGCTGTTTTCCTTTGTTTCGGCCTTTTATTCTACAGCTATCTTGTTCAGCTACTGCAGCTCTGCTGATACCAGCAGCCAAGTCTCAAGAGGCGAAGCCAAAGGGAATTCTGTTCCCTCAGGCACCAACCCTTTCAAAGCTACTGCAGAAACTCATTTAAATCTCTGTCTCACCAAAGAACTCAAGATTCAAAGGTTGAGGTAGAATCCTGCTTCCCAGAGAGGCTGTATAGCAAGCAGCTCATCCGGCGCCCTCCTCGTGTCTCCCAAGAAGTCCTCGTGCTGGTTCTCACCCCCCCATAAACCTTCTCCACCTGGCTCCTCCCCACAACTTCCTGTCAGCCAGCTGCTGGCCCAGCCTCCTGATCACAGGTGAAGTTTATTTAATCAAACACATCTTTGCATCATTAAAAAAATGTTCCAGAGAGCCGGGCGTTGGTGGCGCACGCCTTTAATCCCAGCACTTGGGAGGCAGAGATAGGCGGATCTCTGTGAGTTCGAGACCAGCCTGGACTACCAAGCGAGTTCCAGGACAGCCTCCAAAGCCACAGAGAAACCCTGTCTAGAAAAACCAAAAAAAAAAAAAAAAATGTTCCAGAGCATAAGCAAAATAATATTCTACAACACTACAGCATCAAAGTGCCCAGTCTGGGGCCTATATGCTATAGAAAGGGACAGGTCCTGCGCATGAAGTGTCTTCATCTTTTTGAGAAGCCTGGGAGATTGAACTAAACACTGGTGAACAGGATTGGGGTTGCTCTCAGAGAACGAAACCCTGGGAAATGGGATTGCTTTTGGAGAACTGAATCCTGGGAAACGGGATTGCTGTCAGAGAAGGAAACCCTGGAGAACAGGATTGCTCTCAGAGAACTAAGACATCAGACAACAGAGGACGAATCAGAACAGTAGGCACAAAGTCAGCTCAAGGAGCAGACCCAGGATGGCGCACACTGGACCAGAACCATTACAGACCATGTCTGTCAGAAGAGGAGGCCCCCAGTGACGCTCGCTCAACAAAGGGAGAGCCACGTAGGCAGCCTCCATCCACCTGCCAGGACCAGAGTCCTGCAGGCTGATAGAAGACCCTGGGCTGTCCAGGCTGACTCCTGACAGGAGCCTGCATTGCTGTGGCCAAAGCTCTGAGGAAAGTGACTTTTGCTTATGGTCCACACAGAGCATGGGGTGGAGGAGGGGACAGAGTGAAGCCGCTCACACCGCAGTGATCAGGAAGCAGAAAAGGAGGCCAACGGGAGGAGCGTCGGGAACCCAGCCTCCCAGGATGCACCCTGTGAGCTCCTGTCACCTCCCAATAATGCCACCGTGTTATGAGTCCATCTGGGGATGGCATGATCGTTCCCGGCTCAGAGCCCAAGGACCCACCCTTTGTGGCACCATCTCCCGGTGGCCTTGTGGAGAGGATGCTTCTAGGAGGAAGGACCCAGAAGGGTCATGGGACCCAAACACAAGTGGGCATTGCCATCTGTAAGTCTGCAGCAGGCTGACACAGTGCCGCCGGCGGCTGGAGCAGCGCCACACAGCGGACTGCAAGGCCCTGTGGACCATCACGTTCTTCAGGCGGTTTACGTTAGGTCACTTTTGGCGTAGACATCTCCTGGTGCCCACTTCTGATGCCCTTTCTGTAGGTGTCTGCTTAGATTCTATTCATTCTTAAGCTGTCACCCTCAAGTATTCACAAATCTGCGCTGGCCAGGAACCTCAACCCCACATGCCGTGTCCTCATGGGAACATCTTTTTCAAAATGGAGAGGACACTTGCATTTGCAGGATAGCAGTCAGAGAGCGGCTAACCTGGGCTACATAATGAAAAGCTCATCTGAGGAGAATGAGAGGCCTCTGAACCCTGCCCACCCCCGGCTTCTTTCTGGTTCGTGCAGACACTCCTAGTCTTACTTAAAAGGCTGTGCTGGGGCTGGAGAGAAGGCTCAGCGGTGCCTGCTGCTCTTGCAGAGGACCCGGGGTGGGCACTTAGTGTTACTGTCCCGACTCAGTTCTACAGTAAAGTAACCCTCACAGGAGGCAGGACCTACGGAGCCAGGCAGCTGCACACATCTCATCCTCCCGTGCTGGATGAGTGGCACTGGCAGTCTCCTCGTCTTACCCAATCCTGAGGGTGGGGGTCAGGTCTATAAGGCTCCTTCCTTGTCCCGCCCGCAGTGTCTCTCGGGTTATGAGCTGGGTGCCACAGCCACAGCTCTGCAACTCCTTCTGAGATTGTCCCCTGAGGATCTGTCCACACCTCAGAAGGGACCTTGGAGCTCACAGCCCCTGGCCTGAGCCCCCACCCCACCCCACCCTGTTACCAAGAGAAAGGAGGCTGTTGCCAAGGACTCCAGGGGAGTGGACTCAACTCTGGTCCAGACCCAAGGCACCCAGCCCTCCTGGAGACATTGTGTGAGCCGGGCTGGGCCTCCAGACACAGCCGCCGCCCCCACCCCAGCCAGGGTGGTGCTTGTGTGGGAAGGACTTTTAAGTCCAGCCGCCAGACCCCTGATCCGGAGAGACCGACAGGGCTGGCCACCATGCACAGCTCCTGCAGCCTCTGGGCCGCGCTGCCCCCACTGCTGCTGCTGCTGCTGGCTGGCACGGGCCCCACCTCAGCCCTCACGGAGGATGAGAAGCAGACCATGGTGAAGCTTCACAACTTCTACCGTGCCCAGGTGTCCCCACCAGCCTCAGACATGCTGCAGATGGTGAGTGTGACTGAGGGCCCATCTCCTGGGACAGAAGGGGTGCTAGGCACGGCCTGCCTCCTTCCTTTTCCTCACCCCGCTCCCTGTGGGGATGCTCTCAGACCCCTCCCTCGGGTCAGCGGCAGAGTCCCTGTGCTGTAGAATGTCGGTTCTCACAAGCAGCAGTCATGGAGACAAGGAAACTGAGGCTCCAGGGACTTGCACTGGGGCTTAAGCCCTGGCTCACCCGTGGCCTCCTCCTCAACTCTTTCCCAGATGTGAGGACCTGGAGGGGAAGCACTTGTGAGCCATCTGAGGGTCCCTGAGGAGAGGAAGAGGCAGGATGAGCCTGGAAAGCGCCGGGGAAGGAGAGCAGATGGGGGCGGAGGGGCTCCAGGGCCCACAGGTGCTGTCTCCAGCGCTGAGGCTGTGGTCTAGGGCATCCTCTGTAACCATGTGGACTGTTAGCTCCTCATCTGTAAAATGGGCTCATAAGCACTCCCACACGCATACGCTGAATCTCACGCGTGCAATACTGCCATCAGTGAAACCTAAAGTCTACATGTAGCACGAACTGTCTGCCTGATGTCGGGAGAGGTGCACAGGCAACAGGAGCCAGGGGCAAGGTGGCGGTGGCCTGTCTGGCAGAAGGAATGTCATCAGATGACAGGGTTGGGACAGGATGTCTGCTCTGGTTCCAGCTGATAAAGTGGCAGTCGCTCCCTTTCTGTCCTCGAAGAGGCCTGACTGGTCCAGCCCACCCCACTCCCAGGCACCCTCTGGTGGCCTGGAACACCTGAGCTAAGAGCCAAGTCACTTGCGAAATACAGCAGCAAAGCTGGGACCCCAACGCTTAGGTGATAGCCTCAGCTTGTCCCCTGTGGCTTGGCGAGCCTTTGGGGAGCCTTTTCCTGATGGACAGCTAGGTATGGCCATCCCCACCCTGCAGGCCAGGCAGGATGACTGTGAGAAACGCTCTCAACCCCGTTGTCCTTGGCAACCAGGAACTGCACACAAATCCGAAGCCGGCACACTGGTCCTCAGCGCTGAGGTCACCATTCCCCTTCTGCAGACCCTGTACACCCCGCTGTCCAGCGTGTGCTGTGCTCAGGGTGCCCCCCCCCCCGCTAGCACCTTGTCTGTTAGCCCCCCTCCGCCTGGCTACACAGCCCCTCCCATGCCCCACAGTGCACAGTTACCTGCGCCACTAACCACAGTGGTCACGTTCTCCGAGCGACTTATGGCCATGTCAGCTTGGGCTTCTTGGTCTCTGCTGCTGCTCCGGCCTGGCCCAGTGCCCAGGACTACTGAATGACGACGGCGTGGATGGACCTGCTTCCAGGGACAGAGGATGGTGGTTCTTGCAGTGCCACAGGCTGAGAAGCTTCCAGAAGGGACTTCAGGCATGGACTCAGTTTGCAGGCTAGAGCTGGGGCTGCTCTGAGCTCGTGCCTGTCATCAAGAAGTGACAGCTGTCTGTGAAGTCCCCACAACAGCCAGCACTGTGCCGGATGGAGATTATGCTACCGTCAGTCCTAAGAGGGGCCTGTCTCTCCTGGAGCCCTGCAGGTCACCGCAGACCCCCGATCCCAGTTTCCACCCCCGCTGCCCACTGTTGCCAGGGTCCAGGGGACTACCCAAAGCCATGATGCCAAACAGAAATGACCAGAGCAGGGATGGCCAGGTGTCCATCAGGTAAACGCATGTGCCAGAGCAAACCTGATGACCTGAGTTCCCTCCCTAGAGGCTGTGAGAGGAATGGGCTCCCAAAGCTATCCTCGGACCTTCACAGGCACAGTTGGGCGAGCACCTGCCCTCATGCATACGCACACCTAATCGTGCGAACATAATTAACCTTTTTAAATCACTGAGGTACAGCAGTGGGACCCGTCACAGTTCGGGCTCCCAGGAGGGTTCCAGGTGGCTGGGCGGGAAGTGGGCCTGGTCACACAGTCCTACCTGTGTCACACTTGCTCTTCATGCTTTTTTTTTTTGGCTCTGAAAGCTGGAGCCCCCCCCCCTTGGAACGAGAGAGAGAGAGAGAGAGAGAGAGAGAGAGAGAGAGAGAGAGAGCCACAGCAGGCATCCATTTCCAGGAAAGGCCAAGGACAGTTTAATGGGATCCAGCCCTTCCTCCTTAGTCCTTGGGGTCAGATGTCCCATTAGTTCCTCCTCCCACACTCCTCCTCCTTCCCCCAACCAGGGACAGAACCTCAGGGGCCCTCTAAGCAAAACTGCTGTTTCCCGGTGTCTCACCTGAGACCTCCACGGGGCACACTGGCCTGGGGTCCCCCCTGGGGTCCCGCAGCCTTAGGTTAGGCAAGGCTCTGCTGACTGGAAGTGAGGGACCTTCAGTTCCCTCGGGGAGCAGGGACCCCGCCAAGGGAGTTAAGCACTTCAGAAGGGCGCCTGCCATGAGGGAGGGCCTTGGCAGTGGGGTGGTGCTCTGTGTTGGATGCATGGACTAGAACAAACCTCCAATCCTCCAGTGTCTTTCTGGACAGCTTCCGAGCATCTCCTAGCCATCCCCCTTCTACCCTCCCCGCCCCCTCCCCCACAGAACACTCAAAGATCACAACCCGCATCCATCCTCCTCCACGCCCTGTGAGGGGTGGAGGGCTTGAGGTGGCCCTCTCCCGATCCCCCTGAAACCCACGGGGACACAGGTTCCTGAGAAAAGCCGGGAGTCACCTTGCTAAGGGGTGGTGAGGCAAGCCTGTCTCTGGCCCACTGAGGTTCCAGGACACCCTCAGCCTGCCCTAACCACCCTCTCCTGCCTCTCCTGCCTCCCTTGCTGCCCTGCAGAGGTGGGACGACGATCTGGCCGCCTTCGCCAAGGCCTATGCGCAGAAGTGCGTGTGGGGACACAACAAGGAGCGCGGGCGGCGCGGGGAGAACCTGTTCGCCATCACCGACGAGGGCTTGGATGTGCCTCTGGCCGTGGAGAACTGGAACGAGGAGCGCGAGCACTACAATCTCAGCACCGCCACCTGCGATCCCGGCCAGATGTGCGGCCACTACACTCAGGTGACAGGTCCAGCCGGAGAGCCGGGTCGGGGGCCGATGGGGCGGTGAGCGCAGGTGTGGGTGGGAACCACGTGTGTGGCTAGGGTCTGAACCTCGTGAAGCAGCGGGAGGGCTTCAGGTGACGTGCCACGGGAGATTGGTCTGGACCTGGAGGTGCACGTTGGGCAGGGCAGGCTGGGGCCGCTTAGTGTTGGGTGGAACCACCTGGTCCGGGGGTGGGGGGGCGGGGCGGGGCTGGATCTCCCGGTGCTGGGTGGAGCTACGTTCTGGGCCAGGTGGGGTGGTTCGTGACTTTTTTGGCATCGGTCGGGAGCAGCCTGGCTTTGGAATGGTATTCTCCTTTAGACCCTCCATGACGATCTGCGCAGCAGATAGCGCGCAGTCGGAGGCCACTCAAACTGTCCCCACCGTTTTTTTGTTTTGTTTTTTTGTGTTTTTTTTGTTTTTTGGCTTTTTCGAGACAGGGTTTCTCTGTATTGTTTTGGAGGCTCTCCTGGAACTTGCTTTGTAGACCAGGATGGCCTCGAACTCACAGAGATCCGCCTGCCTCTGCCTCCCAAGTGCTGGGATTAAAGGCATGTGCCACCAACACCCGGCTGTCCCCACCGTTTTTATCTCTTCAAAAAGGAACATCTCTTGAAAACTTAGTTCATCCATTTCAGTCTGGTGTCACAGAGCGGGTTTCCTAAATGCAAGATTGTCCTGGATGATTGACAGTAGACCCTGAGTGGTCCAAAGCTTGTCCTGGGTGACAGACCCTGAATGTTCCAAAGCGTTTGAAGTTGCCGCAGATGCCCCCCTCGCCCCATTTGCTTCTTTTTCCCGGGGGGGGGGGGATCTCTGTATCCCTGGCGACTGTCCTGGAACTTGCTTTGTAAACCAAGACCAGCCTGGCCTCAAACTCACAAAGATCCTCCTTGCTCAACCTCTAGTGCTGGGATTAAAGGTATGCACCACCACCGCCCAGCACTCTTCCAATTTTTCATATCTAACTTGCTGTTTCTAGTCTGCCAAACTGATAAAGCAAACAGACAAACGTTTAATCTCTGCTTTAGAAAAAACTCTGTAAGAGGGTTGGCGAGATGACCCCGCGGGTAGAAGGAAGCCGCCACCAAGCCTGACAGAGCTGAATCCCATCTTGAAAACAAAAGGGGTTTTAAAATAAAACACTTAGCATTAATATGAAAGGAATTGTTTCCTCTTCCCAAGGCTTATTGTACAGACGATTACACCAGAAACCAAAGGGGGGACAATCCCACCCACATCCCTCCCTCCCATCTCCAGTGGCCTTTTGAGCTATTATTTTTAGCCCTAATCTGAAGGAAATACTCAGAAGCACCCACCCAAGTTGGGAAGTTGTGAGGTCCCTCCCGGCACCCTCCCTACCGGGACGTCTGTGCTCACCCTCACCTGACACAGTCTTGCAGGACTGGCCAAGCTCTCTCTCTGGCTCTACCCTAAGCCAGGAGCCATCTGCACTCGGAAATGCACCTGCTCAAACAGGGCCCCAGGAGCCACATCGAATGCAAGCAGGACCCCCCCCCCCAACCTGAGCCCGAGGAAATCATGGTGACCTCACACTGGGGGCAGGGCACACATTTTTGTATTGTTGAGACAGGCTCTCACTAGGTAGCCTTGGCTGGCTTGGAACTCTCACAGAGATTTGCACTTTTTTGGGATTAGCACTTTTTTGTTTTTTGTCTTTTTTTCTACTTAAGAAGAAATTCTAGCCGGGCGGTGGTGGCGCACGCCTTTAATCCCAGCACTCGAGAGGCAGAGGCAGGCGGATCTCTGTGAGTTCGAGGCCGGGCTGGACCGATAGCCTCCTAAACAATACAGAGAAACCCTGTCTCGTAAAAACCAAAAAAAAAAAAAAAAAAAAAAAAAAAAAAGAAGAAATTCTATCGGCCTGGCCATTCCCCCAAATGGGCAGGAGGGGCCTTAGCTAAGGAGTTTCAAAGTAACCCTTCCCTGGGCTTTCCCTTGTGGCTGTATAGCTCATGGGCATAGACCCCTTGTTTAAAAAGGGACAGAGCCAGGTGTGGTGGTGCACACCTTTGATTCCAGCACTCACGAGGTAGAGGCAGGTGGATCTCTTGAGTTCTCAGCCAAACCTGGTCTACAAAGCAAGTTGTCAGACAGCCAGGGCTACACAGAGGAACTCTGCCTCAAAAGACAAAACAACAAAACCTCTAGAATGAGGCCACAGGGAAAGTGGCCTGGTGACTTTGGCTGGAGAAGGCAGACAATGTTACCTCCTGCTTCTAGCCCCCCTCCCACCCCCCCCAACCCCTCAAGCAGTTTCGGCCTGAAACTGCACCGGTTCAGGGCCTCGGAAGACCAAGGCTGTAGAGTGTTCTCCGGTCACCCACACAAGGCTGGGGTAGAGCTAGCTACACCGGGAAGAGACTATGCAACCCAGCCCAGAGCTAACCTTGGGGTGTGCCCTCCTTTAGGTAGTCTGGAGCAAGTCTGAGAGGATCGGCTGTGGCTCCCACTTCTGCGAGACGCTCCAGGGGGTGGAGGAAACCAACATCCATTTGTTGGTGTGCAACTACGAGCCTCCGTAAGTGCTGAGAGGCCAGAGGCTTGCCAGAGGACAGACCTGGGTACAGCTCAAGGAGCCCGTGGGCTTGGTAGCGTGGGCTCTGTCCCTTCTGGCAGCTGTGACAGCCCTCCGGCAGGTCTAATTTGATTCTCCTGGGAAGGCCAGGGAGCCCGGGGTCCGCAGCAAGCAACTCTGTGGGAGTCAGCAGCCCCGTGGGCTCCTGGGGATGGTTCTGCTGTGCCTGTGGGGATGGCGGGGACGGGCAAGAAGGGGCCGACCTCCCCTTGCAGCACCGCCTTCTCCTTCAGGGGGAACGTGAAGGGACGCAAACCCTACCAGGAGGGGACTCCTTGCTCCCAGTGCCCCGTTGGCTACAGCTGCGAGAACTCTCTCTGTGGTAAGTGACAAGCCAGAGCTGAGAAGGGGTTGGGAAAATACAATGTTGCCTGGGTGGCCTAGACTCTCGCTCGGGACGCCCGCTTTGAGAAGATGGGACTGCGGGATGCGAAGGGCGGGGACCCTCTGCGACTTTCTGCCCTCCCAGCACCGCCGCTTGGCGCCTCATTGCCCCAAGTGACAGATTTCATCCTCCCGCCCCACAGAAGGTTGAGAACCAGAGGCCCCGGAGTGCTGCGCCAGGGGGGCGTGGCTGAGCGGGAAGGTTTGGGCTGGTGGGCCCGGTCTGTGATCGAATAGGCGGGGCCTACGATGCAGTTCTTAAGAGAAGCTTGGAGAAGGAGGTGGGTGGAGAGGGTGTGTCAATGACCAGAATTTGCATTACCAGAGGGGCACACCCGCTGCAGAGGAGTGTGGCCTGCGCGTCCCAGTGGGACTCTGCGCGGCCGGGTGGGGTCCTGTTTGCAGCACTAATGCTTAACCTTGCCAAACAGAGCCCACGAGAAACCCGGAAGAGGCGCAGGATTCGCCTCCACGGGTGACCGAGGTCCCTTCCACCCGAGCAGCTGAAGCCCCAAGCTCCAGGGAAACCGGTACTCTGTCCCTAGCAACCTCTGAGATTCTACATTTCTCCTCGGTGACAAAGGTCTCGGACTCCCTGGCAACCGAGTCCTCACCTGCCGTAGAAACAAAGGCCCCATCTTCCTTAGCAACGGAAGCCCCCCCCTCCATGGCAACAGAGGCTCAATCCTTCCCGACGGAGATCTCCTCCGTTCCCGCTGTGCACATCCAGCCCTCACTGGACGAAGGGCCAGTTAACGTTCTCACATCACCACATGTCCCTGTCCCCAAATCTACGGACAAAGAAGCCAGCAGGTCAAGTGCAACCTCCGTGACCCCAGAGAAATCTCTGTACCCCAAGACGTCCCCAACACAGGGAGAGATCCTACCCCAGGCCCAGGTGGAGGCTGAGACCCAGTTGCCTGAGGCAGAGGCCGAGTTGCCTGAGGTTGAGGCCGAGTTGACTGTTTCCAGTGAGGTGGCGGTGCCGGTTCCTCCAGCCCAGGAGCACAGTGGGCCACAGGCCTCACTGAACCACTCGGGCCACCCTGCCTCCACGTCCCTGCCCAACTTCCCCAGGGCCTCTGCCTCGGCTAATGCCACAGGTGGGCGCACCCTGGCCCTACAGTCACCCTGGACAGGTAAGGCCCTACTTCCTTCCTGGCTCCAGACGCTGGTACCCTGTGCTGGTACCAGTGGTTAGGGCATGCGTGATCTGGAAGATGCTTCCTCCCTGCCTGCAGCCTGCACCTGGCATGGCATGAGTGGAGTCAGGCTGCTTGTAAGATGAGCCACAACCCCCTCCTTTCTGCAGGTGCAGGGGACCCTAAAAGCGCTGGCTGGGGTTTGAAGCAGAACTCTGGTCACCTATGGGGCCCTTTCCTGGGACTGCTGCCTCCCCTGCTGTCGGCTGGCATATTCTGAAGGGGACACTCAAAGCCAAGGCCTGGTGAGACTGGCCTCATGCCCACTCTGGGTTCTGCCTCCAAGTTAGAAGCCAGAGCTTCAGGAGCAGGTCCTGCTCTCCGCACCCCTCCCCTCCCCTCCCCGCTGAGCAGCGCCAGCCCAGTACCCCCAGGAGTGCTTCTTCGGCAGGGGCGGGGGTGGGGGTGGGGGCTGCCCTCAGCAGAGTTCTAGTGGCCACAGGTGCCTAGTTTCCTAAGGACAGGGCACTGCATAGCCTTCTCAGGAACTCCTTGGGCCCTTGGGCTCTTTCTTGAACCTTCAGAGTCCAGGAGTGCCTACTGCCTTCCCAGGGGAACAGGGAGCTGTGTAACTGCTGTGTCCTCCATCCTGTCCCCAGCCCTCAAACAGGAGTCCGCCTGGCTGAAGGCCCTCTGGAAGGGAAAAGCAGTGGGGTCCGGCTCACCGGAAACTGCACGCCAGGGCCCTTCCCGCGCCCCTTACTACAGTGTCCCACGGAGGGTGTGACTCTGAGGACACCTGCCTGCCCCTCAGGGTGGGGGTGGGCTACTGTCTGCCCTCAGGCTGCAGGGCTCCCCATCTGAGTGTCCAGGGGGCTCAGACGCAGACCACGAGGGCCAGGTGAAGGACAAGCCCCACCCAAGTGGGGTTCTGTGGGTGGGGAGGCAGGGAGCAGGTGACCAGCAGACTCCTTGACTCCTGAATAAAGACAGAGTTGCGGGACATCCGCCCCCGCCCACCTATGCAAGTCTTGCCTCTTCTCTCCCCGCTCCCACTCTGAGCCACCCCTTTCCTTCCTGTAACTTCCACTCCACCCAAGCCACAAGCGTCTGGCAGGAAAGACAGAGCAGAGGGAAGGCCCGACCTCACATGTTATCAGTGGGGCTTACTTGGTGGCTCTGGGGCTCAGGACATTTCCACAAGGGTGCCGCCGATGCTCAGGTCGGTCCCGGCCACAGGTTTCAAAATGACCCGGTTTGGGTAACTCGGGTGCTTGGAGGGGCCCTGAGACAGGGCCCCAGGGCCTTGGAACCTCTCTGGATATCTGAGTGGTCCAGAAGTGTTGGGGGCCAGGGAAACAAGGGGCTAAGGACAAAAGCCAGAGGAGGTTCCCTGGGGCTAGGGAGGGGCCCTGGCCAGGCTAGTACTGACCTGATCCAGGCTGCTCCTTCCAATAAAGACATGGAGGTCACCATTTAAACTATACAGCTTGGGGTCATGAGATGGCTCATGGGTAAAGTACTGGCTGTCAGGCCAATGACCTGAGTTCAATCCCCTGGGCCCACGTGACAGGAGAGGAAACTGACTCCCGCAAGTCATCCGCAAGTCATCCTCAGTCAGCCTCCTCTGGGACACGTGCACCCAGCCCAGCATCTTTATCTGGGTGGTTGTGGTTTGTTTGTTTTGGCTTTTTAAAAAAAAGACAGGGTCTTTATGTAGCTCTGGTTGTCCTGGAACTCACTCTGTAGACCAGTCTGGCCTCAAACTGGGAGACCCACCTGCTTCTGCCTCCTGAGTGCTGGGATTAAAATCGTGCACTACCACACCTAGCTGGAATTACCAATCAATGTTTTGGAGATTTATTTGTTTAGTGTCTGTGTATGCCGGGGGCCAGAGGACAACCTGTGGAAACAGTCCTTTCTGTCTCGAGTTCTGGGGATCAAACTCACGTTGTCAGGCTTGGTGGCAAGTGCCTTTACCCACTAAGCCAACTGAGCAACCCCTACTTGATAGTTTCTAGTATATTATAGGACCGTGTGACAGAACTAATACCAACAGTGGGCGGACGTTTCCATTACCTAAGAAGCACTTTACCCGGGCTCCCAATCCCCTACAACCCCCTCAGCCCAAACAGCTAGTCTGTTTTCTGTATGCACATTTCCTGTTCCCTCCTTTTTTGTTAGGGGGAGGGGGCCATGCCATTTGCTCTTGGAGGATAGTGGGAGGACCTCCTCCCCCTCTACAACAGGGGTCAGGCTTGGTGACAGGTACCAGTAAAGAGAAGCTTTTCCTTGCTAGCCACTTTGGTTTATCACCCGCCGGTTGCCTGGGCTCTGCCGCGTTGTAGTCCCCAAATAAACACACAGGAGGCTATAATAATTATGAAGCTGTTGGCCTTGCTTGTTTCTTACTGGCTAGCTCTGACTTAAGTAATTACCCCATAATTGTTAATCTAAGTATGTCTCTTACCGGAGAAGTTTCCGGGCTTCCTACCCCATGGCGTTACATCTCGACTCTCTTGTGTTTCTCCTTCCCAGAGTCCTCCTGGACTCCTAGTCCCGCCTATCTAGATTCCTATTGGCCAGCAGTGCTTTACTGACAAATAACAGGACTTCCCCAACAGGTACCCTTACCTGCTGAGCCGCCTCATGGCCCTCAGTTGCCTGCTTTTGACTTCCATATAAATTCCTTGACAAATCATGTATTTGTGACGACTTAACATATCTTCAAGGTTCATGCATTCTGCAGCATGAATGTTTTCTTCACTACAAAGTTGCACTGTGTGTCATACTCATGCATGTATACACGTGTAGCCCAGAGGTCAACCTGGGGTGTCACCCTAAGGAGCTCATCACCTTGTTTTTGTCAGGGATGGGAGGGAGCCTCAAGGCCAAGCAGACCTCTCAGAGGCCCAAGCCTATCCTGGGCTCCCCGCAGCTCAGCTCTCCCTGACTTGCCCAGCAAGGGCATCTGCTGGCAGCCTGCAGCTCTGCCCCATGAAAATGCCTGTCAGAGATCAAGAATGCAGGCTGTAAGGGGACATGTTGGCAAGCACTGAACTGTGTCCAACAGAAGACGGAGAGGCTGGTACCCTGAGGCCTTGAGGATCGTAGGAAGTCTCCTTTTACACTGTAAACCATGGCTTCCAGGCATCTTGGGGACTTGCAGTGACAAGGACTGCTAAAGGGGACAGCTCAGGCTACCACAGCCTCTCAAGAGGACATCTCAGCTGGGCGGTGGTGGCGCACGCCTTTAATCCCAGCACTCAGGAGGCAGAGGCAGGCGGATCTCTGTGAGTTCGAGACCAGCCTGGTCTACAAGAGCACTAGTTCCAGGGCAGCCTCCAAAGCCACAGAGACACCCTGTCTCAGGAAGAAAAAAAAAAAAAAAAGGACGTCTCAGAAGGCTTGCTGCAGGCCCTTCCAGCTTTCCCTAAGAACAAGGTTCCCCAGGAGGGAGCCACTGGCTCCCTGCAGGACACTCCACTCCAGTCACCCCTCCCCACTGACATCTCAGCTGCTGCTCTGAGCCCTACTCATGCCCATGTGAACAGATAAGGACTCCCTCTCTAGCTCCCAGGATAGGATCTGGGAACGGCAGGGCCTGTGCCGAAAGGTCAGACCAACCAAAGCCTTACTCGTTAGGCCAAGCAGCCTCTTACCAAATCTCTGGGAGGTTATGACTCGGGGGCAAGAGCACCTCTTTAGGGGCAGCTAAACTATGGCATACAAGTGTCCCTGAATCTGGGGGTCCCTGGAAGGACCAGTGCAAAGACAGGATTTGAAGGACAAGGAAAAGTCACCCAGTATCATGGACAATGTGGTAGGGCTGCTCTGGGCTGACATCCTCAGGACACTCATCTAAAGACCATCCCGGATCACAGCTGTCTGGGGTGAGGCTTTCTAGCAAAGGGAGTGTAAACGAGACAGTTTACACTCAAGGCCCACCAAGCCTCACTGCTGGGCATTAAAGTCATGAGTGGAACTGCCCCGAATCCCTGCCACTAGAGCTCAGACCCAGACCTTACCCAAGGGGAAATGAAAAGGCAGCAAACTAGCAGGGCTTGGGTGGCCACGCCTTTAATCCCAGCACTCGGGAGGCAGAGGCAGGCGGATCTCTGTGAGTTCGAGACCAGCCTGGTCTACAAGAGCTAGTTCCAGGACAGCCTCCAAAGCCACAGAGAAACCCAGTCTGGGGGGGGGGGGGACCAAAAAACAAGAAAAGGCAGCAAACTGCAACTCTCACACACCAGGCCCCTGGAGGGAGGGCAGACACTCACGGCCATTTCCTTCTGCCCTGACCATGTGGCTGCTGTACCAAAAGGCTCTGGAGACTTGAAAACAGTCACCTTCAAAAGGTGCCAAGGTGCCACTTGGTAGCTTGGTGGGTCCCTCTGAAACAGCTGCTACCTTCCTGACAGGCCCAAGTGCCAGCTGCTGCTCTGTGAAGAGGCGCCTCAGCCTCGAGCCCAAGGAGAGGACTCGACCATGCCACAGCTCTGGGCCCAGGCTGATAGTCCGGAGACCTAAGACACCAGCACGAGGGTCCGGCGAAGCTCATAGAAATAAGAGGCTCCCACAAAAGTCCAAATCACCACCAATACATTTATTCGAGGAGATGGGGTCACATCTTACCATGAGGGGAGGACTAGACATTGGCCTGCGCAACCTGTGCGCATTCACACACCGCACAGGCGGCAGGACCCTCACACCTGGTGTCACCATTACAGACAAGGAGATGAGGGCACTACTGAGGGGGTCACATGATTTCCTAGTCAGGGGAAGGCACTGCCCTTGTGTCAGAAAAGTAGTGTTGCAAACAAGGAAGGGCAGGACACAGGGCTAGCCCTCACAGCACGGGCGCGGGCATGATGGCGCCCTGGATACCAAGCAGGGGCGGGAGCTTCTGGTTGAGTGGCAGGGTGAGCTGGGCTGTAGGCGGAGGGACCTGACCCTGTGAGCCTCTGCCTCCTGTGACCTTTGCCTCCACAGCCTTTCTCTGCTGTACGTCTGGGCAGGATGGGATTCCTCCCCAACACTGCCCAACCCCCCCCAGGCTTCCCCGGGTCCCAGGTGAACCACCGCCACCAGCCCCACATCTGGACAGACACATGGCAAATATGGGCATGAAGCCAGGCTGGGCTAGAGCCCCTCAGGCAGCTGAGATGACAGGCCCTCACCAGGGAGAGGCCAGGACCCCATAAATGTTTGGTCAGGTGACTTAGGTTACTCCAGGGCAAAGCACGACCCCGGTGACACCCGTCGGAAAAGCAGGCTGGAGCCGCGGAAGAGCTGACCCTGCAGAAGAGAGGCAGTCAGCGGGAGCCAGGCCACACTTGTTACAGTCAAAGAAGCCAGGGGCTCAGAGGCCCAGGGCCACACGTAAAGGGCATAAAGGGACAAGGCCCAATCATGAACGTAAGGACAGGGTTTGTCCACCAGCAGCCTGGTGGCTGAGGCCTGTGAGCTCAACCATAGGGAGCTGAGGCATGAAGACCTACTCAGGGTCTGTCTGGGCCATAAGACAAGTTCACAGCCAGCCTGAGGCATGAAGACCTACTCAGGGTCTGTCTGGGCCATAAGACAAGTTCACAGCCAGCCTGAGGCATGAAGACCTACTCAGGGTCTGTCTGGGCCATAAGACAAGTTCACAGCCAGCCTGAGGCATGAAGACCTACTCAGGGTCTGTCTGGGCCATAAGACAAGTTCACAGCCAGCCTGAGGCATGAAGACCTACTCAGGGTCTGTCTGGGCCATAAGACAAGTTCACAGCCAGCCTGAGGCATGAAGACCTACTCAGGGTCTGTCTGGGCCATAAGACAAGTTCACAGCCAGCCTGAGGCATGAAGACCTACTCAGGGTCTGTCTGGGCCATAAGACAAGTTCACAGCCAGCCTGAGGCATGAAGACCCACTCAGGGTCTGTCTGGGCCATAAGACAAGTTCACAGCCAGCCTGAGGCATGAAGACCTACTCAGGGTCTGTCTGGGCCATAAGACAAGTTCACAGCCAGCCTGAGGCATGAAGACCTACTCAGGGTCTGTCTGGGCCATAAGACAAGTTCACAGCCAGCCTGGGCAACTTAGTGAAACCCTGTCTAAAAATGAAAAGTAAAAAGGGGGAATGTGAGCCGGGCGTTGGTGGCGCACGCCTTTAATCCCAGCACTCGGGAGGCAGAGGCAGGCGGATCTCTGTGAGTTCGAGGTCAGCTTGGTCTACAGAGCGAGTTCCAGGACAGCCAGAGCTACACAGAGAACCCTGTCTCAAATAAACCAAACCAAATCAAACAAAAAGGGGGCTGGGAATGGATCTGGCTCGGTGGTAGGGTGCTTACCTAGCTAGCACACACAAGACACTGGGTTCAAAACAGTGCCTAAGGGTGGGGAACCCCACCCCCAACCCTGCAGGAAACCTCCATAGAGGAGACTTGCTGCTCTTCCAACCCCCCAAGGGGAGACTGAGACAGACAGACAGCCCAACTGGTGTGCTGGAGGGAACTCTGTCTGCCTCTTACTCCTTTTCTCCCTCCTCAGAAAGATTTACATTTTTTTTTTACTATTATTGTGTATGTGTGTATATGATAGGGAGAGGGGTGTACGGGACAGGACTCGTGTGTGGAGGGCAGAAGACAACTTAGCTGAGTGGGTTCTCTCCTCCCACCTTTGTGTGGACTCTGGGATTAAACTCAGGCTATCAGGCTTACCCTGGGAGCCCCTTTACCCGCCTAGTCCCTGGCTACTGGCTCCCAAAAGTTATAGCCAGCAAGAGGCTTCCGTACCAAGCCCCAAAGCCATGCCTGTTCCTGCCAGGCTCCCATCAGACCAAGCTGAGCCCCGGAGATCCCCCAGGCCCAGGAGGATCCTATGGAGGAGACTGGCTGCACGCATCCCAGATACCCTTGTTACAGGAAGACTGAGTTCCTGCCCTCTGCCTTGTACCTCCCGCCTCCAAAGGAGGTACAGCTTTGTTTAGTCTTAAAGGCACAGGTTTTCACTGTTGCCCAGGCCCTGAGCTTCAGACTCCTGTGGCTGTCTCCCCTCAGCCAGAGCTGGGACTACTTAGCTCTGAAAGGGGACCTGTGAAGGCCTTTGAGTGGGTGTCTCCCATCCCCGCCCCATGCCAGCTCCTCCGGGCGCCTCCCCCTCCTCCAGTGCAGCTGAGATCTTCCGCCCCGCACGCCCACCTGCACACTCAGGTACTTCCAGCAGTGGATCCAGGACTTGAACACGGGGGAATACGGAGGGAGTCCAGCCTGCAGCCTGTGGAGGGAGCATGGGGGTCCTCAGACACATCTTCAAAGAGGACAGGAGAACTCAGAGGTTCTACGGACCCCATGCCGACCCCAACACCACGCTAACCCCACAGGAAATTATGCGTGGGCGGAAGGGCTGGAAGGGCTCCCCTGGATGTCCCAGCAGCCTTGGAAGGGGGCCAGGTGGAAGGGTACACACATACCCACAGTTGTTGACAGCCATGAGATCTCCAACAAGCAGGAAGGGGTATGTCAGCATGCTTACTGCTATCTGAAAGGCAGACAGGTCTCAGTGCCAGCATGGCCCCCCACCACCACCACAGGACTCCCCACAGGTCCCCATGCAGGCCCCTCACGGGCCCAGTGAGACCTGCCTCCAGCCCACCCTGGCCCTTAAAGGCAGCAGGCAGGACGTACCCCCATGACGAACTTGGTATAGCTCCTGATGGCCAGCGCCTGGCTGAACTGCAAGCAGAAAGGAAGCAGGGTTTACCACAGGAATGTTAGGGGCAGCGAGCTCTGTGGTACCTTCACCTTGCCTTATCTTACCCTCTACAACCCCCTTTTCCAGGCCAGTTCCTCCCGTGCCCTCCCTATCAGTTGGGGAAGGAGCTGGGAGGCAGGAACAGGCCAGCTGGGCTGAGACCTGTGAGGAGTCTGCCACCATGTGTGGCAATCCCACAGGACCCAGAGCTCCCGGGTGTGGCCCACACCTTCCTGGAGGAGTCACGACCTGCTGAGGGTTCCCAAGTGAGACAACACACTTCCACCCAGTGTCCCAGGACACAGCCTGGTTCCAGGCATGAAGTGTGTGGTCACTCTGGGCTGCTGTCACATCTCACCTAAAGCTCGACTGTCCCCAGAGAACAGGTGTCACTAGGGTAGGTGATGACCTGCCCCTTGGTGTCTTCTGAAGTGATCATCCCACTACCGGATACCCAGCGCCCTACAGGAGATAACTGCTGGCCTGACCCGTGTGGCCGTCTCAAGCCCTTACAGAACGTGCCTTCATACCAGAGCTGGCTGCTCAGGAAGGTGTCTAAGCGGCCAGGGCAGAGGGGTGCTCCCTGACCCAGCCTCGCTCTTTATATGATCACACTGGTCATGTGAAGCCCACCCACTGGTCAAGGTTCCTGAGCTAGGGCCGAGCTGCAGGCATGTGTCAGTGTCACTGCAGATGGGGGGGCATCTCCATAAAACCCTTAAATTTGTGAAGATCCGCACACCCAAGTTACAGTCATCGGTCTCTTTGAGTCACAGGCCACCCTCCCTCAGGGTTGCCAGCCTAAGCCAATAGACACCCCATGGACCATGAGTGACCTCTCCCCTCCCCTTCCAGGTCTGGCCATTCCTCCTGTCAGACTATCTGGCTTCCGGGAACCCTAACCCATTGTGGGTGACTAATTCTTATCTTGGTCGAGCGGAACCTATCAAACTGCCAGGTGCCTGGGTTTCCGGATGCCTGACCGCTGCAGGTGAGGTCTGCAGACCCCAGCAGCCAGAGCAGGCTGACACAAATGGCACCACCTGGCCCAGGATCACACCTGTGCTGTGTCCCTTGACGTCTGAGCTGCCAGGACCAAAGGTCATGATGGTCATGGAGAGCCACTGCAGGTTGTTTTGCTTTTGAGACCAGAGCCTCCATCTCCATCTACAGTCGGGGTGGCCCTGACTGCACGATCCCCCTGCCTTTGCCTTCCAAATGCTGGGATTACTTATCAGGCCATGCTGGGGTTTTTTGTTTGTTTTGTTTTTGAGACAGGGTTTCTGTGTAGACCAGGCTAGCCTCGAACTCAGAGATCCGCCTGCCTCTGCCTCCCGAGTGCTGGGATTAAAGGTGTGCGCCACCACTGCCAAGCTCACAGTGGATTTTAAAACCACAGACTATGAAGGTTAAAGGCCTGTGGCTATCAGCTGCCCTCTCTCATTTGCTGAGAAGTTTTGGATAAACTAGGGCCCACTTCTAACACTGGAGGGGACAGAATTCCTTAACTTCCTCCCAGGCAGGGTCAGGGTAATCTCATCTCCCCAGCACCAGAGACAATTATGGGCCCCTTCTCAACCCTGTCAAGAAAATCCCGAAGTCCCAGCCTGTCCCAGACCCTGGGCATCAGCACACAGAAAGAAAGGCAAGTCCTTGTTCCAACCAACCTGGGAACCTGGATTCTGGTCGTTTCCCAGCCCCCCTGGGGTGTCACTCACGCTGTCATCCACCAGGTAGGCATTGATGAAGTGGGCCAGCAGGTTACAGCCCCATAAGAAAACCACATCGCCCAGGAGGTGAGGGATTAAGCCGCTACAAAAGCAATGGGGGCAGAGATGAGCAGGGAGGAGACCCAGGAGGCAGGAAGGCTGCACCCAGCTTGCACCTGCAGCACCCAGACCCCGCCTCGGGGAGGAGCCTGGGGAGTGATGCTGCCACCGGGAAGGCGGTCCTCCTCCCACACGGAGGTCTCAGGTGTTACAGACTAGCTGGTGGCGTCACAGGCTAGTTCCAATCTGCAGAAGCCCTGTTGTCATGGTTTGACCACAGCCACACCTGGCAAAAACACATCAGGAAGGAATGCCTGGCAGCTTCACACCAGTCCTCAGTGACTGGCCCTCCACCCTGGAAAGTTCCACTAACAATGCGCCATGCAAGTGCTTGCAAGGGCAGCTACCCTGCAGCAACGGCCTTTACATCTGGACTGGAAGGTTCCCTGTGAAGATGCTGAGGCAGCGGAGACAGCCAGGCAGTTTGGACAGTTTACATGCCTGCTGCTCTTACAAAGGGCCCGGGGATCCGAGGCTTCCTTTGGCCTCCGTGGCTCCTGTGTGCACTTGGTGCACATAAACTCACACAGGCACACACATAAAAGCAACAAATACATAAACCTTTTGTTGTTGTTGTTTTTTAAATCTTGTATCTGAAAGTCCAAGAAAAGTAAGAAACACGCGAGCATTCACAGGGCGCGGCAGATGCACCTCCTTCCCCAGCAGGCACTTTCTGAGACTGTAACCTATACGCATCCCTTCCCCAAAATCACCCCAGAGCAAGCGTGTGCTGTGTGGGACCCAGTCACAGAGCTGCCCAGTGCTGGAGTGTGTCAGGGCCTGATGACTCAGGCACCTGGACCCACATTCTTACACATGGATGCGGATGTGTTTCTCAATCTTGCCCTATGGCCATTGGGGGCTGAGTTAATTGCCCCCACAAACTTTGAGATGCTTAGCAGCAGCGGGGAGGTCTGTCTCACATGCCAGTTCTGAAAGCCACAGATGCCCCTGGACATCACCTGGGGCAGAATCACCTATGGAGAAACACACTGTTGTCTCTCTATTCCACGTCACTTCTTGATTAAACACAGACCATAAAACGATCAGACAAGCTGGAAAAATTACCGCACAAGAATGGTTAGCACGGAACCCAGTATTGGTATGCTGTGCACATGACCACTGTAGGCCGCTGCCTAGACCTTCAAGTGCCAAAACAAAGGCCACACTTGTCAGCCTGGTTTCTTGGCTGCCTGACACTCATTCTTTCTGAAGAGTCTTTGTGGTCTGGGCTCGAGACCAAGAGTGCCGGGCCTGTGGTCCTCAGGAGATCATACACCCAGAGACACAGGCCTCTGTGGAAACACAGGCCCAACAGGGTCAGGTTTTTTCTGACTTGTCAAGAGAAGTCAGAAACGTGGCCTCCTGTGCAAATCATCTTGAGCATTCAATGTCCACTAATTGTCAGAACAGAGCCCCGACTGGAGGCAGGGACCCGATCCTCAGTCCAAGTCATAGCTTGACAGTCACCATTGGCAACGATGCCAAGGACTGTGCCGAGCTTCTGAAGACGAGTTCTGTGTCCCTGGCAACCCTGGAACCCAGACGGGGCCTGGCAGGGGCTGGTTAGCTCATCCTCCAGCATGAGATAGTGTGTGCGCGTGCTTGCATGTGGTGCTGGGTGCACACACGCCACATTCTACCACTAGGCTACGCCCCTTGACCAGGCCCATTTCACTTAAGCTGTGACCTAAAAGGGCTGGAGAGCTCCTGTTGCCATGGAGTGCAGCACAGCTGGGCAGCCGCGCGGCCTGTAGCACACTCTGTGGTTAGTCCAGCGCCGCAGCTGTGGCCCGAGAGACTGAGAACACACCTGTTAGTGGAGCCACGTGTGGCTGTTACAGGGAATAAACTCACGTACACGAAGAATCCCAGCAGCCCCTCCTCCTTGAAAATCTTCCCAATGGAGCTCAGGACGCCACTGGGGAGGCAAGATGGAGACAAGGTCACCTAGCAGAAGCCCATCCTCAGATCAGCAGGCATGAGCCAGGACGGGAAGAAAGCTTTCTTTTGGGGTGAGGTGAATTTACATGGATACTGGGGCTCACACGGGGCAGAAGGCGGTGAGAACAGGAGGGGCAGAGAGCAGCGGACACTGCAGCTGGAAGGCCCCAGGGCAACCCAGGATAAAGACTTCAGCCCTCCCAAGGCAGGCCTGGGGTCTAGCGCCCTGCTGTGCAGCCTGCTAGAGATTAGCGGGCAGGCTGTGTGGCTTCCTAGCTCCGCAGCCACCTCTGTGACCCGTGACTGGAAACATCTGCTGGCCCGCAGAGGCGCTACATTGCCCAGGTGAAGAGGCAGGCAAGTAAGCCTGGCTAGCGAGAGCTGGTCCAGGGCTCCCAGCCCCCATCACTCCCCATGTTCTTCTCAAGACAGTGGCCTGAGCCACGGGGCTTTCAGCCAAGTGGTCCCCTCGGGTCATTTACCAACCTCATATCTAGTCTGGGGAATCAAGCAACTCCCACGAGTGAACCTAGAGCCAAGCATCCTGGCCGTAGAAAAGAGGAGATGGCATCGGAAAAGGCCAGGTGTGCTCGGGCCCTGGGCCTGGCCTGAGCTGAGTCTGGGGTTGTGAGGAGTGGGCCACTTCTCAGTTGAGGGTGAGAAGAGCGGAAAGTCAGGTCCGGGGAGCCAGAGAAACCGAGGGAGGGGTCCCGGAAGGGAACCCCAGCTCACACCTAACCCAAGCAGACTCTGCAGCACAGGGCACCAAGCTCTGCACCCCGCTCTGCAGGGAACTGAGGGTCATCTAGAGGATCACAGGAGGCAGGCACAGTGGGAGCTACCAGAGCATTCCTCAGAAGCCAGGCAGCAGTGGAGCTATTCCCCGGCGGTGGCGGCGGCGGGAGAGCACAGAGACAGCCAGAATTACCTACCTGTACTTGGCCTCCCGTCCCACAAACTGTACCATGCAGCGCATTGAGATGACTGAGGGGAGAGAGAGCACGGGTGACCAGGAGGGCCGACGGCTCGGCACCCTGCCCCTGGGGTGTCCGTCCGGTGCAGAATGGCCCCTGTGCCACGGACTCAAGAGGGTGAGCCTCGGACCCCACGACCACAGCATCGCCTCCGCCCGGGAAGGGCACCAGCCAGTCTCCTTCCTGCCCCCCCCCCCCGAATCTTCCCAGTCACCCGCCACTGCGTACGTCGTGTTCAGGAGGGGCCAGCCTGCACCCACCCGCCTGTACCGCAGCGGGCTCAGCTGCAGTGCCCTTACCATGCAAAGGATGGGCCAGCATGCGCGACACACACTGCATCATCATCTCATAGGATGTCTGTAAGAGAGGAAGGTGGGCACAATCAGACTGGCACCCACAGGGAGACGCAAGCCTATATAGGAAAAGGGGGTTCACTCCCCAGGCCTCCGTCTACCGCAGACAATGAGGTGTGCTGCCATCACAGGCATTTTTAGGGAGGAAGTGTCCTGCAGTGTCCGGCAAAGACGCCTTCCACCTGGGCAAGCATAAATGACCCGGCCAACCGGGGATGAGAACTCTCCTCTCCGTCCCTTGATACCAACCTCTTTCACAACTTTCTTCAGCGAAGTCTTCATGTCATCCTTGTTGGAAACCTGCTCGATCTCGTCTGGAGGGAAAACCTGACCACAAACACAGAGCGGGCCAAAGGAAAACAGAGCCGTGAATCACCACAGATGAGCGCCTATGGGTGCTGTGATCATTGTCTGGGCCGTCAGTAACCACCATGGGGGACTGAGTGGGAAAGCCACCGTCATAGCTGCCACCGCTGTGGGAGAGAGGGAGAACTGCGGGGCACGGGGCTTCCCAAGCACAAGCCCAGGGGCCATGCACCAAAGTCTGCATGGGGATGTGGGACCAGGGTGGGCGGGGCTGCAGCCTGGGGAACCCTGGGCAACTGCTCACCTTCTTCATGCTGCCTCGGGTCACCGTGGACAAGGCGTTGGACATCAGGCGGGGGCTCAGGCCCCGGAACAGCCCTATCTTTCCATCCACCTGGACAATGTACTTGGCTGTAAGAAGGCAAAGGGGGCGGCGTCACGGCCAGCCCAGGACACCCACTGCTAGACCGCACGCCCAGACCAGTGGTTTCCCAACTGCAGCCGGGGCGTGTGTCCAGGGCCTAACACAAGCCAGCTCCGGCCCCAAGTGTCACCTGACCTGTCTCTTTTGGTAAAACGTTTTTCTGACAGATAAGCCCACCTGACTTCTCTCCTGCGTCTTTCTTTTCATTAGCTTTGAAAGCTACTTGGCAAACTCAACTGAAGTTTCTCAACTCAGCAGCTGGAATGCTGTAACCCAAAACCAATTTCAGCTGCTTATAAAGTGTTTTTCTTGGGGTGGGAGCGGGGTGCCCACAGGCAGAGATGGCCTTCCCTACCTAAGTGGGGGGAAAGGAAGGGAACGGTTAGACAGGCCTGGGAAGGTCTCTAGACCACGCTGTGGCCAGGACACGCACCGCCATGCTGTGCTATACCCAGGACGCCCCCGGCACCTGCTGACTCCTGTTAGTAAGGGACAAGGCAGAAACAAAGTGACACTGGGAGGCCCTGGGTGGTCAGGTGGCCACGGGGACTTCCTGTCCCACTGCTGTATTTCATATCGGTGTGTGACACATCTTGCATTCCCTACTTTACAAACCCATGCTCAAGAAGGTGACGTGTTTCCCTAAACGCTGGAAGCCAACAGAACGTTCCCTCAATAGGATCCCCTTTCAGACTGTGACGTGAGCTCTGCAGCACCACACACAGGCGGTGGGGAGCGGGTGTGCCCTTTTCTCCTGTGGGCGTAGCTGCCGGGTGACTCCACGTCACACCCAGCACGGGTTTCCAGGGACAGGGCAGCACACCTGTCACCGGCATAACAGCTTCCAGAGCAGGGGAGGGCGGGGAAGAGAGGATGAGGAAAGTTAGGGAAGGGGATGAGGGTGCGGGAGGCTGGGCAACGGCTCGGCTAGGAGCAGAGCTGTTCTACTGAGGGGCAGGCGCGGGCAGGGCCAGTGTGGCTCCCACAGAGCCGGCTCCAGGATTTGCCCATTTCTCTGCTCAGCTGTGAGGGAAAAGGAGACAGCACCGTCCACAGAGGCCCTCTGCCCGGTCCCACCACCTCAGCGCCTTGCTGCAGAGCCACAGACTCCCAGGGCTCCCAGCCTTACGCCACAGAATGTCCACAGCTGTGGGGGAGGAGGAGACACTGGGCAGACAGTTCTAGACAGCCAGACGGCCGGCACTTCCTGACTCAGGAGCAGCCAGTGTGCAGAAGAGCTCAGCAGACATCTGCTCTTGACGTCTGATCTGAAACAGGACAAAACCTGGGTGGGGGCGCCTCAGGACCTGGCTCATGCTAGCAAGAGGCTCTCGGATGAAGGTCAGGATGGCCCCATGAGAACAGGCATGACCGCAGACATGAGTCCTTCAGCTGGCCGCCACAGGCAAATCCAGAAAGCCTGGTTGCCACATGCCTGCGCTCACTATCTTTATGTACACTGGTGGGTGGGGGCGCTCTACTTACATGGTTCCCCCTCCCCTGCACCAACAACCCTGAAATAAATACAAACACATCTCCCCACAAAATGGCCATTCCGCCTGGCCCTAGACACTGCACTCGGAACTGGGAGGAAATTGAAAAGAGCCAGGCCTGTGATTCCTGCCAGCAGGGAGTGTGTGTTGGAGAAGGTGGCTCAGAGGTCAGGAACCAGGTTATATAGCAGGGGAGACTGGCAAAGAACATTCTAGACTAGCCAAATGGGTAAGAGAGGCCCAGAATGGGACTCAGAAAGAAAACTCAGAAAGGCACTTAAGAAGATCCCTCGTGCTGGCAGGCAGGGACAGGGGGACACAGCTATGGCAGACCCTGCCATACCCTAGCCAGCTGTTATCACCCACGGGTCAGGGAACAATAGCGAAAACAGAGGTGGGTATCTCGTCAGACCGAGGATCCCCGGGGATTCCATGAAGAACACAGAACAGTGGTGCTGTGGCAGGCAAGTGTATCTGTATAGAATCTACACCCCTCCTATGGCTCTAGAGCCAGCTTGTGCCCTGCAGCCGGTCCCTCCTTGGAGCTGGCACTGGCTCCCGGTGCGGGTTCCCAGGGCTGAGCCGGCCTGTGGCACTCACCGTAGGTGAAGAAGCTCGGCAGGTAGAGGACCTTCCTCCCCAGCACGTTGGTCCCAAGGGTGGGGGGCATCGGCTCGTGACCCACCTTCAGAGTCAACAGAGACAAAAGAAGCGTCACCGTGAGACGGCTCTCGGATTCCTCCCACACATGCTGTGGCTGTTCCCACCTCCCTGGGAGCACCAGCTGGTGTCCTTCACCAATGCCTAGTCTTAGGGCCCACCCTGGCCCCAATCTAAATCATACACACTCCACAGTCTCGATGCCAGACAACCTCCTGCCCAAACACGGCTTTTATATTTTAAGAGCCCTTAGGACATTGCAGTCTGACCCGCTACTACTGTGTGCGTGGCGGGAGGAGGACTTGTGGTCAGATGCTCTCCCACCCTTAGGTGAGCTCCAGGAGCTCAGTTTGCCTTGGCCATTTAGCGGCCCACGGTGCTTGCGTACGGGCACACACATGCGTGGCGTGCATGTGTATGGAGTCACAGGACAACTTGCACCAGTTGGTTCTCCCTTCCACCATGTAGGTCCTTCGGGTTCAATTCAGGTCCCTGCGTGTCTTTACTCACTGAGTCATCTCATTGGCCCAGAAGCACACATTTAAGTTTGTTGGGGTTTTTTTAGTTTTTTTCGAGACAGGGTTTCTCTGTATTGTTTTGGAGGCTGTCCTGGAACTCGCTCTGTAGACCAGGCTGGACTTAAACTCACAGAGATCCTCCTGCCTCTGCCTCTCGAGTGCTGGGACTAAAGGTGTGTGCCACCAACGCCCGGCTAAGTTTGTTCATTTTTTGAGACAGGGTTTTTCCGTGTAGCGCTGGCTGTCCTAGAACTCTCTATAGACCAGGCTGGTCTCAAACTCAGAGATCAGCCTGCCTCTACCTCCTGGCTGCTGGATTAAAGGTGTGCACCACCAACACCTGGGCATGTACATGTGTGTGTCATAGCAAGCATGTGGGGGTCAGGGAACAACTTGCAGGAACTGGTCTCTTTCTGTTGTCGTTTCTGGGAATCTCTCTCTGTCTCTCTCTCCCTCCAGGGTTTCTGTAGCCTGGCTGTGCTGGAACTCACTGTGTAGTCCAGGCCTGCCTCGAACTCAGGGTTCTGGGCATTTAACTCAGGTCATCCACCACACTTGACAGCAAGTGTCTTTACCTGCTAGGCTGACTCGCTGACCTGAAGCACCCATTTTTACGTGCTTCACTCTCCATTCACCTCTGAGAATAAATCTGCTAATTCTCATCTTCAGGATAAAACTTCATTCCAACCTAACTCCCCATATAGTGACAAAACAGAAGCTTTGGGTACAGATCCAGGCTGCAGACAGCCCTGCTGCCACCCCACCTAGCTCTCTAAGCCTACGGCGTATACCTCCCCAGCTACCTGCTGGATGTGGCAGGGGACAAAGCCCAGAGGTCAGGAGGCCTGGCCTTGTGACCTGCGCTGGGCCCTTAGGGGGCTGCTGCTTTTTCTTCATCGTCATTAGGAAGGTATTTCATCGAAGCCCACATTACTCCTGTGGGTGTGACGCTGAGACATACTGAAGGTGACTGATTGTACATGTTTTCATTCTTTCTTCTTATTATCATCGTGGAGGTCAGAGGACACTTCTGGAGTTGATTGTAAGTTCCAGGGATTGAATTCACATCCTCAGGCTTGAGTAACAAGTGGTCTACCTGCTGCTAACCATCTTACAGACCCTGAGTGTAAACTTCAACACCTCTTTATTGTGAAATCACTCCAACAAACAAGTGCAGCTCCGAAGAGCTTGTCCAGAAAAGGGAGTCAGGTGATCCAGGCAGAGTTTTTCTTCTGGTTCTGAAGTTGCAGCCATCTTCTTTAAGCAGTGGCTGGGTTCTTCCTTTGTGTTCATAACGTCAAGCCCCAGGCTCTTGCTACTGTTCTGTCTGCCCAGTCTTTACCGCTACAGCTACAACCCAGCCCCGAAACCTGTCCCCTCCACCGCGCATCCTCAGGACACCCAAACCTATGTGTGTATTTTCTTTATTTTTCCCCAGACAGTCCTGGCTGTCCTGGAACTCTCTCTGTAGACCAGGCTGGCCTTGAACTCACAGAGATCCGCCTGCCTCTGCCTCCTGAGTGCTGGGATTAAAGATGTGCACCACCACTACCCGGCTGAGAATCTATTTTTCTTTTCTTTTTTTTTTTTTTTTTTTTTTTTTGGTTTTTCGAGACAGGGTTTCTCTGTATTGTTTTGGAGACTGTCTTGGAACTCACTGTGTAGACCAGGCTGGCCTCGAACTCACAGAGATCTGCCTGCCTCTGCCTACCAAGTGCTGGGATTAAAGGCATGTGCCACCACCGCCCGGCTGAGAATCTATTTTTCTTAATGTCCATTGTGTTACCATCAAAGGCACATAGCTAACCACGGTGAAGTTTTAGGTGATCTGTTCCCAGGCATGCTCACCCAAGTGTTTCTAAGTGTCCTGACCACAGCCCTGACCACAGCAGGGCCAGTCTCCCCGTCCTCAAGCGTGAGCTACCGCCACCCCGACACCCACGCATCTTGACCTAAGGCCTTACGTGCTTTTTTTTTCCCCCTCAATGTAGGCAACCTCCATCTAGCACTGCACACCTGCTCCCTGCAAAAGACAACCTGTCATTATTTTTCTCTCCAGTATTACCGATTGCCAAACCATATCCAGTAAGCTTTCTCCCTGAAGTTGTCTCTGGTTCACACCCACCTGCTGTCAAGTTCTCATAGCGATTAGGGCCCCACTCACTCTCTAGGTCCTTCTTCCAGAGACTCTTTCATGTCACTCCTCTTCAAACCCGCATCCTGATGCCACCAGGGTCCCAAGTGTCACTTCCCCACTGTCCTCTCACAAAGCCCGCCCAGTCCTGGTACCCAGCAGCCTCCCACCCCCACCCCACGGACGCCCACCTGGCACCCCAAGGCCCACCATTCAACTCTCACCCCACCAGCTCCCAGCACCCCCGCAGCTCAACTCAAACACCTCCAAAGCGCAGGGCCTCTCCTAAGCTGAGGCTCGCGTGGCTGTAAATCCTAATGTTGCCCATCAGCCACCTCCAAATCTGTCACAGCTTGATGCCCGACGGCCCTGACTGCATCTTCTCATTCCTTGTCATATTTTCTAGTCAAACTCCAATTTCTACTACCCCCAATTCCTCAGACGCCAGAGCTTCAGTGACTCCCATACTTAGGGCCTTCTCATTCCAAACGTATTTCTGATTCTCTCAGTAAAACCTCACACTCACTTGCCTTAAATCAAACCTCAGATCTTAGCTGGGTCCCCACCGCAATCTTCACTACCCATCCTCCACCCCTCGGAACTGTCCCCACCTCCAGCACACCCACCCAATTCTGCCAAATGCACACCTTCTTCCAGCCCCTCCCCCTCCCCCTCTATGGACTGCATTGCTGGCAAAACGTTAGCGCCCAAGCATCCTTCAGTCCAGACATCCCTACCTTCGCTCCAGTTTTTTCCGGCCCTTACCTATTGTGCCTATCCCTACTGCCCTTTCTGCCCATTCCCAACCCACGCAGACACAATCACTCTGATTCCATTTCCTTCCTCCCCTAAATGCGTCATCCCCTTCCCCCTAAAAGCCGCCTCCTGGCTCCCCTCTCCAGACACGTCGCTACCACGGCTCCACTCCCCCAATGCGGAGGCCCCTCCTCCCACCAAATCTGTCGTCGCCATCAAATCCACAGCCCCCTTCTCAAGTAAACCGATAGCCCTTTCTGCTGCTTTCTTTCCCTCCTAAATCTCTGGCCCTGGAGCCCACTCCTTTGTCCATCCCTATAAATCCAGAGCCCCGTTGTCCACTGCCCCAAACACCTTTAAATATTTAGCTTTCGTCGCCAGCCCTCGTCTACCCGTTCACCAAAACTTCTCGGCCCTCTCCCAATTCTATGGCTTCCTCCCGCACCCCAAATCCATTACCCTTCGGAATCTCAAACCCACTGCCTCCGAGTACTCATCTCCCACATCTTATCGCCCCTCCCTGCACCCAAATCCCTTCCTATCTCACGCCTGTCACTCGCGTCTCTTCGCTCCTTCCCTGCACCCCAAATCCCTTCCTATCTCACGCCTGTCACTCGCGTCCCGCAGCCCCCTCCCCGCACCTCCAAATCCCTTCTCTCCCACATCTGTCACTCACGTCCCGCAGCCCCCTCCCCGCACCCCCACGCCGCATCGCCACCCTTCCGCGGCGCCCCTCGGCCCCACCTGGATCAGCAGCTTCACGTAGAGCAGCGGGTGGCTCAGAGCCGTCACGCCCGCGCCCAGCGCCACGAACAGAGCCTCGGTGGTCGGGGCGTTGTCCCCGGAGCCCGGACCCCCCCGCGCCGCCGTCCATCCTGCGCGCCGACGGCTGAGCCGCGGGCCGAGGGTGGCGAGGGTGCGCGCGGTGCGCGGGCGGCGGGTCGCGAGCGCGGGCCTCGACTCCCGCCGGCGCGCCGCCGCGAGCTCCTGCTCCAGCTCCGGCTCCCGCCATCCCCGCGGCGCCGCCGGGAGCCCAAGGCGCCACTTCCGGGTCCGAAGCCCCCATGGCGCCAGGCGCCGAGGTCACTCCCCGTCACGTGGTGCTAGGCACGCCCCCTCGGGCGTCAAGGGGCGGAGCCGGGCCCGGCCACTGGCGCCGCGGGGAAAGCGGGCGTGACGGAGTGGCGTATTGGATCCTGCAGTGCTCGGCCGCCCGGCCCCGCCCCGCCCCGCCCCGCCCCTCCCGGAGCCCATTCTCTGCAGCTCGGGGCCCCGCCCCCTTTGCGGACCGGGCTCGTCACCGCAGTTGTACCTAGTGATCGGCGCCCGCTGCGGCCTGTGTCTGCACCCCTCTCTGGCGTGCTCCCCGGGACTCAGTAGAAGCCCCTCGGTATTTGAGTAACTCATGGCTGGCGAGAGTTGGAAGCCCCTCTGGCTTGTACACTCGCGATGGCCTTATGCTGGGTGCGTTTTGTTAACTAAATAACTAGGCCTGGAGTTGCGCTTGTCTAGTGCCTGGAGCACCGTGCTTTGAACGCTTCCGTGCAGTCGTCACAGTCACTTTCTAGGAAGGTGTTTACTCCAGCGAAGTGTCTTGTTCTTGTTTGTAACCTGCTCCCACCTTCGAGCAAGCCCAACAGCGCTCTGATAGTCTAGTCGTGCGCTGCTGCCCAATAATACAGTTTTCTGGTAAACGGACCTTAGTGTCAGCAGGGATCGGGACCCTTTGCCTGCCCTTATTCCGTTCCTGAGGACGGTCTGTAGTCAGACGCCTGCATCCCTTCCTGGTTGCCCACAGAAAAAAGCCCATCACCACCAACACCCCTGCCACTTCTGACAACAAACCTTTGTTATCTTCAAAACCTGCCTGCTTGCCCTCATGGTGGACTCCTCCACCTCCAGTTCCGCTCCCCCAAACCAGGAAGACCGGTTTCCAGGGATGGGAGAAGAGGCAGGGTTTACCTCACCTTCCTGACACTGCCCACACACAAATCCTTTTCTTCCGTGGGTTTTTCCTCTGTATTTTCCCCGACGCCTTCTTTTTGCCTCTGAATTTGACTGCCTACCATTAGGCCCAATGTCTGGCTCTTGCAGACTGTAGCTCCCTGTAAGGGAACTGTATTGTATTACCTGGTGTTAATGTCTTGTCTTCCACGACCCCAAATGCAGGGATACATATGAAGCATGTCTTCATTCCTAAGTGATTGAACCAGACCAAAAAAAAACCTTAAGTGCAAACAGTTCAGTGTGGTGACTCACACCTGTAGACCCAGCAGTACTCAGGAGGTGGAGGCAGCAGGATCGGGAGTTCAAGGCCAGCCTGGGCTGTGCACTGCGTTACATCAATTTCCTTGACTGCAATTGAGAACTGGCCTGTTGACAATCGCGGGTTCTTTCATTCACATCTTAGCTACTAATATTAACTCAAGATGCAAACGGCACTGTAACCGTGTGTGTGTGTGTGTGTGTGTGTGTGTGTGTGTGTGTGTGTGTATGACTTCAAAGCGTTACAAAGGCTGCACAGTTCAGGGACTTTAAAGAGGCCTTCTCTGGAGGCAGAGGCAGAGAAAGTCACTTCTGAGGTTAGATATTAACCCGTCTGAGAGCTGCTGAGGAAGTGGAGCGAGCAGAGGGGTTGCAGATTAGCAGGGGTGGAGTTGCACAGGTCTGGGTACAGGCAGGCAAGCAGATGGATGGATGAGGACAATTCAATAGGGACCTGGCCAAGCTGAAGCCCCTGGGGCTGCCAGCTCTCTGCCTGTCTGTTCCTTGACATATACACTGAGTGGTTAAACCATAGGTTTGTCATCCTTTCCTGGTCCCGTGTGCTAATTCTGAGGCCTGTTTTATGTGATGTGAATGAGTGTTCCGTCTGCATTTATGTTTATGTGCACCTCATGTGTGACTGGTGTCCAAAGTGGTCAGATGTGAGCTGAGGACTGAACCCAGGTCCCCTGTAAGAGCCATCTCTCCAGTCCTTAATATGGTTTTAGTGTGCCCACGTGCCTGTAGGTCCCCATCCTGCTTTGATAAGTTTCCAGGTGGTGAGGCTCTACATTTAGGAATAAGCGATCCGACTTTGCCATTGGATGGTGATCCCCGGGCAGTGGCTGAAAGGTTCTGGAGAGAGCATTGCTGAGAAAGGTTACTGGGAGATCTGGAGTTTATTAGAAACGTTGTGGGGTGGTGGTGGTGCACACCTTTAAACCCTGCACTCAGGAGGCAGAGGCAGGTGGATCTTTGTGAGTTCAAGGCCAGCCTGGTCTACAGAGTGAGTTCCAGGACAGACTCCAAAGCAATACAGAGAAACCCTGTCTTGAAAAACCAAATAATAATAATAATAATAACAATGAAATTAAAAAGTTAAAATTAAAAAAATGATGGGGCTGAAGAGATGACTCTGTGGTTAACAGCACTTGCTGCTCATACAAAGGACCCAAGTTCAATTCCCAGCACCCATATATGGCTCAAAATCATCTGTAATTCCAATTCTAATGGATTTTATGACCTCTTCTGATCTCTCAGGGCAATGAAAACACACATGCAGACAAAACCCTCACACACAGAAAATTTTAAAAATCTTTTCTTAAAATGGAATTTAAATAAGTTTAAAAATAAATATTTCCTTTTGTGTATAGATCCTATGTACAGACAGACAGTCATGTCTATATAGCATAGAAGTAGCAGCAAAACTGCCCAGGACAATGAGGGGACAATGAGGGGACAGTGAGGGGACAATGAGGGACTAGTGGAAGGGAGAAGGGAAAGGAGGCATGGGTACAGGAGTGAACATAGTAAAAAAAATATTGATTGTGTAAAGATGAAGCCTAGTACTATCTACAATATATACAAGCCAATAAACATCTTTTTTGGTGGGTGGGGGTTTCAAGATAGGGTTTCTCTGTGGCTTTGAAGGCTCCTGGCACTCTCTCTGTAGACGAGGCTGGCCTTGAACTCACAGAGATCTGCCTGCCTCTGCCTCCCAAGTGCTGGAATTAAAGGCATGCACCACCAACATCCAGCAAATAAACATTTTTTAAAAGGATATTTCGGTCAGGAGTAGTGGCATATGCCTTTAACCTCAGCACTTGAGAAGTAGAAGCAGGGTTCAAGGTCAACCTGGTCTACATAGAATGTTCTGGCCAGCCAGGAGACATAGTGAGACTGTTCCAAAACAAAACCAAAAATGTTGTGCATGGTGGCTCCTGTCTGCAATCCAGCTCTCAGGAGGCTGAGGCAGGGGAAGGGGGATCCATATGAGCTCAAGATCAACTTGGGTTGTATAGTGAGTTCAAGGCCAGCCTTGGCTGCCGAGTGAGGTTCTGTCTATAAACAAGGGCTGGGGACGTAGCTTGGTGTGTAGAGTTGTGGTGTGACACATCTGTAATCCCAACACTTGTAAATTGGAGGACGCAGAAAAATTAGAAGTTCAAGGTTATCCTTGGGTGCACAGTGAGTTTGAGACCCTGTCTTATAGAGTGAATCAAGGAAGAAAAAAAAAACCAAGCTCAGACTTCCACTCAGAGTTACCGAGCCCTTTGTGACTCTGCTCCAGGAGTCAGCCTCTGGACTGGGGCGTCTGGATAGTATATTCAGACCTGGTAACTGGTCTAAGGTTAACCAGCAATCTGGGGCAGAGTGCTGTGCTCGGTTCCTCAGTGAAAAGTCACCTTTGTATTTCTGTGACTGGCCATTCCATCCCTAGATTGGAGGTAGGAATTGGAAAAAGAGATCCCTGGACCCGTTCTGTCCCCTTCTGGGAGAGATCTGTGCTGGCCTCTGGGACGGGAAATGAGCTACGTCCACCCACTCAGGGTTTTGTGAGGACTAAAGTCACAGGTGAGTGTCCTTTGTCAGTTTGCCAAGTGCCTCGTGATGATGGAGCCAGGGTGTCCTGAAGACTAGGCAAGCCCCACATCCCTTGGCTACACTCAACTCTAGAAATGAGCTTTTGGTGTCTCTCGTGGGCCTGCTCAGGTAACAGCTCTCCCTGAGGGCCATCATACAGGTGCTGAGTAACATCGGAAGGACGGTGTTATGGCCGGGCTGTGGGAGGACTCTCTGTTCAGGGCTGTGGGAGGACTCTCTGCTCCGGGCTGTGGGAGGACTCTCTGCTTACTATTGCATGTGAAGCCAGTGGGAGTCCAGCCTGGGGGGTGGGGTGGGTGGGGGACAGCTGGCAGAGAGATCAACCATGGGCAGGGTGTCTAGAAAGGAAGGAACAAGCTGTCTTTTCCTCACTTGGAAGCCTGGCCACTCACTCCAAGCCATTTGGGTTTCTTCTTGAGCTGTTAAGACTCAAGCAGTCAGGGCCTTGAAATACAGAGAAGCCCAAGGCAGGCTGGGAGGGCCCATGTGCTGGCCCAGTGCGGGGGGGGGCTCAGGACCTTTTCTGGCATTGCATGACCACTCCCCTGGGATGGCTTCTGGCACCGCCTTCCGCAGGCTCCATTCCTCCCCTGGCTCTGCCAACTCCAAGCTGACTGTCGGGCTGGCCCGCCCAGTGCTTGATCCCCAGGCCCAGGCTGCCTGCCCCTCCTGGCCCCCAACCAGCCCAGGCGCCACCTCTCCTGACCTTGAGGCCTTCTTGAGGGCCCTGGCACCAGCCCTGCCAGGTCCCAGCCAACTCTCAGCTTTGAAACTGGATAGTGACACAGAGAAGAATAGCAGGCTGCTTGCGCGGCCCACTGACACGCTCAGGTGTCACGTCAGGCCGGCCCACATACTTGTGGTCACTCTGGCTTCGTGTCATTGCGGAGACTGGAGGGGGGGCCCTCTACCAAGCCACAGCCCTGGCTCCAGGGTTCTGTCCCTCATTGTCCTCACAGGGCTGAGCAATGATGACATTGCTCAGACTAACAGTACAACACAGGAACACTCGGGCCTCTTAGCATCCTAGGAAAGGGGACATCAGGAAGTTAGCGGAACCTTTCTGCCTGCTGAGGGGACAGCCAGCTGCAAGTCCTTCCACAGGAAAGCCTGAGAAAACTGTGGAGTTTCTGGCAGAGAGACAAACAGAAAAAAATCCTGGCTGTCTAGGGGAGGGGCAGGCAGGGTGAGCTTCAGACCTGTGGGATAGGCAGGTCTTGTCCCCCTCCCCCCCCCCTGTATGGCCAGGGCCTGGTTACCTAGGCACCCACCTGCTTACTAGCAATGGCCATGCATGAGACTAACCAGGCAGCACCCCCAGGGCCTCCCAAAGAGGAAGAGGTGAGGCCTCAGCGGGGGCTGGTGTCAGCCGCCTCACTGGCTAGTCTGCCATTTCACAGATGCTGTGTGCCCAGCTGTGTTAAGGGCAGGATTAGGACTGAAGAAGGGACTAGCCCTTGGACTGCTCAGGCAGGTGCCTTCTCTGGAAGCTCAAGGTCCTGACAGCTGTGTAACAAGACAGTCTCTGTGGACTCAGGAGTGAAGTCAGCACATCCCACAGGCTTGGGGGGCGGGGGGGGGATGCGGGGCAGGGCTGAGAGTATCACCGCCCAAGAGGCAGAGGGTGAACCCCAACACCAAAGAGGGGTCTCCCCAAGACCAGCAGTAGCCAGAGGAAGTGCCCTCAAAGGATGAAGTGACCCAGACTCTGTTGAACCTGTGACAAAAATGCTGTCACATCCCCAGGCACGGCACTGCCTTCAGAGGGACCTGTGCGGCAGGAGTCGGGGTCTTCACCAACCACACAGAAAGAAGAGAAGGAGCCCAGGGCAAAGGCAGGTTGTCGCCTTGGAATGGATTTGTGCCTGGGCATTTTCTGTTTTGTTATTGGTTTTGGACATAGGGTCTCACATAGCACAGGCTGGCCACAAACTCACCATTTAGCCAAGGATGACCCTGAACCCCTGATCCTCCCACCTCACCCCTCAAGTACTAGGATTACAGGATTCTATGTGACCCATTGGGTTTAATTACAGTGGCTTGTGTGAGATGAGCAGGGGCTTATTCACCGGAGGGTGGGCAGCTACATTACTGAAGGAAATGACGCTGTCTCCCTTAGTGACCATCAGCAGCCTGTACCTTAGCGAGGAATAGGGTCTTTTAAAAAGTGTGTGGAGGTGGGGGTGGGGTGTGTTTGTGCAGTGTGTGTGTGTGTGTGTGTGTGCATGTGCGCCTGTGCTATGTGTGTTTGTGCAGTGTGTGTGTGTGCATGTGCTATGTGTGTTTGTGCAGTGTGTGTGTGTGTGCATGTGTTTCTCTCCTCCCATCACATGGGTCCTAGGTATGAACTCAGTTTGTCCCCATTTTTTGTTGGTAGTGATTAGCCCTGAGTTTCCTGGATGGATACTCAGTAATGCAGAGGGATTGTTGCCAAACATCTCTCGGGATTTGGTAGTGGCGATATTCTTTTTGTTTGTTTATTTGTTTGTGTGTCTTTTTAGTTTTTCAAGACAAGGTTTCTCTGTGTAACAGCTTAGGCTGTCCTGGAGTGCACTCTGTAGACCAAGCTGACCTTGAACTCACTGAGGTCCTCCGGCCTCTGTCTCTGCCTCCTGAGTGCTGGGATTAAAGGCATGCGCTCCCACGCCTGGTTACAATGGGAGGGTGGCAATATTGTTTCATAGGTATGTGCACATGTATAAACATACATGTCAAGACAATATTACATAGCAAATGTGTAGGTATGTGTACATCTACATGGGTGTGCGTTGATGTTTCTGTAGCTTTTAGAGACATACAGAAATAACCATGGTGAAAGCCATCTGACGCCGAAGGGAAACCCATGGGAACCTCACACAGGCTGGGACTGGCGGGGGCTGAAGTTGGGTGTGGGCTGAGGGCTCAGGGGGATGAATTGTTCATTCTGTCCACTTCTCTGTGTGGTCTAAGTTTTTCGAGACAAAGACATGCAAGCGTGGCTGAGGGTGACTGACGCTCAGTTGACAGAGTGCTTGCTTGTTATCAGTGCTGCATAAAACTTGTGAGGGTTGGAGAGATGGCTCAGTGGTCAAGAGCACTTTCGATTCCGGAAAGTGGTGGTGCACACCTTTGATTCCAGTGCTCAGGAGGTAGAGGCAGACGGGTCTTAGAGTTCAAGGCCAGCCTGGTCTACAGAGTTCCAAGACAGCCAAGGCTACACAGAGAAACCCTGTCTCAAAAACAAACAAACAAAAAACCCAAACCAAAAAAAAAAAAAGGTCACCCTTGCAGAGTGACCTAGGTTTGGGATTAGTGAGATTTAGGGTTCAGGACTGGACAGGCTCTGGTGGAAAACACAGCTGAGGGAAGCCTGAGTGCATGGCTTCTGGGCAGGAGGCCCCAGGCCACAGCTGTAATAGCACAAAGTGTGCCAGGCGCTTTGGGCTCCAGGATGAGTCACGCTTGATCCTAGGACAAAGGCTTGCTTCAGTGCAGGGTCCTGGCTCAGAACCCATGGGAGAGGGATGAATGAATGGCCTTCCAGCTTCAGTGAGCAGAGCAGAGACACTGGCCATGTGCTCCGGAGGCACTGAGTGGCCAGGGGTCCAGGGGCCGGCAAAACAGGCTTCCGCAGGGACCGAGGACGGTCATCCTCCAGGTTCCACAGACCTTTGCTGGCACTGTAGGACTCTCACCTGGGCTTCGGAAATGGCCACTCTCTCCTGGTCCTCCTGGGTGACTTCAGGCAGGTGTCGAGACCTCCCTGAGCCTCAGTTTCCTGTAGATCCACGGCTATGGGAGGAAATGTGAAGAGACCTGTTAGCGGGTAGCTTGTTGCCATTGTCATCTTGAGCGGCTCTCCCTGGGGCACCAGGGTAACATCAACACCATTGAGATGAAAGTGCCAGTCGGGCAGTGGTGGCGCACGCCTTTAATCCCAGCACTCGGGAGGCAGAGCAGGCGGATCTCTGTGAGTTCGAGGCCAGCCTGGTCTACAACAGCTAGTTCCAGGACAGCCTCCAAAAGCCACAGAGAAACAAACAAACAAAAAAAGAGAAAGAAAGCTCCCAAAAAGGAGTTGGGGACCATAGGGCCCCTCCCTGCAGCTCTTCACAGTCTGTGATTTTGTTTTTGAGACAAGGTTCCTCTATGTAGTCTTGGCTCTACCGGAACGCCCAGCGTGTGTGTGTGTGTGTGTGTGTGTGTGTGTGTGTGTGTGTGTGTGTGTGTGTGTGTGTGTGTGTGTTTTATTTTTTAGGGGGGAGGAGTCCAAGAGACACAATGTGTTGGATCTCAGAGACAACTGGAAAGAGTCTGTTCTCTGGCTGGAGAGATGGTTCAGTGTTTAAGAGTACTTGTTGCTCACAGGGAGGACACAGGTTTGGTTCCCTGCACCCACAAGAAGGCTCAAAGCCATCTATACCTCTAGTCCCAGGGGATCCAACACCTTTCCCCAATCTCTGTGGGCACCAAGCACTCATGTGGTGCACACACATACAGTCACGCAGGTGAAAACCTCACACACACAAAAGTGAAAATAAATAAAAAGAAAGAGTATGTTTTCTCCTCCCGCCATGTGGAGCTCTGGGATTGGACTCAAGCTGCCAGAGTTGTCTGCAAGCACTCTTTGTGTGTGTCTGTGTGTCTGTGTGTGTGTGTGTGTGTGTGTGTGTGGGTGTGTGGGTGTGTGGTTTTTTGAGACAGGGTTTCTCTGTGTAGCTTTGGAGCCTATCCAGACACTCACTCTGTAGACCAGGCTGGTCTCGAACTCACAGAGATCCACCTGCCTCTGCCTCCCGAATGCTGGGATTAAAGGCGTGTATCACCACCGCCCGGCTGCACCCCTTCTCTTTGACACCGGGCCTCCCGTGGCCGAGGCTGACTTGAACTCACTATGTGGTCAAGGATGACCTTAGATTACTCTCCTCCTGCACCCACCTCCCAAGTGGCACGTCACCACACCCGGTTCTGCTGTGCTGAGGCGGCATCCCAATGCTCCCTGCATGCCAGGCAAGCCCTGTACCAGCCGAGCCACATCCCCAGCCCTGTTTCCTCACAGCCGTGAACAGGGCCGGATGCAAGAAAAGATGCTAAGAATGGTACCAAGCTAAAAAAAAAATCCTGAGCCCCATGCAGAAGATGGCGTGTCGTCAGGCCAAGCCGCTCCGCCCAGCTTCCAGCTCCAGAAACTTCCTGCAGCCCCTGTTGCCACTGCTGGTGCCTTCTCTCACAGGGCAGAGGCAGGGTAGACATCTCCAGAGGGTAAAGGTCAGAGGGCAGGAGGGCAGGGCAACACTCTACAGGCTCCTCCCACAGTAGGGAAAGCTGCATCTGGGACTACTTCCTCTTTTCTCACCCTGCAAACAGGAGCTGCCCCGCAGGGCAGCCAGAAGAGATGGACGCGGACTCCAGGCTGTACTAGCCCTGCTGCACCCCCAGACCAGGGAGTGTGCTGGCCACTTGTCTGCTTCGGGGGGGGGGGGGGTAACTGAGGCTCTGCAGGATGGAGGATGCCAGTGAGGAGAAGCAGGCCTCAGTTTGCAACCTGGTGGCTGCCTTTGAGAACAGCAGGTAAAGGTGGGGGGGAGGGGTCAAGCCCTTCTGCTTGCCTGGCTCTTTGGGTCCTGCTCTGGGTACCTTCTTCCCAGGTCCCTCCATGACAGGTGACTGTGCTGGTGGGGTTCCGAGCTAGAGAGGGTGAACATGCATCGGGAGATCCCCAACACACACACACACACACACACACACACACACGCACGCACGCACGCACGCACGCATGCATGCAAGCACGCGCGGGCACACACACGCACGCGCGCGCGGGCACACACACACGCTTCCCACTCAAAGCAGGTCACAGTTAAGTGGCTGCCGTTGAAATGGAGCAAGAGGGCAGGACACAGATGGAATGGGACTGTATGGGGCAGAGCAGAGCCACGCTCACCATGCCACCGCTTCCCCTCCATCCTCACCCTGATGGCCCCAGGGTGTGTCTTGTCCTGCTCCCATCTGTGAGAAAGAAAGAGGAGGCGTGGGTCGGGGGTGGTGGGACCGGGTTCTTCATGTTTCTGAGCCTTGTGCTGAGGGTTGCGTCTCGGGGGGAAGGACGAGGCCAGGCATCCTGGAAGGGTGTGGTGTGAGACATGAAGCCACTTTGCCGGCCTGTGGCACTGCCCTCTGGGAGCTCACACCCAGACAGAGTTTGGGGTTGACAGGAGGCTTGGGGGGGGGAGATTTGAGAAGCGGAATCTGAGAGATGGGGAGAAGCGACACGTGGAGGAGTTCCAGAGCAATGTGGATGCACTTGAGTGGCCCTAGCTCAGGCACCCACGCCTCCAGTTGCTAGATGCTAGGTGAGATGTTCTCTTCCCTGGAGGGCAGTTCCCAGAGAGGGACTTTGTCGATAAGTAGCGCCAGGCACCAGTGCTCCCAGCCCTAGGGGAGAATACAGCTCAGTGCCTGGGGGTCTGTGAAGGATGCAGGGTTCGACTTCTGCTTATGATAAAAAGCTCCGTCCTGGGGCTGGAGAGATGGCTCAGAGGTTAAGAGCACTGGCTGCTCTTCCAGAGGTCCTGAGATCAATTCCCAGCAACCACATGGTGGCTCACAACCATCCGTAATGAGATCTGGTGTCTTCTGGCCTGCAGACAGACGTGGAGGTAGGATGTTGTATTTGTAATAAATAAATACATCTTTAAAACAAAACAAAACAAAAAGTTCCGTCCTTCCACGATGCAAGGCCACAGGCTTTCGGTGTCTCGAAAAGGCCTCCATGTTGTGTTGGGGGCCTGCTGGCCAAGGGGGCCTCTTCATAGAGTGCTTCATTCATTCACTCCAGCAGTAGTTTCTCTCTCCAGGAGCTTGGCCAAGCTCATCCTATTCAGCACCTGGGACAGCTCCTTGGCACTGTCTTTTTGACCCACCTCCCCAGATGGGGGACCACCATACCCAGAGTGCTGGAGGGTGGGTAGGGCCGTGTGGGTGCCAGTCCTTGGGGTACCAAGCCGTGGCCAGGCTTGCACCCTGCAGGTGGAGTGCCCTAGACAGGAGCAGGCCACGAGAAGCGTGTTCGGGGGGATGTGGGAGTCAGCCTAGGGAGCGAGGGTACCATGCAGGCTTCTCTGTGGGGCCCTTGGCACCTAGCTGATCTGAAACTAAGGCCTGGGAAGGAAACAGCTACAGGCCCGAGTGCTTAGAAATGCAGAAGCTAAAACCAAATGTAGAAGAGAAAACCTGAGACTCAGCACACTCGCGCCCTCTTCACCTCACTCAACCCCCGCCTTTCTGCCTGCAGGTCCTGAAACCAAGGAACTCGGTTTTCTGTGCCTGGAATGGGCCCAATGTTCCTTCTACCTCTATCTGTCTCTGTGACCTGGACAATCGTCTCAGTTCTCGAGACAAAAGGCATCTTATTGTGGAGGCTTGGACTCTAGCCTGCCCGATTTGAACCCCATCTGTGCCACTTCCAAGTTCTCATCCTTCCTGCCTCAGTTTCCGCAGCTGCAGCATGGGTGAAATGTTGCTCATTTTCTTTGGATTTTGGAGGCTTTTTACCTGTCTGTCCTCTGTCTTCCTCACCGGGGTGTCTACCCGGGGCTGTCCCCCTGGTACTGTCCCCCTGCACATGCCTGGCAGGGACAGTGCTGCAGTGCAGGCTTCTCTGGCCTGTAGGACAGCAAAACTGCCTGTGATGGTCAAACCTGGGGGACCTGGGGGAACGGGGCCCTGCTCCCCAGACTGCCTTGGTCCCCTGGCGATGGTGTGAAGGGCACAGGCTCCCCCTGAAAAGCCCCAAGTTAGCATCTGTGTCCTCATTCTGTATTATTCTGTGACTCCTACCTTCCCTTGATGACCAGGAGAGGTACAGAGATTAAAACAGGGGTGAAGTCCAAAAATGAGGGTGATCCTGAAGGAGACCCTGGAGATCTGTGTGCCAAGGGGGAGGTTCTTTCCACGTGATTGCATTTGAAACAGGGAAGTGCATAGTTCCCCAAAGAAGAAAACAGTCTACAGTGACTCATTCAGAGGACTGATGGAGTTCCCTCCCAGCAGGGTGTTGGGGGTGCTGGGGCTTGGCTCAGTTGGTAGGATGCTTGCCTAGCATGCACAAAATCCCGGGTTCTGCCCCCAGCACCATGTAAGCTAGGCATAGTGCCCCATGCCTACAATCCCAGCACTAGGAAGCTGGAGGCAGGAGGACCAGGAGTCCAAAGTCACCCTCCACTATAAAGGGGGGCCAGAGCCAGCCTGTGACACCCGAGATCCTCGCTCAAAAAGGAGGGGGCAGGAGGGCTGAGGAGAGATCTGGAAGTCTTGGCAAGTTCCTACGCTGTGCCAGGCACTTGGGGACCCGTGAACAGCAGTGACTCACACCAGTCACCCCCGAGGGGACCCTCAAACCTGGTTTGTTCTTTTGTCTTGTTTCATTTCTCGAGACAGGGTTTCTCTGTAGCTTTGGAGGCTGTCCTGGCACTCACTCTGTAGACCAGGCTGGCCTCGAACTCACAGAGATCCGCCTGCCTCTGCCTCCCTAGTGCTGGGATCAAAAGCGTGCACCACCAACACCCAGCCTACCTGGTTTGTTCTTAACAGGACGCTGAGAGCAACACCTGGACCCCATAGTGTTGGTGAACAGCCTCATAGCCCTGAACACAAGCTGCCCCAGTCCCCAGAACCTTGGGAGACACCTCCTCTTGAGGAGGCCATGAACTCTGAGCTCCGTCCAGTCAGCAGAACATATCTGAGCTCCCTCAAAAATAAGCTATCAAGTGGGGCTTGGAGGAAATCCTGGCAGCCTGGGGCCAGCCCAGGGCCAGAGACACAGGTGAGGCGTTGAGCTCAGGGCTGCTAGCTCTGATGGGGATGGGTAGGAGGACCCCTCAGCCTTCCACCTCTCTTCCTCCTTCTCCCTCCTCTCCCTTTCCTCCTCCTCTTCAAGACAGGATCTTGTTGGATGGTGGTGGTGCACGCCTTTAATCCCAGCACTTGGGAGGCAGAGGCAGAGGCCAATGGACCTCAGTGAGTTCGAGGCCAGACTGGTCTACAAAGCAAGTTCCAGGACAGCTGGGAGTATTACACAGAAAACCTTTGTCTGGAAAAAAAAAAAAAAGACAGGCTCTTAGAATGAATCCCAGACTGGCCTTGAACTCACATCCTCTCCATCCCCAGAGCTGGGGTTGCAGGTGTGCTCCCATAGGCCTAACTCTCCCTTATGATCCAGTGTAACCTTGATGGCTCCCTAGCCCTGAAGAGCCAGGGGATGGCTCAGCTGGGAAGCCAAGCCCCTTCTGCTCCAGGTACCTTCCTCTCTGCGCAGCAGCCTCGTAGGGAAGCTCCCCAGCAGGCAGCCACAGTGACTCCTTAGCTCCTGGCTTCCGTGAAAGCCCAGGTGCAGGCTGCCTAACTTTAAGGCTCAGCCCAAGACATGGAGACCTCTCTGGGCTATATTCCAAGAAGACTGATCAAGAGCCAGACCTGGTGTGCTGTGGGAAGGCGGGACATCAGAGGGTGTGCTCACTGGGCGCAGCCACAGTGTCTTCCTAGGAGAGGCATGCCAAGATGTCAATCCTTCTCTTCCCACCCCCCGCCTCCGCCCAACCCCTGTAGGAACCTGAGGAGAAGAGGGTCGTGCGGGAACTTCTGGAGACCGAGCAGGCCTATGTGGCTCGCCTGCACCTGCTTGACCAGGCCAGTGGAGACTCCCCGGCACCCTCCATATCGTGAATGCTGGCACCAGCCCAGGGTTTGGCTTTGGCTCAACCCGATGACCCTGTTGGGTGGGGTCGGGGCAGCATCAGAACTGAACCCCACTGCCTTTGTTCCTTGCCAGCCTCATATATGGTTTCCCATCGGCTGCGCTCACCAGACACTCCTACTTTCTTATGGCGCTTCACCCAAGGGAAACCCAAAGCCTCCGGTGACACAGATGGGGCTGTTCCCCTTGTTCCCTCGGCCAAGTCCTAGGGACTTCCGGGCTTGTCGTCCCTTCTGTAAAATAGCTGGGATCCGGTCTTCCCTGGCCACCTCTCCCAGGGGCATGGCAAGGATGCACACCCGACGGTCCCCTGGTGGCCTGGTGGCTGGTGGCGGGTATGACCCGGCGTGGTCCTCTGCAGGTGTTCTTCCAGGAGCTGCTGCAGGAGGCAGGGCGCAGCAAGGCCTTCCCCGAGGACGTGGTGAGGCTCATCTTCTCCAACATCTCCTCCATCTATCGCTTCCACGCACAGTTCTTCCTCCCAGAGCTTCAGCGGCGTGTAGATGACTGGTGAGGTCCCAGGCCTCAGCACCCCAGCTTGATCGGGGGGGGGGGGTCACAGGCCCAGGGTGAGGAACCTGCGAGGCCCAGGCACTTCAGTATAAATCCGGCCATGGCTGTGTCCTACAGAAGGGGGCAGTGCTAGGCCCTGTGACTTCAGAGGCCACGGATGTCACGCTGCTCACTGGGTCCCTGGCCTTGATCTTGGCATCTTTAACAGGATGGTTCTCCAGCCAGCTACATGATGTTCACATCACTGGCATACGAGAAGCCCAAGCCATGATCCCAGCACCCACATTCTGGCTCACAACCATATGTAGCTCCGGTTACAAGGAGTCCTGTAGCCCTCTTTTGGCCTCTGTGGGCACCAGGCATGCACACATGCACATGCATACATGCAGGCAAACACACTGGTACCCATAAATTAAGAAAATCGAAAGAGAACCGAGGGCTGATGAGACTGCTCGGTGTTGAGCGAGCCCACAGACTGAATTTAATTGTTGGGACTCACAGGGAAAGAAGAGAGCCGATTCCCAAAATTGTCCTCCAACATCCAGCACCCCCACACCACACATGATAATGATAATAAACGTTAAAAAGAGAAAGTGTGGGCTGGAGGCCAGCCTGGTCCACATAACGAGACCCTATCGAAAACAAAAGAAACAAAAAGGCATGGCATGGACTCCAGCCTGTGAGGTCACCAGCATCACTCCCTCTTTTCAGGGTAGAAAACCAGAGTTCAGACAAGATTGCTCGAGGACCCACAGCTAGAATGTCTAGAGCGGAGCCTGACGGCCATCGTGGGCAACCCTCAGGTGTGGCCTGTGATGTCAGCCACACAGTGCCCTCCACACTTCCACCCAGGCCTTGTCGGACCCCACAGGGAGGCTAGCTAGGGACCAGGAGCTCAGAGTATAAGGAGGAGCCGGGCAGGACCCCCGAGGTGTCACTCTGTCCTGCACCTGCCCCAAGGGTTCTGGAAATGCTATTCGGGGCTGGGGAGCCTGGCTCAGGAGCTGAGAGAGGAGGTGGCTAGGCTGAGAGCATCCCCTGCCCGACTCAGGATGGCCACACCCCGCATTGGGGATGTGATCCAGAAACTGGCCCCATTCCTGAAGATGTACAGTGAGTATGTGAAGAACTTTGAACGGGCAGCAGAGTTGCTGGCCACCTGGATGGACAAGTCTCAGCCCTTCCAGGAGATCGTCACCCGAATCCAGGTGAGGGGCGGGCCGCAGGGGCGGAGCCTGCACAGCCACCTGGTGGGTGGGCCTGCCTCATTTTCCCCTAAGCCGTTTGGACATCCTCGGGCCAGGCACCCCACTCTCCGTTCCCTCATCCTCCCGCCCCTGCTCTCTGCTCCCCAAGCGCAGCGAGGCCTCGGGCAGCCTGACCCTGCAGCACCACATGCTGGAGCCGGTGCAAAGGATCCCGCGGTACGAACTGCTGCTCAAGGAGTACGTGCAGAAGCTGCCAGCCCAGGCCCCCGACCGTGCGGACGCTCAGAGTGAGGACACCATGGGTCCCAGGGAGGGGAGGGGTGGGGAGGGGTGGCTGGCCACTACCAGGTGTAAACGGAGGACCCACTAAAATGGTTCTCATGACCTTCTGTCAATGTGTCAATCACTGGCACTTCACGCATGTCACCCACACCTCAGCCACAGCTGACAGACAGGCCAGTAAGGCCCAGAGAAGTTAAGTGAATTGCCAGGGACACACAGCCCAGAAAGGAGCCAAGCTGGAACTTGAATCTACATCTGTAAGGTGTATCCCTTAGGTCCAGCTTTGCGCTGGGAGCAGAGATTATCCCTGAAGCCACATACCTAATCACACAGCTTCCCAGTGGCCTCACTGTCACTACCCCAGGTGGCTCCGTCTTTCTAGACACACAATGTTGGCCTGCATGGGCAGGACTGTGCCTGGTGGTGGTTGTGGCATATTGTGGAGCCCCAATCCCAGGCTGCGTGTCTCTAGAAATAACCGTAGCCTTGTCCCTTTGTAGGAGCGCTGGACATGATCTTCTCCGCTGCACAGCACTCCAATGCAGCCATCGCAGAGATGGTAAGCAGCTCGTCCTTGGGGTGGGCAGGGGGCATCCCTGGGCACACTCTGTCCCCTGGTCCTTGTATCCACCGACCTTGCCCAGGGTACCTGTCCCACGCTGCCTCCTTGCCTCCGGCTCCCTCATCCCGTCCCCATCGGGCACATTCTCAAGGAGCTGGGACCCTGCCCAGCATAGGCTGAAGGTGTGCCCCGTCTCCAGGAGCGGTTGCAGGGCCTGTGGGAGGTATACCAGCGCCTGGGCCTGGAGGATGACATTGTGGACCCCTCCAACACCCTGCTCCGAGAGGGCCCCGTCCTCAAGATCTCTTTCCGCCGCAGTGACCCAATGGAGCGCTACCTGTTTTTGGTAGGGGCTGCTGGGCTTCGATGTCAAGGTGTGCCCCGGGAAGTGGAAATCAGAGTCCAAGCCTGAGCCCTGGTTGGCTTCAAAGCCTGTGCCTCTTCTCTGTGCTCTAAGGACAGCACAGCAGGAGGGAATTAGGTTAGCCACCGGGAAGACCTGCTGGGCTGACCCCGGAAAACCAGGGTCTCCGACATCCTGCAGTGTTGCTACCTGGAGGTCTATACCGCCACCCCACCCCAGCTGTCAGGCTCCTCAGGCTGCTCTGCTTCCCTAGTGCTCAGGGTAGAGAGACCCTTCAGAGACTACTGGTGCCATTGGGGGCTAGGCAGCCACATCCTACCCCGGATCACCTGTGATGGCCTGTGAGCCCCCCTAGAATGTGGCCAGAAGGGAGGGGAGGAGTTACAGCCAGGTGACCCGAGAGACCCTGAGCTGCCGCCCATACCACCTGTGTCTTCCCAGTTCAACAACATGCTGCTGTATTGCGTGCCCCGCGTCCTCCAAGTGGGCGCCCAGTTCCAGGTGCGGACCCGCATCGACGTGGCTGGCATGAAGGTGAGCCAAAGAGGCCCAGGGTGGGTGACAGTGGCGGGCAGGGCAGGTCCTGGATGGGAAACATGGGTGGAGCTCTGCTGTCCTGCCCTTGTGAGGGCAGCGTGGCTTATCCTGGGGCGGCGTGCACATGCCCTGGCAACATCACAGTGCTTGCTAAGAAAAAGGAGGAGGAGGGGAGGGAGAGGGGGAGGGGGAGGAGGAGGAGGGGAGGGGGAGGAGAAGGAGGAAGAGGAGGAGGGGGAGGAGGAGGAAGAGGAGGAAGAAGAAAAGGAAGAGGAGGAGGAGGAAAAGGAGGGGGAGGAGGAGGGGGAGAAGGAGGAGGAGGAGGAGGGGAGGGGGAGGAGGAGGAGAAGGAGGAGGGGAGGGGGAGGAGGAGGAGGAAGAGGAGGAGGGGGAGGAGGAGGAGGAGGAGAAGGAGGAGGGGGAGGAGGAGGAGGAGGAGGGGGAGGAGGGGAGGAGGAAAAGGAGGAGGGGGAGGAGGAGAAGGAGGAGGGGGAGGAGGAGAAGGAGGAGGGGGAGGAGGAGAAGGAGGAGGGGGAGGAGGAGGAAAAGGAGACAAAAGCTACACAGACCCCAGGAGACTCACAGCCCAGCATGGCGGCTCACACTTGTAATCCCAGCATTTGGGAAGCTGAGACAGGAGGATTGCTGCAAATTCAAGGACACGCTGGATTGCACTGTGAATCCCAGGCCTGCCTAGGGTACACAGAGAGACCACCTCAAAAAAAGGGGGGGTTCATAACGCAGCTCAGTTGGCAGCGATCTTGTCTGACATTCCCCGAGCCCTGGATTGGGTCGCCCAGATGCCCAGTAGCCCAGATGCGCTGGCACACACCTTAATCTCCGCATTGGCAGGTGATGGTGGGAGGGTCAGGAGTTCCAGGCCACCCTTGACAGCACAGTGAGGTCAATGCCTACTAAGACCGCATCTGAGAAGGCCGCGGGTGTCTTGTGTGTTTGCTCTTTGCTGCCACCCTCTGGCAAGCCTGTCTCACTTCCAGCGGCCTCACAGCACCCTCTGCTGGAGGTTGCTGGGCATGGCGGGTGAAGAGCAGTCTACCAATGGAAACTTTTTCTGAGTCAGGTTTGAAGGAATCTGGCTTGAAGGCACCCTGGTCATTCTACCGGCCTGTGACCTGGTGCCAGGACCACACAGTTCTCAAAAGATAACTTTGCCTGAGATGGCCCTGCAAAGAGGGAGAGGTTCCAGAGACGTGGCATTCAGGAACCCCGTATTCAACCAAACAGGCTGTACACTGCCCAAGGACACTGCATCGCAGAGGTGCCACCTGCGGCCAGCTGGTGACATGTCATAGCTTGTGTATCCATAGTGAGGGCTGACCAGCAGGTGGCAGTCAAGCATCTCGTTCTAACACCGTCTGGAGATGAGCCAGTTGGCCGGCAGGTGCCAGGAAAGCCTTCTGAAGCAGAGATGGGCACAGAGAACTGTGTGGAATGGTAGGGCCCTGAATGGAGCCAGACCTGGAGAGGGTAGCTAGGATGGTCCTGCAGGGCTACAAAACCCACAGCTCTAAAGCAGACCCCAGGGCATCAGGACTCGGGCCGGGGATCCCCCGGGGTTCCCCTTCTTCTCAAAGCTCTACTCCTTCCTGTCCTGGGCCTCAAGCTTTGGGGCTCCACCTTCTTTTCTTTTTTTAAGATTTATTTATTTATTACATATACAGTGTTCTGCCTACATGCCAGCAGAGGGCACCAGACTGAATTGTAGACGGTTGCTGGGAACTGAACTCAGGACCTCTGGAAGAGCAGTCAGTGCTCTTAACCTCTGAGCCGTCTCTCCAGCCCCCACCTTCTTATCTTGACCCCCTCCTCTGACAGGGGTTACAGAGACTCCCCAGGCCCCGGGGCCACCCCTCCCTCCCCAGCGCATCCATCCTTTGCACCAGGCGCAAAGGCCTGAGCTGCAGACCGGTGCCTCTGCCCCATCTCACCCAGGCTCGGCCGCTCACTCCTTGTATGCACTGGTTCCGTGCGGCCTCCACCATTCCCGGGCCTCCCCCAGGCAGGAGGCAGGATCCAGACCACACCTAGCCCCTTCCAAAGGACAGACTTTGCGGAGAAGTCTGGCGGCTGCAGGGCTGTGAGAAGGAAATCCCCCAGGGAAGGCTCCAGGGTTTGAGGTCTGTCTTAGGTCCCTTGGGTCTCTGTGCACGTGGCCTGGGGGCAGATCTGGGTTGACTGGACTTTGCGGCTGGGGTGAAGGTGGATATTCATCCAACCCCACTCTTGACGGCAGAAACCCCGTTTTGCGCCTTAAGTGCCGTGTGACCTCGGGCAGATCTCACACCCGTTCTGAGCTTCCAGAGCCAGGTTAATAGGATGAGACCCACTCTCCGGGGTTCCTCTGAGAACGGCTGTGCTTCTTACCTCGGGGATATGTAAGCCCTGAAAGCAGTCCAGTGAGCTCTCGTAGACTCGTTTTGAGGTCCAGTCTCTCTTTCTGGGGACTCTCTGGAACTGTCCCTCCATGTCATACCTGGCCAGCTTCGGTGCTACCGGCAGAATTCCGAAGCCTTCAGCCCCGTTTGCCCAGAGCACCTGCCTGGTGGGTTAGGGCTGCCCCCGCCTGCAGCGCAAGGGCTCTGAAGCTCCTTCCTCCACTGGCAGGTGCGGGAGCTGCCTGATGCCGAGTTCCCACACTCCTTCCTGGTATCTGGAAAACAGCGCACCCTGGAGCTGCAGGCCCGGTAGGCACCGGAGGTGGGGGCTTCAGCAGAGCCGGGGCGGTGGGACTGCCCTCTGCATTGCATGCTCTTTCCTTTGGAGTAGGTCCAGGGAGGAAATGATCTCCTGGATACAGGTATGGACACTCCAGGCTTCCAGGGGAGTCCGAGCCTAGTCTACTTGGGAGGAAGGAAAAAAAGGGGGTATGTGTGCTCCCCCGGGGGGTGTGACCCGCAGCCCCCCTTCTTCCTGTGGAGTTTGAAGTCGGCCCCGAGTTCAGATCCTGCTGTGTCCCACTGCCTTGCTGGGTGGTCTCCTATAACTCCTGTATGTGGGTGTGACTCCTAGAGCAACTCCCGTAACCTCTTTGAGACTTGGTTTTGTCGTGTGTGGTCTGGAGCTGACTGCTTCCTCCTGGCGTAGTCAAGAGTCTAGGTCTACTGCAGGCCACGCTGAGCAAAATGTGCTGGCTGGGGATGGGTGAGACGCCTCGGGCGGCTCTCACTGGCCACCCCCGCCTCCAAGCAGGCTTGCCAGGCAGCTATTGACCACGTTGAGAAGCGGAGTGAAACCTTCAAGGCCGCTGCTGTCCAGGGACCTCAGGGGGACACGCAGGAGCCCAAGGTAACAGGACTTTCTGTACCCCACCGCCAGGTCTCAGGAACAAAGGGCGTCCCCTACCGGGACCGACATGAGAAGGAAGCCCTTCTACCCAACATCACCCTCAGAGGAGCCAGGCCAGAGTCTCCTAGTTAGCAAAGCCTGTCTTTGAGCCAGCAGGATCAGAAGTTCAAAGTTGTCCTCTGATACTTAGTGAGTTCAAGGCCAACCTGGCCACATGAGACCCTAACTCAAAAAAAAAACCGACTTTCGAAAATAAAAATAAAAACCCCTGCCTTTAGCTAGGCGTGGAAACAGGTCTTAAATCCCAGTCCTGTGAGTTTAAGGCCGGCCTGGTCTACACAGTGAGTCTCAGGCCAGCCTGAGCTACATAGTTTGTTTCAGGAAGAGCCCTGCATAGCCAAGGCCTAACAACTGGGCCTGAGCCTGTCTGAGAAGCCGGCAGAGTTGGAGGCAAATGAGGCTTTGGTTTCTCAGCTCTGGACTCTGGCTTCCTGGGTGAGAATCCTGAGCTGTTTGACCTCTCTGGGCCTGTTCCCTCTCCTAAGAGTGTTAATGGGTAAACTGCCCCAGGCAGAAGCTGCAGGGTCTCCAAGGGGTGCAGGGTGCCTTGAAGCAGCCAGCTGCTCTCCCCCCTCAGCCACAGGCAGAGGAGCTGGGCCTCCGAGCCCCTCAGTGGGTGCGAGACAAGATGGTGACCATGTGTATGCGCTGCCAGGAGCCCTTCAACGCCCTGACACGGCGGCGCCACCACTGCCGAGCTTGTGGCTACGTGAGTACACCTGCGGGGTCTGGGGACGGGCCCCAGGACCTGCCTTTGACCAGGCGGTTCCTGCCTCCAACGTCAGGCTCCCTGTGGGTCCCAGCCCTGGCCAGCTCTCCAGCCTCGGCTGACACTGGGTGTCCAGCTATGATGAAGCGGTGTGCTGCTTCCCGTACGGGAGGGGGGCCCGCAGGGGGGAATTGACTTCCCGAAGCCTCCTCCGGTGGTCCTCCCGTTCACCTGCCCTTTTAGACATCTTTTCTCAAGGCTCCAGCCCCAGAGCCAAGAGGGTCTCTACCCCCAGGTGGGCACCATCTGGCATTCACCCCAGCCTCGCTCTCTCTCTACCCTCCTCTCATGTGTTGCGGACTCCACCTTCTTGAGCAGGCCTCAGTTTCCCTACTTGTCCTAAGAAGTATAATCTTACTTGGGAGGTGGAAACAGGGGGATCAAGGGTTCATAGCCAGCCAGAGCTATAGAGAAAGACCCAGTCTTTTTTTTTTTTTAAGATTTATTTATTACATATAAAGTGTTCTGCCTACATGCCAGAAGAGGGCACCAGATTGAATTGTAGATGGTTGTGAGCCACCATGTGGTTGCTGGGAATTGAACTCAGGACCTCTGGAAGAGCAGCCAGTGCTCTTAACCTCTGAGCCATCTCTCCAGCCCAAGACTCAGTCTTAAGTCTTTAAAAAAACAACAATATGTCCTCAAGATGGCTCAGAGAGTGGTGGCATTCGCCGCCAAGCCTGAGTTTGATCCCTGGAACTTATAGAGTAGACAGAAAGGACTGACTTCTGTAAAGTTATTCCAACTACTGGGCGATGGTGGCGCACGCCTTTAATCCCAGCACTTGGGAGGCAGAGGCAGGCAGATCTCTGTGAGTTTGAGGCCAGCCTGGTCTACAAGAGCTAGTTCCAGGACAGCCTCCAAAGCCACAGAGAAACCCTGTCTCAAAAAACCAAAAAAAAAAAAAAAAGTTATCCTACACCCTTGCCATGATACAGGGTGCACACACACACACATAAACACACACTCATCATGCACACATACATTCATTCATGTTCACCCTCACTAAGAGTAAAATTAATAATAATAGTAATAATTTAACACAAAACCAGATGTACTGTACATGCGTGTAATCTCAGCATGTGGAAGCTAGAAGTTGGAGAGCCAGAAGTCCCAGGTCATCCCGGAGCATGGCTACCTGAGACCCTGCCTCAGGAAGGCAAATAAGGCCGATGAAGAAAAGGACAGCTATTGAATGACTATATGAGACGAATTTCTCAATAAAGCAGGAGAGAGATGTCTCAGAACACTTGCAGAGGACTCCACTCCGGGGGATCTGACGTCCTCTTCTGGCCTCCACAGCACACACACTCACACACACACACACACACGTACACACACACACATGGCGCACACACACACACAGACTCCTATATGCACACAAATGGAAATAAAAGTTTACATTTCCCAATAGAAGCGTACCATCCTCCCCAGGCGCGCATCCCTGGATGTCCTCATCCTGACTCCAGGGTGTCTGGGGCCCGTGCGTGTCCTCTTTTGGGAGTCAGTGAGTCACCCTTTCGTTTCACGCTCAGCTGCCAGTTTCTGTCTCCCCTTTCTCGGGCACCCTGTGAGGGCGGGGTGCACGGTGACTCCCTGAGAGTGGCCACACCCGACATGCCCGGGGCACCCCGGTCTTCCTCGGGAGTCGGGAGTCACGGCACCGGAGTTTCTCTTCACACCTCCCTGCTCTCCCTTACCTAGTCTCCCTGAATACCCTCATTGCCTCAGGGGAGGGCAGAGTCCTGGCCTTGTGGGGGCCAGCGAGCCCAAGCCCGAGCCGTCCAGGACGCAGCCCCATGAAAGAGGCTCATGGAGGGGGAGTGGTTGGGAAGGCGGCGGCGGGCTGGGTCTTGAGCCCTCGGCTTCTGTCTGGGCTCCTGTGGCCACCTTGCTGTCTCACCCTCAGGTGGTGTGTGGCAGGTGCTCTGACTACCGTGCAGAGCTGAAGTACGACGGCAACAGGCCCAGCCGAGTCTGCCTGGCCTGCTACACGTTTCTCACCGGGAACGTGCTCCCTGACAGCAAGGAGGACAGGAGGCGAGGCATCTTGGAGGTGAGGCCCTGGAGACATCCGTCCCAGTTTCCCCGTCCCAAAAGGCTCTGCCCTAGGTTCTGAGAAACAAGCTGCCGTGTCTCTCCTTCCCTCATCTGTCTACCCACAGGCGGCCCCTCTCCTCCGGTCCAACCACACCAGGCCTGACAACAGCCGGAAGTGGCTATGGACTGTAGGTTACCACCCAGTCTTCTACTCCTCCATCCAATAATAGCGTGGCCCATCTGTTCCAGGTCACGTCCCCAGGGCCCAACCCCAAGGCTCTGCAAAGCTAGTGTGTCCCTGATCTTGACAGGCAGGGGTGCCCAGGGCCCAACCCCAAGGCTCTGCAAAGCTAGTGTGTCCCTGATCTTGACAGGCGGGGATGCCCAGGGTCCAGGCAGGCAGGCATCGTTCTAACTGCAAGGGGCCTCGGCAGCCGATCCAGAGAGCTGACCCTGCTTAACTGTCGCACCTGCTGTGCGGCCTGCATCCGAGAATGTAGCGAGGTGGTCGGGATAGATGACACAGAGACCGGTCGGTTGCTTTAAGAAAACTTTATATTTCCCAAGTCAGCTTAGGAGAGAGACCCCAGTCCGCTTAGGAGAGCTATCAGGCGAAATCTCAGGAAAAGTCTCTCTAAGAAAAAGGAGCTTCCCTTTTTAAGGACTTTTGCCATCCATTTACATACCATTCTTTCCACTTCTCACCCTCCTGGCTGGTGGTTTAATCTCCGGCCCCAGAATCGGGGAGACACCACAGGGGGCAGGAAGAGGCATCTAGCCATAGGAGGTGTGGAAGGCATGGTATTTCAGTGAGCCAGCCCTATCTGAGCCCTATCAAGCTTTAAAGCACTGAATTGTTTTCAGTAAACAATACATAGATGCCTGCTCCCAGGCCAAAGGGGAAGTGGGTTTCTGCTCAAGGTCTGGTGTCCCCACACTTAACATCACACAGCTCTTCCTGGTCCCCTCTGTAATCTGGGTACCACCCTCAAGGCGTGCCAGGGCCACTTCCCACCCCGTGAGCACTTGCTGTGGGTGCCAGTCATGTTCGTCTTTGAATCTCAAACGCAATGTTGAAGCCCAGACACTAGCTACCCTATCCCTCGCCCCATGAAGGCCAGAGTGACATCCCACAGTCCCTTGGGAAAGAGAGGAAAGCTGACCAAGACTCCTTCCCACAAACAAGTTGGCTCCTTCTCATAGACTTCACCCCCTTTCTATTCCATGTGTCCCCTCAGCCAGCCCCCAACTGGGCAAAAAGCCTACTTCTGGAGTCTCATGCCTGGCAGGCCCCAACTCTGTCCCTTGAGTAGCTCGGGATGACAGCCCTGGCTTTGGGACCTTCCCTGTAAGCACACACCTCATCACTCCCGAGGTTCTGCCTGTTGTTGGCCAGCGTGAACCTGGGCCACATGGTGGAGTGTCTCCAAGCTCCAGAGTCAAATGACCTGTTCGTTCCTTGTAGTAATGTAAAGATTAATCAAGGGGAGGCTGGGCGTGGTGGTGCATGCCTTTAATCCCAGCACTCAGGAGGCAGAGGCAGGCAGATCTCAGTGAGTTCAAGGCCAGCCTGGTCTTCAAAGCAAGTTCCAGAACAGCCAGAGCTGCTACACAGAGAAACCCTGTCTTGAGAAACAGTAACAACAGGGCCGTGACTGTCAGGAGTGGTGGCATGCCTACTGCCCCGGAATCTGGGTGCAGAGAAGAGGACCAGGGGTTCAAGGTTACCTCCTGATAAGTTTTAGGCTAGCCTGGGCTATGCGGGCCCCTGACACCCTGTGGACACCCTGTCATCCGACTGTCATTTCCGCTTTCAGAAAGACTCCCTGGCGGGGCCTGACCAGAGTCTGGTGTGCAGCTTCCTGCAGCTCCTGGGAGACAAGTGGGGCAGGAGCGGTCCCCGGGGCTGGTGTGCGATCCCTCGGGATGACCCGCTCGTGCTGTATGTCTATGCAGCCCCCCCAGGTATGCCATGCCCACCCCGCCTGGACCTCCTCTTTCTCAGGGGGCAAGGGGAAAGCAGGGCGTGAGGCATTGCCTGCCCTGTGTGGAAGATGGGGCAGCTGAGGCCCCCTGGTGGCATGGTACACTCAAGTTACAGGTTACCAGGTTTCAGGGCGGGCCCAGTAGCAGTTCTCAGCTAGTCTGCCTTCAGGAAGGCCCAGTCTTCCCCCCCCCCCCGCCCCCGTCGGTCCCCCTCGATGTGGGAGGGGTTCTGGTGTGAGCAGGGCTGTGGCTGTCCGGAGCAGCAGGGTTGAAGTGGGCTCAGAAGTGCATACTTTCTTCTCCACCAGGACAGGAAGGCTCACACCTCCATCCCCCTGCTGGGCTACCAGGTGATTGGGGGACCCCAGGGGGACCCCCCGGGTTTTCCAGCTGCAACAGTCAGGCCAGATGTATACCTTCAAAGCGGAGTCTGAGGAGCTGCAGGGCCGCTGGGTGAGGGCTGTCAAGCGTGCGGCCAGTGGCTGGACCCCTGAGGAACCTGACGAAGAAGACATGTCTGACTGAGTGAACCACAGTTGGCTGTTCCTCAGGAACCGTGCCCATGACAGCCTCCCCGGGCTGACCCCGCGGCTCTGCCCCTCCACCCCAAGCCGAGTTACCTCGACCCGTTCTGTCATCTGTGCCCAGATGTTCGCCCTGGCCCTGCATCCAGTAGATACGGACCCTTTCCTTCAGGAAAATGCAGCTAAGGGTCCCAGCTGGCTGGGGGCTGGGGGGAGGGGGTCGCTGAGTCATGAGATCTTCATTGCTGAAACAGAGAAGTGTGACCAGTGTCATAGCTTAGTGGGTAGAGTGCCTGTGTAGCCCATGTGAAGCCCTGAGTTGAGTCCTGAGCGTGACACAAACTGGCGGCCATGGTGACTCATGCCTGTGATCCCAGCAACTGGGTAGGGAGAGGAAGAAGTACTAACAGTTCAGTGTCACTCTTGGCTGCATAATGAGTTACAATCTAGCTTGGACTACACAAGACCCTGCATGTGATCGTGCACTTGTGGGCACCCACCCAAGCGCCCCCCCTACACACACACACACACACACACACACACACGTGCACACACACACAATAGCAAAATAAGCCAGGTGTTGGTAAACTGGGCAGTGGTGGCACATTCTCAGAAAAACAAACAAACAAAAATATGACAAGTCCTAGGTACCCAGGACTCTTGGTACCCTGGTGAGGGTCTCAGCGCAGTCTGTGAATTAACCACCTAGGAAGCGTTGGAAAAGCTGTGGTGAAAAATAGACACCAACTAACTTTAAAATTAAATGTTGTCCATGTCTACTAGCAAGGCTTTTTTTATTTGCTTGGTCTGGGAAGAGGGAGGCAAGGGAACTTGGGATGCCTCCACGGAGGGCAGTGTGCACTGGGCTGTGTGGCTGGGGAGGAAACAGATACTGGGGAACCTGCCAAAGCCAGTAGGACCAGTAGAAGCTCCCATGGAGCCTCTGTGTGAGTGTGTGTGTGGGGGGGTGCACACCAGCATGTGTTGTGTGTGTTTTGAGTCAGGGTCTTACTGTGTAGCTCTGTAGCCCTGGCTGGCCTGAAACTGGCTATGTAGATCAGGCTAGACACACAGAGAATCCCCTGCCCCTGCCCCTGCCCCTGCCCCTGCCCCTGCCCCTGCCCCTGTCCCTGCCCCTGCCTCCTGCCCCTGCCCCTGCCCCTGCCCCTGCCCTTGCCCCTGCCTCCTGCCCCTGCCCCTGCCCCTGCCCCTGTCCCTGCCCCTGCCCCTGCCCCTGCCCCTGCCCCTGCCTCCTGCCCCTGCCCCTGCCCCTGTCCCTGCCCCTGCCCCTGCCCCTGCCCCTGCCCCTGCCCCTGCCCCTGCCCCTGCCCCTGCCCTTGCCCCTGCCTCCTGCCCCTGCCCCTGCCCCTGCCCCTGCCTCCTGCCCCTGACCCTGCCCTTGCCCCTGCCCCTGTCCCTGTCCCTGCCCCTGCCTCTGCCCCTGCCTCCTGATGGTTGGGATTACAGGCACATGCCACCAATACACTGGGGCATTTCAATCATTATGAGCTAAGACCCCCGTTTTCCAGATGACAGCATCTACACAGGAGGTTTGCTGATTGTCTCTGGGTCACACAGCCAGGGGGAATGAGAGCCAGGCATTAGGTCAGTGAAATGAAGGCAGAGAAAGGAGGAGGGGGGCGGGGCTTAAGGGAGACATAGGGACCACACCCTTCTAGTGTGGGGATGCTTGCAGCCAGCAAGATGGCAGGTAAGGCCACTTGCCACCATGTCTGACCCCCTGGGTCTGGTCCCTAGAACACACAAGATGGAAGACCAACAGTCGAACCCCCAGACAGCTCATCGTTAAGTGGGGGGGGGGGGAGTACATCACCAGATGTCACGGGCTTGAATAATGTTAAAACTGAAAGTCTAAATAAATAAATAAATAATACATCTTGAGAAGAGGGTCTATGCTAGGTGTGGCAGCTCACATCTTTAATCCCAGCCTTTGGGAGGCAGAGGCAGGTGGGTCTCTGTGAGTTTGAGGCCGGCCACAGCTACAGAGTGAGATGCTATCTCCAGAAGGAAAAAAAATGCATCTAAGACGTGAGGAAAGGTGAACCGGCCCTGTGGACACCAGGATAGAAGCTCCTCAAACTCTGAAAATAGAGCTACCGTACGTACGGCCCAGATACGCCACCACTGGCTGCGCACCGGGACTCAAGTCAGAGCACCCAGAGGCACCTGCACATCCGTGTCCACTGCCGCCCTGTCTACATCCATCAGAGGGCAGGCAGAGCCAGCCTCCACGTCCATCCACAGAGGAATGAGGCAGGAAATGTGTTACACAGGCACAGGGGGGTTTTATGCTGCAACCGAGAACAAAGGAGCGTGAAAACGGGTGGACGTTAGTGCATTAAGCAAAATAAGCCAGACTCAGGAAGACAAGCACAGCGTGTTTCCTCTCATTCACGGGACCTAGATGTTAAATCTTACGAATATGTATACATGTCGGGGAACCTAGGTCCTACAAACTAGCAAGGGCACCAGGGGATGGGAAGAAAGGGTACTGAACACATGCGATATGAAAATAGGCAGGGATAGGAGGGGAACCAGCATGGGGAAGCGGGACACAGGAAGAGAGCCGAGGAAGGGGAAAATAAAGCATACGTAGGGACTCTACAGCGGGACCCATTCTCTACACCCATCTTCATGGTGACCCTAGGGCTGAGGTGGCTCAGCAGTGAAGGGCGTTTGCTGATCTTGCAAAGGACCTGGGTTGGGATCCCAGGTAACACTAGGGGGCAGCATCTCCCAGGAGTTATTGTCCAGTCCACAACCCTGCCAGCTACTGCTTGTGTCCTCTGGGGCAGGACACATCTCTACCGGTTACTTCACACTGTCCCTGCATCCCCGAGGCTGTGGAGGAGGGTGGCCACTGATTGGATCTGTCCATAGCCTTGGCAGGTAGGCACGTGAGCTTTTTAATTTTAATTTTTTTAATTTTTATTTTGGGTTTTTTGAGACAGGGTTTCTCTATATTGTTTTGGAAGCTGTCCTGGAACTCGCTCGGTAGACCAGGCTGGCCTCGAACTCACAGAGATCCGCCTGCCTCTGCCTCCCGAGTGCTGGGATTAAAGACGTGTGCCACCAACGCCCAGCGAGCTTTTTAATTTTTAATTAAGGTTTTTTTTAATTTATGTGTACATCTGTATTGTCCCATGTGTGTATGCATGTGTGGAGGAGGCCAGAGGATGGCGTCAGGTCCCCTGGAACTCCACTTAGAGGTAGCTGTCTGTGACTGTCTGATGTGGGTCCTGGGAACCAAGTCTAAGCCCTCTGGAAGAACAATACCCTCTGACCCACCCCTCCAGCCTCCCTCCCATTCTGAGAGGTCTCCTGTGTCCAGGCTGCAGTCAATGATCTGAAACTTCTGGCCCTCCCGTCTCTTCCTGTCCCATGTGTGCGGTGCTGGAACCCAGGGATCCTGTGTGTCAGGCAACTCCACTGATGGAGCCAAATCACCACATTCTTAGAATGATTCCGTCTAGCCCTAACCCTGACGGCTTCCCCCTCCAGCGAGTATTCCAAAGAGAATGCCCGCTCCACCTCTCCACATCCCAGCATGCTGCCCTAAATCAGGTCATCTCTGGCTAAACTTCCCAGGTTCCCACCCGCCCCTTGATGGTCAGGCTCTGCACAAATACTCTTTTCTTTCTTTTCTGACAGGGACACACTGTGTAGCCTGGAACTCCCGACATAGATCAGGCTGGCTTTGAACTCAGAGATCCACCAGCCATTGTCTCCTAAGTTAATACCATGCCTGGTCACAGAAACCCTTCTAACTCTAAGACGCCATTGTTGCGGTTCAACTGAGATGTCTCCCACCCATAGGCCAGGCACTTGAATACTTGGTCCTCGATTGGTGACACCAGGGAGGCTTAGAAAATGTAACCTTGGCCTGGAGAGATGGCTCAGAGGTTAAGAGCACCAGCTGCTCAGCCAGAGGTCCTGAGTTCAACGCCCAGCAACCACATGGTGGCTCACAGTCATCTATAGTAAGATCTGGTGCCCTCTTCTGGCGGGCAGGCAAATATGCAGACAGAACACTGTATATGTAATAAAAATAAGTAAAGAAAGAAAGAAAGAAAGAAAGAAAGAAAGAAAGAAAGAAAGAAAGAAAGAAAGAGTAACCTTGCTGGAGGAAGTGTGTCACTGGGGATGGACTTTGAGGCTTCAAAAGCCTCTTGCCACGCCCAGTTCGCTGTCTCTACTTCTGGCTTACCGTCAGAGGTGTGAGCTCTCTGCTGTTCCTTCTTCCTTGTCTTCCCGCTGCCCTGCTTCCTGGCCTGGCTGTGATGGCCATGGACTTTTATCTCTCGGGAACTGTAAGCCCAAATAAACCCTTCCTTCTAGAAGATGTTTGTTTGGTCCTGGTGTTTTATCACAGCAATAGAAAAGTAGCCAAGACGCATGTGTAGGAGGTGGTTTCCGTCTGCGGTGACTAGAAGTCCATCTGACGGACTAACCTTCTTTGTGGGCCAGGCTCCTGCTGCTCCTCCAGCGGGGAATCTCCGCACACCCCCTGGTTAACTCAGGCCTCTGCCTCAGGGAGACACCCTGACCACCTCCCCAGTGCCCTACTCTGCCCTTTGACCTTGCTTTGTCTGTAACTGACATTAGTGCTGTTTAGTTTGTTTTCTGTTTGTCTGAATAGTGTTTGTCTTTTAAAACACAAACTCAGAGCTGGGCATTGCTGGTGCACACCTTTAATCCCAGCACTCGGGAGGCAGAGGCGGGCGAGAGAGTTCCAGGACTGGCTCTAAAACAATACAGAGAAACCCTGTCTCGAAAAACCAAAAAGAAAAAAGAAAAAAAAAGAAACCCTATCTCAAAACAAAACAAAAAACCCACAAACTCAGGTTTCTGGAGGACAGAGGCCTTGAAGCTCCAATACCAGGCGCAAGATCCAACCTCACTGAAGATCGGGAGATGGCAGAATGACCTGTGTGACTCAGCCACGAAACAATGGCCTCATACTCACCGCTGCTGTCACTCCCTTGATGACGTCATAGGGATCCGTGTCTGTCAGCTCCCCCAGCGCCCACTCTTTATTTCACCTTTGGTTCCCAGAGGTTAACAGACAGCAAGTGCTTGAAAATCCTGTGTCGGGGCTGAGGTGCATGAGGGAGAAAGTCTGCCCAGCGTGCATATGAAGCCTTGGGTTTGATTCCCAGCACACCTTACACCAGGCATGGTGGCATGCCTATAGTCCCAGCACTACACAGGTAGAGGCAGGCGGGGACGTCGGGAGTTGAGGGTCGATCTGGCCAACATAACTGGCTTGGGACCAGCTGAGCTGTATGAAACCCTAACTCAAAGTAACAAGGAGCTGACTGGAGAGATAGCTCGGTGGTAAAGAGCACTTCTGCCCTTTCAGAGGACCTGGGCTCGGTTCCCAGCACACATACTGGGTAACTCACTACTATGACTCCAGCTCTCAAGGGAGCCCGGTGCCCGCTTTTAACTCCAGAGGTGTACACATACATGGTGTGTGTACAGAGGTGTCCACACATACGTGTAAATAAAAAAGTAACGAAAAACATCTTTAAAATAACATAAGGAGGAAGGGAGGAAGGAAGGAAGGAAGGAAGGAAGGAAGGAAGGGAGGGAGGGAGGGAGGGAGGGAGGGAGGGAGGGAGGGAGGGAGGGAGGGAGGGAGGGAGGGAGGGAGGAAAAGTCCTTGCATGCTCTGCCGGGTCCTCTGGTCACTGTGGGGCAGGCGTTCTCTATCTTCTGTTGGGCTGACTAGAGAGATCTCACCTGTGAAATGATGTGT